AATTTCCTGTAAAGCAGAATTTCTACTTGTTAACGATCAATGGGTGCCATCCTTCCTGCAAGACCCCTGTTGATCATCCAACTGTAGGATTACTATTGACTTTTTATTTTCATATTATTGTTTGGCTTGTTTGATTTGGCCGTCCGTTGGCCGGATGGATTTTGATAATTTAAAGTAAAGCTCTCGTTGGAAGTGTGCAGCCATCATTTGTTTTTCATGAGAATGGATTTCTATCGTATCTCGTGGTGCAGGCGGACAAAGTTGGTTAGGAACCTGGCATAAAGTACGTTATCGATTTGGCAGGGGTTCATTCACGTGAGGAATATGGTCAAAATTCCACGAAAATCAAGCACACCCTGAATGCAGGGTCCTTAGCATATTCGTGCCGATGGACAGGTTTGTGTTGTTCAGGAATTGTTTGTTTTGTCGGATTGGAAATGTAAACTCGGTGTGAATGAATTGTAAACTAAAGTGCATTGGGTGGTTGATTATGAGTTTTAGCGAGCGATGAAATTGTGTTTCATATTTATTGAGAAAATTCACTCGGATGTTTGTAACTCGGTAAAATTAGTAATGCTTCGATATTTTTATACAGAAAGAAAATCAGGTTACAAGACTATTGAAAACTTTTTGTAAACTTATTTATGCAGATTGAGGGCGTCTCTTTATCTTGTAAAATGATTTTACAGAGTTTATACAGTTACCAAAGTCCGCGTGAATTGCGTCGATGTGAAGCTTTGTTTTGTACAAGATGAAATTATGAAATGATTTTTTACAAACTCATAATTTTTACGGAATTTGAGAGCTACAAAGGCCCGAGTGTAATTTTGTAATACGTTATACAATTTCAGTTGCTTATTTAGTTTTTAATTAAGTTAACTTAATAATACGGAATTCAAGTGGTTTGGTTTCTGGTTTTGGAAACATTAGATTCTCACTCGAACCAAATGTCTGCTTGGTTCCATCAATCAGCAGCTTTATGCATCCACTCGAAACATTTTGTGCAGATTGGTTTTAATCGATTTATTTTGGTTGTACAATACGAGCAAAAAATTGGCAGATGCTCTTCCACGTTTCTTCTTCAAGGTGATACAGTAATTCAAACTTGCTTGTACCACGTTAGAATCAATTTCGCACTGCATTATGATAGTTTTGAGTTTCGCGAAAATTGTTGTTACGAACCGATGGTAAACAAATTGTTACCAAAGCGGTAACAATTCTGCCATCAAGTTGCTCAGAGTGTCCTTCTTGATAGCTCTTACAGGGTAAAATAATAGTAAAATTGACGTATTACGTGTACGACCCCTTGTTGAAATTAATGCGGAATTAGAATAATAAATAAAGAAGAAGAGATAAACCAATCTGGTGGAGAAAATGGATCGGTATGAATTTCAAATGTGATTTATATCCGAGGCGATGAAATGCTAAAATCTCATCCCGTTGAATGATTGGGTGGTCATGAGGATTTGATCATCTCTCGAATTTATTGCTTCGTTACTTAAAGAAGTGCATGAAATGAAACTTAGCCTGATTCATGACGTAAATTGTATTTTGAGCAATAAAGCAAATAAACGGATTGACAGAGTAAATAATGTGGTGGTAATCTGTTACCGGGCTTTGTAACTACAATTATGTATGACTCGATCGACTTGGTAGTATTACCATTATTTAAAAATGGACGTAATTTGGCACAAATTGGTGACATTTGTTTACAGAGAAATTAACTTCGATTTAAAATTAAGACGGCGGCCAACAATCTGTTATCGAACTTGGTAAACTTTGGTAACAAAACTTGCTACCGAATTGGAAAAAACTGTTTTGTTACCGAATTATTTACCTTGTTGCATGAAACGCATTTCGTGCATGTGATTTTAAGAGATGGATGAGATGCCGTTTAACTCAAGCGTGTCTTTAATTTTGAAAAGGAAGCCGATTAGAATTTAAAATGAGGAATTATCGAAGCTTTAACGCGAGAGAATCGGAATGGTGGTTGTGGTGACAAATTAGGGTGTGAGTCGCACTGACACGACCACAATTTGTCGTGAAATCCTTTAAAGGGATGAACATGATTTGAGAGTGAATATTAACCTTTTAAGCATTTACATTTTATAGTCGAAAATGGGGAATGAACTTTGACCATGAATGTCATGGAGAAAAATTTTACACCAAGTTTCCTAAACCATGGTGTTCATGTCATATTTTTTACACATCGAAAGACCAAAACCATGTTAGTCATGGTCGCAAAAATTTGCATTGCAGGACCAATACCATCAAAGTCATGGCGATTGTTTTTGCAAGAAAATACTTTGACCATGACATACATGGAAGTCGAAAATAATAATTTCCACAGCTTTTTAGCCCGAGTCAGGGCTTATGGAACCGTCATGTCCGTCCGTCCGTCCGTCCGTAAACAGGATAACTCTCTTTAAACACAAGCTACCGACTTGAAATTTTTACCATGTGCATATTGGACAAAGTTAGGAATCGAGTTCGAAGATGGGCGAAATCGGTTAACTGGTTACCCGGTGGGGATCATCTGAGTGGGTGGGGTCTTATGCACCAAAATTTCAAAATTGTCGTAGAAAGCTGAAATTTGGCACAGAGGTTGCTAATGGCTCCTAATAGATAAAACCTACAGTGCAGACTCCATATAGCCCGAGTCAGGGACATAGTCCCTGACTCAATAAGTCAGAGCCCGCTTCTAAATTTTTTTCCGAATTGACCAACATAATATCACCAACTTCCGTGTTGTGGATGGTTAAAAGTTTGTTAGATAGTTTCTATTATTTGGTCCCAAATTTTTGAGCAAGTTACAGATCATGTGTCTTGACCACCATGACCAGTGGGCTTCTTTAACATCCTGAAGCTCTAAGCTGTATGTATGTGCTATCCAGCAGTGGTTTTCAGCCTCCATATCAAATTTCAGCTCGATATAATGATTTTGAAAAATCAGTATGGGTCACCCCATAGGGTCACTCTGGTTGCACTTTACTCACTTTTAACTTCATATTCTTTAATTAGAAGCCATTAAGTACCATCGTGCCGGATTTCATTTTTTTAAAGTAATTTCTAAAAATCAGTATGGGTCACCCCACAGGGTCCCTCAAGATTAAAATTTTTCCAACCTGAAGTTATTTTTTTCTATTAGGAGCCATTAGCAACCTCTGTATCAAATTTCAGCTCTCTACAACAATTTTGAAATTTTGGTGCAAAATACCCTACCCACTTATATGACCCCCACCGGTTCAAAACTTTTCTGATCGAACCCATCTTCTAACTCGGTCGTTGCATTGCCCAGATACATGTCTGCACCAAATTTGGTCAAAATTGGTTAACTCGTTCGACAGTTCGACTGACATGACAATTACATAAGTCCTGGTTCGGGCTAAAAATCACGACTCGAGAAAAAGTCAGTCTTTGGATGTAATCCGAATATTTTAACGTTGCGATGTGATTAAAAGTCGACAATAATTACTTAATAAATTTCGTAAAAAATTGATATATGTAACTAAGGACGGATCTTTTTAATTGTTGTGTTTTCGTCCGGCACTTCGTGTAAAATTGTTCGCCATGACATACATGGTCAAAATGCTTAAAAGGTTAATCAGCATGAAACGTGATCTCTCAAAATTATGGAGATCTCCAAACAAAAACAAAAAGTTTCCATTGTGTGGAAATGTTAATAAGGAGAGATTCATAATTTCAAATAAATGATCGTCAACCCTGCCCGTCTCTATTTTGCATTTGGATGACACAATGCAAATAATTCGCATCATATACCTTTGTACAGTGGCTGGAGTTCTCCCTAATTTAGGAACTTTATATTAAGTAAACGTGTGATTGATTTCCGGGAAACTTTGACCTTTGGGTAGCATGCATACCTATGGCCCCTGTTACAACTACCCTTTGAAGGGTGCCTTGCCTTCTAGTATACCCTTCCCTTAAATCGATCACATGCTTTCTGCATGGTCCTTTAATTTTTTTCATGAAACTGCAGTTTTTTTATTGCTTTACTGTTTGTAAAATTTACGCATACGAATTGATAAAGTTGTGATCAGGCTGATTCCGCGTAATCAAAGTGTGATACACAGTTGACAGTCATACATAATGCTACATAAATATTGATAAAAATGATTCACTGAAATTCTACGACAGTAGCAAATTAATTAGTTAATGGTTAGTCATGAAATTGGAGATTTTGGATTTAAGGCCCGACTTTTTGCAAAAATATCATTAGTTGTGAAATTGTGGGGAAATAAGTATTAGAAAAATTGTAAAAGTTAGAAATGAAAATTTTTCTGAAAAGGTAGACACATTTTTGAAATATAGTGTATGTATTTTTGAAAATATAGTCGCAAAGTGCAATTTCAAATAGCTGGTCAATTTTTTTTAAAAATAAGATTTAGATTAAGTTAAAATTGCGAGGTGTTAGCGTCACAAAATATAAGTTTTTGGTGATTATATTGGGTGTATATATTACAATTTAATATACAATTTAATGTAAATTTTGAAATTTTACCGTGGATTAATCCAACCCATTTTGAGCAATTTGCTCGTGTATTTGTAAACTGTGTAGGTTTTGTAAAATTATTTTACAAACTTTTACACAGGAAAGTCAAAAATATTTGTAATCTGCTTGGTTATAATCTTATAGGTAATAGGTAATAGAGTTGTATGTATGTACAGTACCCTGATTATGCAAGCTTTTTAAATATGCTTACAAGCACTGTATTTGCAAGTTTACGGGGTTTACTAAGTTACAAACATCCGCATGAATTTCCAAATTGGTTTTAAAATGTTTAATTTTAGAACCAAATTAAATGAGCATAGCTTAACTAGTTACGAAATTAGCTTTCGACGTGTTACAACGAGTAGCACGCGTTACAAATAGTGGAAATTAGAAATGTCATTTACCCATGTCGTGAAATTTTTTCCTCGACCAATTCATGAATTCGAATGTTGGTAACTCAGTAAATTGATCTCTATTTCATTTTCTGCAGACTTATCCACCGATTCATCGTCCTAGTGAGGATGGATTTGGAGGCGAAAATTCTGGGCGAGCGGGCCGAAAATTACTGCGACAGTGATGAAGGGGAGCATGAAGAGGATCGCGGCGCGGGTGATCCCGCGACTACTTCCGGTCCGAAAGAAGGCGTCGTGGGGGGCGACCAAGGTCAAATGGGTGCGCCCAAGTGGGGAGGCACGTCGCAAAACACGGGGCCGAAGGGGGTCCTCCGCGACTGGGAGTTGTACAAGGAACACCAGGAAATTTTGCGGAGGGAGGAGGAGCAAAATCTGATCCGAATGGTTAAAGAGTCCTCCTTGTCGTGCAGAACGGAGAGGGAGGATCAACAGGTGGGTTAAATATTCGTATATTACGGGAGATTTCAAATACGAAAAATTGCGATTTCAACATTTTTTTAATATCTCAGAAAAGTTTTAAAAAAATTTCTCAAAATCAAGGAATTATTATTAAAATTAAGCAATTTTTTGTATAAAAATCAAAAACTTGGGGTCTGCTTTTTGAAAGTTGTTGAAATGTATTTGCTCTACAGGCGGCCGAGATGTTGGAAGAGATTCATGAAAAGATAGCTGACGAGGTGGGGACAGACCCGGATTTGGAGGACCTCCTCTCCGACAAGGTTCTCGAACAGTTCATTCAGAAGCGGATGGAATTGATGAGCTCGGGAGAGGGGGCCAGTGGAGCCGATTGCTTTCCCCGTTTTGGCGTCGGACTCGTCGAAATTGCCTCGGGCGACGAGTTCCTCCAAATCGTGGACGGATCCGACCCCAGAGTTCCCGTCGTGGTACACATTTATGACGACCAGGTGCATGTTACTTAATTAATTGCATAATTAATTGCTGTCGGAATTGTAAAGGATTGTGAAATATTGATCATTTAAATTTTTTCAGCACCCCGAATGTGCCCGGCTGAACGAGTGCCTCGCTTCCCTGTCCGAATTATATCCCCGGGTACAATTTTGCAAAATGCGTGCGAGGGAGGGCGGAATGAGCGCGGTGTTTCAGGCGAAGGGCGTTCCCGCCCTGCTAGTCTACAAGGGGGGTAGTCTCATCGGGAACTATGTCCGACTGGGGGACGAGTTCGGGACGGAATTCTACGTCGGCGACGTGGAGAACTTTCTCATCGAAAATGGCATGATTGAAGACCGAGCCAACATACCTGCGCTTCTCGCCGCGGCGAAAAAGAAGGCAAAACTTGTTAAATAATTATTGTTTAATTATTTCGCAGGAAATTATTTATGCATCTTTTTTACCTAAAGTAAAATCTAAATTGGTTAAGGATTTCGGTTACAATTGGCGAGCTTGACCTATGAAATGCAACCTTTGACCTGCCCTGTTTGTGAAGAATTCCCTGAAATTGAGCTTCATGTACCGTTGTTGACCTATAACCTGTTTGTAAACCATGATATCATGTGAATCTTTGTAACTCTGTATGTAAATAAGTTGTTGAAATTTTGTCAAGTTTGTTAAATCATAGTAGTGAATAGGGAAATTCATGTTACAAATATTGCATCATCAGGGTCAGATTGTATCAATTAAGGAAAATCAATATTTGTACATAATTAACAGATTGTAAAATTGTCGTTAATGTGTCAAATTAATGAACAAAGAGGAATTGTACAAAGTACACATTTTTTACATGAAATATGTAGTTGCTTGATTTCGTAAATCGGGTAAAACTGATTACACAATTACACTTACGTTTTTTTTATTTCTCACTTGATTTATATTTCGTATGTTTCACTAATTTCTAATTTCATCATCGGTTCTGTTACTTCACATCATAAAAAATGGTAGTTGACTTTGTTAACTTAGGACAATTATCGTTTCATGTGTAATTAATTATCAATAAATTAAAATCCTTCTCCTTTAAAATTAATCAGTTTTAAAATATGGAAACAATTTCGGAAAGTTAAAACTATTTAATTGAAAAGAAATTATTGGAAACTTATTATCTACATAATTGTTTACTTAATATTCAGTCAAGGATTTGATGACTAAAAATGATTTCTATAAATTATGTAAGTATTTAATTGGAATTAAGTAATTAAGGAGTTGATGATAACTAATTTTAATAGTTTTCTTGCTTATTACTGTAATATCATTAAATCGCTCCTTTATTTTTTTCACTACCCTAATTATTGTTCTGTTTCCATTTTCGTTCTATTTGAGGTAATCCACGTGAAGCTTTGTAGCTGTGTAAACTGCGTAAAATTAGTACAGGCACCAAGATTTTCGAAAACAAATCTTGAAAGAAAATTAAGTTGTAAAATTTTCCACGGAATGAAATCTGTGTTTGACTTGGCTAGATTCGTATGTAATTTACAAACTTTACACAGTTTACACGGTTATAAAGATACCTTACCATTTTGAGTATAGGATTTAACATCATTATCATCTCTATGTACTTCATTAATAAATATTCTGAATCTTGACGGTATTCTTATTCTTTCCACACTTATTTAAAATTTTGATCATACATATTTTTAACGGCACTCGATAAGTAAATTTATCTTTAAATGAACCAATTCATGCGGATGTTTGTAACCCAGTAACTTCGTGTCACGTTGTAAGTTTCAACAAGCTTGCAAAGATCACGAGGGAAATCAGACTGTATATAAACTTATACAGATCAAATGCATCTCTGGATTACAAACATCCGCATAAATTGCTTCATTAAAGTACATTCACAATTAAATAGCGACCTGTTCCAATCTCGAAATCACAATTTAAAACAGCATCATCATTGTATTCAATCATCACCATTTGTCGACTCTCTGGGTTAAAAAATTAAGTGAAATTACTTTACATTAAAAATGTGCAGGAACTTAATTAATATGAATGTCGAGAGTACTTAGGAGTTTAACTATAACTAAAATAAAAAAGTATTATAGCTGCAGTGTGTATAAGCACTTATCGATCACGATGTAATTAATTAATTAAAATCCGTCAATCCGCAATTAACTAATCTGCATTACTGAGACTCTTCGAAAGCCGCCCATGCCTCGTTCAATTCGACAAATATGAGTTTCGCCAACTCCTCCCACTCCTCGCCCATTTGCTGAAAAGGAAAATAAATGGAAATAAGTTAATTTGCACATGTACTGGAAATGCTTAATTATACACGATCACGAAGGTATTTTATCATTATCATCAAATCAGTAAAGCTGTACATCGTCACTACTTCATAAAAGATTCCTACGTTATTAAAGTATTCATATGTTCACCTTATCAGGATGGATGGCGAGGCATGCTTTCCGATAAGTCTTCTTGACCTGGGCGGGCGTTATCATTTGCGACATATTTGTCTCCTCCCAGTGACACCCGTCCCACGTGATGGTATGCAGTGAGGAGAGCAGGGCGCGAATGTTCTTCTTCTTGCCGTCGCGCCAGTCGTTGACCTAAGTAAAAACGTTGATATAAGGTCAAGGTCACAAGGTTGAAGAATCGACGACTATCTACCTTAATCTGCGTCAGGTTTGCATTTGGGTTGGAGAGAATGTCGATTTTTCTCATGTCGTTAATAGTCTTCCCGCCGTCGAGCCGGTTGCTGGCGGCGAATCCTTGGGAGGACAAAATGTCGCCGAACACATCGTTCAAATTTTGTTTCGGTACAGGTTGCGGTGGCTCGAAAAGAGTCCGATTATAATTTGGACGAGATTGGGAAGATAGAGTCGGGTTTGAAGACCCGCCAGAAGCGGAAGCCCCTGCGGAAGAAATATTGACCGAGGCGGCGAAGGAATTAGAGTTGGCGGCTGGACCAGAAATTATGTCGCCGAGAATGAGGTCGGACAGGAGGTTGGGGGAGGAGCTATTTTTCGGGATTTTTCCTGATGAAGCAGACGAGAGGAGGGGTGGTCCCCCGAGAAGGGAGGAGGAGGTGGCGTTGAGGTTTTGAAATGAGGCCGATTGCGGCATCGTGTTGGAAGGTTGCTGGAAATTAAATAATTATAATTGATTATGTGTTATTATAATATTGTTAAACTTGAGTTGTGACAATGTATATATTGAGATAATAAATCTTCAAACAAGAAAGTACGAAATTTCCAAAGCAAATTAGTGAAATGTTAATAATTTGTTCGTGACATATTTATTTACCTGGAGGAACGTCTGACTATTAGTTTGACCACCAAAATTCGCCGCGAATCCGCCACCACTGCCAGAAAAGGGTCGCGAACTGGGAGCCGAAGTGCCCAAAAGGGACGCAAGCGGGTCCCGCGGATCTCCGAGTAGGTCGCCAAGGTCGGATGATTGCTGCGTTGTATTATTACTTGTGGTGGGAGGAGCAGAAGGGGTGGGTGCACCCCAAAAGAGATCCTCTGTCGTTGTTGCTGCACCAGTGGCAGTGCCGAACAGGTCGTCGAGTAGATGTGCATTCGATCCGGGTTGAGTAGGAGGTGAAGGTCTAAAAACAATGAAAAATTTATTAAAAAGTCATCATGTAAAGTTGTATCGTGTTTCGTAATGTGGGTCAGATATTTTTGAAATGTTTGTGCAATTTCCGATTATATTTTTTCGTATAAAAATCAACCAGGATTATAAGATTAATTGGAGTTTCAAGGAAGTTTTTCTTGGTTAATTAATTGAAAGCCGCAATATTCATAGAATATATTTTTTATCACGTTTGTTCACCGCAAATGGAAGAAGCATAACCCACATTGGTTTACACAAATCTTTAAACATACTCTAAATTCGGTGAATCGAAACTCATGTCGAGCAAATTTGCTATTTTTGGGGAGGAAGATGAGACCGCTTCTACGTCGTGATGTCGTGGTGAAGGTGGGGCTTGTGGGCGTGGGGGTGGGCCAGAAGATCGGACTGGAACTGAGGCTGAAGTAGTGTTCATCGCCGCATATTCACGATTTTCAAATTCGATGGGTTCTCCTTTTCGGGCGAGGAGGGGACTGGGTGGGGCCGGTCTGCAAAGTTATAAAGTTTTCAGATTTTTGAATAAAATTTTTAAAATAAAACATTTCACTAAATTTCTGGATCAAACAAATTGTAGATATTTTATGACAGAAATACAGACAAAATTAGTGAATAATAAAATACCTACCTTGGTGGCGGAGGACGACTAGGATGTTGTGACGCGGAAGCTGGCGCAGGACGTGGGGTTCTTGCGGGGGGTTGATGATGATCTGGACTTCCACCGACGGAACCGTTGCTCGACGTGAGCGGAACTCCCGAGGGCGACGTTGGCGCGAGATATTGCTGACTCTGCTCTTTAATGTTCTTAATCAACGAGACAGCCCCGCCACGAAGGCTGCTGAAGAGAGATCCGCCCCCACTGCAAATAACAATGATAAATATTCATCAATCAAAAGTGTGAATAGCTTTGTGTGTAAAAATTCAAAATATTTATCAAAATTTCCCATTTTTTAGATCGTTTGGATTAGGGGCTAAAATTACACAAATGTTGGTACTTGTTTTTTGTGAGTGTTCATATTTTTGTATACAGTTTTACAATAAAATTTAAAATATTTTACTAACTGTCAACTGTTGGCTTACAAATTTGAAATCAACATTTTTGATCACCTTAAAATTACTCATTTTGGATGTGCTAAATTCAAATTTAAAAAAATCTTCCTACAAATTAAAAATTTTGAAAAAATTATCCATTTATGCGAAATATTCTCGCCAATTCGCTACATTATCCTAATAATTATTGGGATCTGTTTCTCGTCCAATAAAATGTTGACTAATCTACCTTGGTGCCGCTGACGAGTGATGGTGATGACTCGACACTGGCGCTTGCCCTCTGTCCATGGCTGGACCACAATTTGCTAATGGGTTGACGATCCCACTTCCACCGGGTAATATCCCTCCGCCAATTCCGATGCCTGTGTTCTGCGGTGAAATGGGGGCTTTGAACGGGAGGGGAGCGTTCAGTGAGAAATTCTGCGACTCTGCGATGGACGCTAACACCTCGAACATCTGACCGAAAGAGAGACGCTCTACCGGGTCAACTTTTAAGAGTCCGCCTAAGCAAGAAAATTATTACATAACGCAAACTATATAATTTACATATACATTTGTAACCGAATAAATTTACAAATGTATTTACTGCGACAAACACGAGGACAATCGGATTTGTCAGTTCAAAGGATTTACAGGGTTACAAAAATTTCTGGGAATATTTCCAGGCTTACGGATCAAAGTTACGACAGGGCCTGAATCGGACACGTTCTTGGGCAGGGAATAGTTTGCATTGACGATGGCGAGCTTATTAGAATCTTGGAACGGATGTTGGCCAAAGTTGAGGGCGAAAAGTAGACAGCCTAACGCCCAGAGATCAGCGTGTTCATCGATAGCGTGGTTAGACCAGAGGTCAAGCATTTCCGGAGCGCGATACCTGGATGTGCATTGTATACATTAATTAGTTAATTAACTGGGATACGCAAACTATAATAAAATTGTTTCTGAAGATGAGTGTGGTTGCCACTTCACACTATGGTATCAATGATTTGGCATGACATTAAACTTCTACCATGCTGGGAAAATTTCTCATAGGGAGTGGCAAATTTGATGATTGTCTAAAATTATCACACTTTGTTTGGTCAAAAATGAACTATCCAGTTCGGTGTGCGGAAGACTCCAGCCCACCGACCCCAGCCCGTGGGGGTCCAGCCCACCATTTCCAGCCCGTGATTAACTCCAGCCCGCGATCTCCAGCCCACCAACTCCAGCCCTTAATTATCTCCAGCCGTAATTATTTCCAGCCCATAAATATCTCCAGCCCGTGTATAAAAACCTATCCGTACAGCTTCGCTTAGCTCGAACCAGGATTTATTAGAAAACTCAAGTTTCTTAAAATTTTCTTTTCAAAAATTTTGAAATTCAACCCCCTTATATTTTAATTTGCAATTTATTTTTCGACTCTATACTAAATTTGAGCTGAATGTATAAACTCTTCGAAATCGGTGTTGGTAACCCGTTAAATAGTACCTCTGGTTACGTTTTGTTCATATTTGACTTCATATTATTTCATGAGAATCCACTAACTACCCACCCTGCCGAATTTCAACTTCTTACTACGATTTCTAAAAATCGGTATGGGTCACCCCAACGGGTCCCGGCATGTGAAAATTTTACCAATTTCACTTCATATTCTTTTATTAGGGGTTAACAGCAGCCTCTTTGCCAAATTTCAGCACGATTGAATGACTATATTTACTATATTTGCACGCACTTGTACCAACAATGCCGTGGAGGGTTGGCATTTACACATAAATGCTATGTGGAAAGCCATTGAAATTTTACAAAATGAACAAAACCATTGGAATTTGGAAATCGAAAAATTGAAATCTGGGCAAGTCGAGCCACAGAGTAAAATTAGCAGGGACATGGATAAGCGACTCCTCTTGATTGTAGAATCATACAACACTGATCTTGACCCTTTCGACTATCTCAAGGGAAAATGCCTTCACAACTTCATGACTGTTTAAAATTTAATTTAATTTAAAATGTAAGTTTGATTTTCGTATAATTATCCCTATTTTAATTATCCCTTATGTATCATTATACTAATTTGTTTTATGCCAAAAAAAATTATACCATATTGCATTATCCCTAATAAGTTATGCAATTCGGCCTACAAGCCTACAACCGGTGGCACAAAGACTAAGCATACTGGAAACCCCGTTTTGATATTCATTTATGTATTGGGGCAGGAGATATTTATGGGCTGGAAATAATTACGGCTGGAGATAATTAAGGGCTGGAGATCGCGGGCTGGAGTTAATCACGGGCTGGAAATGGTGGGCTGGACTCCCACGGGCTGGGGTCCGTGGGCTGGAAAAATCCGCAAATCATCCAGTTCGGTAGAATCATGCCTACACCTTGTAACAATTTGGTTATCGTAAACTGTAGATTACTTACATAGGTGTCGTTTTTGCTGCAATCTGCTCCTCGACAAGAGTCCGTTTCGCCATCGACCAGTCCGGTGTAGGGTAAAATTTTTCCATCGTGGCTGATCCAAAATCGACAAGCTTTACGAGACCGTCCCCTCCAATGAGAATGTTTTCGAGCTGAGAAAAAAAAGTTAGCATAACGTTATAACTAGCATTGCAATTTTTTATACCTCTGACGTTTGTAAACTTTGTAAAACTTGTGAACGTACAAATGTTTCGACATGTCTATAAATATATATTACGAAGGAGAATCGGGTTACGAATATTAAATATATTGAAAAGTTACATAGACGGTCTATGATAGACCAAGGGCTTCACTTTGTAGGAAATGAAAAATAACTATAAATATTGTACAGTTCTCTAAAGATTGGAGTAAATTTCAAATTTTTGGAGCACACTATGCTGAATATTTTCTCTCGTAATCTTAACAAACTTGCCTAAGCATTTGTGTTGTCGTTTCCCAAATTGAGTTTTATAAACTTTCGCAATTTACAAACGTCCGAGTTACTTGTTGCATTAATATATACTCACTTTGATATCTCTGTGGACAATGCCAAAGTCGTGCAAGTACTTGATAGCCTTGCAAGTTTGGGCGAAAACTTGCGCTGTATGTTGGATGCGCAGGGGCGGCGTAGGGAGTTGTACGGGACAGAACTCGAGGCCAAGATAATGTTCCTCCATTCGAGACGCGCCTGATTTCACATAAGTTCCGAAAAAGTTGGCAATATTTTCGTGTTGAAACTGGGCGAGGAATTCTCTTTCTTCGGCGACGGCTTTTTTCGCCTCGGCGTCAGGCGCCATGATTTTCTAGGATACAAGTAGAAATTGAGGCATGTTAACGAGACAGAAATTTACCACCAGTATAGTAAACTTGGGAGTCAATCAAGTTAACCGTTTAAACAATTGGTGGTAAAATGTTTAACCGGTCGTATAAAATTGTACTATTTCACTTTTTAAAAACAGGTCAGGTTAGAGTTAAATGATTACCTTGATCGCAACGATATCACCATTTTGAAGGTCGACACCTTTAAAAACGTACGAGAATCCACCTAAAAAAGATGAAATCGTTAAAATTTACATAATTAATTACTTTGATCCGAGTTGACCTCACCTTCCGCAATGAGTTTTGTAATCCGTACACTTCTCGTATTATGTCCATTGGCAGAGAACGTGATGACCTCTCCGAGTGCGGAAGTCTCCTCGGAGGAACCACCACTCGCCGAGTTATACACGCCACCCCCGGACGAAGATGACGTGGCGGAAGTCGTTGACGAGCTGAGGTAACCCAACGCGGAGCGAAATAGGTCTGACATGACGAAAAAGGTCGCAACAGGAAAATAATCAAGTCCAAGGTCAAGAAATTAAATAACCTTGATATGGTAGGTAATTATTGAGAAGATGGGGGTTTAATTTAATTAATAATACACAAAATTTCTTGTTAAGACGCCATTATTTATTTAGGTTCAATGATTCAAGTTTAATTGGGATTTAATTAACTGAATTTGTGGAGTGGAGTGGAAATAGGGGCGGGTGCTGTTGCTAATTGAATGATCTTGTCCATGCAGAGATTAGTTTTGTTAACGAAATGATCTATTAAAGAGTAAAAATGTGGAATGAATGGTGATGATGATGGGTGGATTAGTTAGTTAATTGTTGTAGTTAACTTTGACTTTGAGTGAATTACAACAGAACGGAACGATCAGATGGTGGATTTTTTGAGGAGTTACAGTTATGTGTCAGCAAAGTAGGACTCGACTCGCCCGCAAGACCGACGGGGTGACGTGGGCCAAGTTTATTCAATTAAAAAAGCTATGCAATCGAAAAATCAATGAAATTAAAAAAAACAGACATAAAAAATGCTATTTAACTATTGTCCGGATTTAAAATAAGGGTTATTTACTTTTCATAAAATCATGCAAATTGGACGTAGAAGTGTGAAGTTGAGGTAAATTTTGGATATGAACAGGAATGCATGGACCACGGAAGTTTCTCATCATGCAATTTATTGTTGCTAAAAATTGCAATTTGCTAAAACTTATAATTTTAATTACAATTAAACTAGCCAATCTAAAATTTTCCGTAAGTAAGGCACGATTTTTAGGAAGATATCAAATTAAGATAAGAGTAGTATAGAAGGGTAGGTTAGAAATCATAAGGTCACGATTTTTCTAGTTTCGTACATACTAAATTTATTTATTACGCATAGTGAAGATGACAAGCTTCTTGCTTATCTTGCGACATTATACATTTTAATAAATTGGTAATAAATGCACTTTGTCTTATCTTCTCACGATAAAGAAATGATAAGATCCGATAAGAAATGTCTTCGTTCCGCTTCCTCCTAATTCCTGAACTCACCGTACATCGATTGTTGACACACTTATTTCCAAATCCGCACAATAATCCGACCAGTCTTGACTCCGGGCTTGAATTAGGGTCACCCTTGTCCCAGCAGAGCGACCCGACCTCCCCCACACAACCTGTCGTCCCCATCTCCTCCACCGTGAAAATTCCCAGGTAGGAAGATCTACAAAAAAATAAGCGCAAATTAATGGTATCACCAATAAGTCATTAATTTTCCATTTTTTTTATTTTACCGAAGGCATTCACAACGCTCCGATTTTTCGTCACACTCGAGTGGCTCGTTGTAATAGTTTCCTGCCGAGTTGCAAATTAGGTCGGCCACGTTGTCGGTGCAGACTTCTCTGGAATAGTTGACCATTAAATGGGCGACACGGGCTTGTAAGTAGGTCGATGTTGGGGACGGAGAGAAGATGGCGTCCAGGTAGAAGAGGGTCTGGAATGGGATGCCGTATTGGACGTAGAGATCGCGTCGACAGGGTGACGAGAGGGAGGAGGTTGTCGCAATGGGGGCGGTGAAAAGGGGACACGTATGCGTCGTGGTGGAGAGGAGGGCATAGTCCGTGGTGGATAGAGAATTCGTAGGGGTCGGCTCAATTAAGTCGGGAGTCGTTAAATCCATAGTTGTAAAATCTGGCGATGTTAAATCAGGGGTCGCTAAATCGGTGCTTGTTAAATCGGGAGTCGCGAAATCCGTAGTTGTTAAATCTGGGGTCATTAACTTTGTAGTCGTTGAATCTGGACTCAATTTTGTGGTTGCCAAATCGGTCGTCGTTGTTAAATCTGGAGTTGTCAATTTTATAGTCGTTAAATCTGGAGTTGTTAATTTTGTAGTTGTTAATTTTGTAGTCGTTAAATCTGGAGTTGTTAATTTTGTAGTTGTTAATTTTGTAGTCGTTAAATCTGGAGTTGTTAATTTTGTAGTGGTTAATTTTGTAGTCGTTAAATCTGGAGTTGTTAATTTTGTAGTGGTTAATTTTGTAGTCGTTAAATCTGGAGTTGTTAATTTTGTAGTGGTTAATTTTGTAGTCGTTAAATCTGGAGTTGTTAATTTTGTAGTGGTTAATTTTGTAGTCGTTAAATCTGGATTTGTTAATTTTGTAGTGGTTAAATCTGGAGTTGTTAATTTTGCAGTTGTTAATTTTGTAGTGGTTAATTTTGTAGTGGTTAATTTTGTAGTGGTTAAATCTGGAGTTGTTAATTTTGTAGTGGTTAAATCTGGAGTTGTTAATTTTGCAGTTGTTAATTTTGTAGTGGTTAATTTTGTAGTGGTTAATTTTGTAGTGGTTAATTTTGTAGTCGTTAAATCTGGAGTTGTTAATTTTGTAGTTGTTAATTTTGTAGTCGTTAAATCTGGAGTTGTTAATTTTGTAGTGGTTAATTTTGTAGTGGTTAATTTTGTAGTCGTTAAATCTGGAGTTGTTAATTTTGCAGTTGTTAATTTTGTAGTCGTTAAATCTGGAGTTGTTAATTTTGTAGTGGTTAATTTTGTAGTCGTTAAATCTGGAGTTGTTAATTTTGTAGTGGTTAAATCTGGAGTTGTTAATTTTGCAGTTGTTAATTTTGTAGTGGTTAATTTTGTAGTGGTTAATTTTGTAGTGGTTAATTTTGTAGTCGTTAAATCTGGAGTTGTTAATTTTGTAGTGGTTAAATCTGGAGTTGTTAATTTTGCAGTTGTTAATTTTGTAGTGGTTAATTTTGTAGTCGTTAAATCTGGAGTTGTTAATTTTGTAGTCGTTAAATCTGGAGTTGTTAATTTTGCAGTTGTTAATTTTGTAGTCGTTAAATCTGGAGTTGTTAATTTTGTAGTGGTTAATTTTGTAGTCGTTAAATCTGGAGTTGTTAATTTTGTAGTGGTTAAATCTGGAGTTGTTAATTTTGCAGTTGTTAATTTTGTAGTGGTTAATTTTGTAGTGGTTAATTTTGTAGTGGTTAATTTTGTAGTGGTTAATTTTGTAGTGGTTAATTTTGTAGTCGTTAAATCTGGAGTTGTTAATTTTGTAGTGGTTAAATCTGGAGTTGTTAATTTTGCAGTTGTTAATTTTGTAGTGGTTAATTTTGTAGTGGTTAATTTTGTAGTGGTTAATTTTGTAGTCGTTAAATCTGGAGTTGTTAATTTTGCAGTTGTTAATTTTGTAGTCGTTAAATCTGGAGTTGTTAATTTTGTAGTGGTTAATTTTGTAGTCGTTAAATCTGGAGTTGTTAATTTTGTAGTGGTTAATTTTGTAGTCGTTAAATCTGGAGTTGTTAATTTTGTAGTGGTTAATTTTGTAGTCGTTAAATCTGGAGTTGTTAATTTTGTAGTGGTTAATTTTGTAGTCGTTAAATCTGGATTTGTTAATTTTGTAGTGGTTAAATCTGGAGTTGTTAATTTTGCAGTTGTTAATTTTGTAGTGGTTAATTTTGTAGTGGTTAATTTTGTAGTGGTTAAATCTGGAGTTGTTAATTTTGTAGTGGTTAATTTTGTAGTCGTTAAATCTGGAGTTGTTAATTTTGCAGTTGTTAATTTTGTAGTCGTTAAATCTGGAGTTGTTAATTTTGTAGTGGTTAATTTTGTAGTCGTTAAATCTGGAGTTGTTAATTTTGTAGTGGTTAAATCTGGAGTTGTTAATTTTGCAGTTGTTAATTTTGTAGTGGTTAATTTTGTAGTGGTTAATTTTGTAGTGGTTAATTTTGTAGTTGTTAAATCTGGAGGCAAATTTGTAGTTGTTAATTTTGTAGTTGTTGAATCCGTAGTAGTTAAATCCGTAGTCATTAATTTTGTAGTCGTTAAATTTGGATTTTGTAGTCGTCAAGTGTGTAGTTGATAACTCTGAACTCGCTAAACCCACAGTTGTTAAATCTTTTGTAATGTTTAAGATATTGAGCGTTGTCTTCCAGGTAGGAATAGTGGCATTAGTCGCCTCACTGAATGTCGCATTGGTACGAATTGCGTGTGTCGAATTGGGGGTTGCAATGGTCTCAAAAATCGTGGCATTTTCTGTAAGTGCACTCCTGCAAAACTGGGTCGACGCGATAACGATGTATAAAATAAGAAATATTTCCGATAACGGCATTTTCATCTACATAAAATTCATGTACTTCTTCCAAAACAAATGTGCATTCTCAAAATTGGTCACAAATTCTAAAGTGTCCCCAAAAATATGTAAACCCTTAGCGACCCAAAATCCGCAATTATGTAACAACACCCATTATCCAAATTCTTCTCCCATTTCTCCATGTGACTTGACATGGAGTTTGTCAGTTGGTACTGGTCGTTGTCGTGGGTGGTCAATCGAGCCAATTCCATAAATCACGGAAGTTAAATTAAATTAATTTTTGACACGCATGCTTTATCCAGACTTCGCAAAATTATATGCAGACCTTACAAAATAATGGTGGTTGATTTACACCTGGGCATTTGTTACGTGTGAGGACAGGAATTTATTGAGGTATATTTAGATATTAACATTATTATTTATCGTCGTGTCCCTCGGGAGCAGGCGCATACGCATTTTCGCCAAACCATTCCGGCGACCAAGCAGGCGAGTGAGGCGGCGAAAATGGCCCAGACGACGGTGAGGTAGATGAAGGCGAAGAGGTACAGCGTGCGTGCACAGTACGTCTCAGACTCGTCGTCGTCCAATATAACGATGGATTGGATCCGGTAGACGAAAATGGACGTCACCACGACCCACACGCAGTCCACGAGGATGATCAGGCCGTGGAGGAAGCGGAGCCAGGTCATTTTCCTGCAGATTTTAATGAGACAATTCAAGATATTTAGTGCAGCCAGTGGTAAAAAATATGTAGCCATTGAGATGGATTTGTATGATTTTTAGCCTGAGTCAGAACTTATGGTACCATCATGTCTTTGTCTTTACTTGTGAAAACAGATTCCGCTTGAAAACCTATCGTTTTCGCGAACTTGCTGAATTTTGCGCATCTTCGCAAGTCCTAACTAAATGGAGTTTCTAAAGAGCTGGTCTTTCAAACGAAAACGTCTTTCAAAAAATAATCTGGTAACAGGTTTATGTGCCCTATGTTACTTGGGTCATCTGACTTTGGCCCTGACACGGGCTATATCAACACTGCAAACTACGTTTTTTCTTTGTAAACTTTAAATTTTAAAAGTTTTCTGGAAGTGTATCAATATTTACGCCAAATAAATAAGGGCTTACTTTCTGGGTTGGATGGGCTCGTCATGGCCCCAGCGGCGGGGGTGGTGGTGTGGGTGGCCGTGGTAGTGGTGGTGAGGAGAGTGATTTTGATCTTGCTGACTTTTACCCTTCCCGACCGCGTCGTTCATCGCAGCTCTCGTGAGGACGGAGAGAATGGAGAGAATGCCTCCGATGATGAGCAAGATGGCGATTCTATAAGTAATTATTAATTAATATTGGATAGTTAACTAATTATGCAAATACGTGTGTACCTCTCCTCGAAGCAGGACTCAATGCCGAGGTAGACGGAGCCGATAAGGATCATGGCGACGGGGACACCGAAGAGGAAGGCGAGTCCGAACAGGACGGCAATAATTCCCCAACCACTTCCGGAAAAAAGGACCAGAAAGACAAGATCCCACGAGAGCTGGGGAGACTTGGTCGAGGTGCTGAACAAACCTGGAAATTTATTAGTTATTGACTAATCACATTGATGTTTGTATAGTAAACTATGCAAGGATTCCGAGCAAAGACCAATTAACGCCATAATAGTTCGTAATAAGTGCAAGCTTAAAGTTGTAACAAAATTTACATAAATTTGAATATCAAGCGTTTTATAAAATTACCATTTTTCAAACTTTCCCAAAATAAAATAACGCTATTCGTGTATGCATGCAAGTTTACAATACATAACCTGAATTCCTTTCGTTTACGGATTTTAGTGAATTGCTGATTTCCTGGAATTGCTTACTTTCGTCATCGCCCCCGCTATCGGTGGTGTATTGGGAGGTGGACACATCACGGTCGTCGTCTTTGTCGCTGGCGGCCTGCGTGTGATTCGGTGTGGCGCTACCCCCTTCGAGACGGAGCGCGCCCACATGGACTGACACAGTTTGGCGAAGGGCGGAGTCACCTTCATTCACGAAGCGGACGTTGACTTGGGATGACATTTTCGGGTCAAGGATTTTTAGAAATTATAAATTCTTTGTGATTTGTGACAAAAAATTGAATTAGAATTTTGAAAAATTTTTTAGAAATCCTGATGACAACAGTTTTTGCCTTTGCTGAAACAAAGACGTTAGTTTGGAATTGAATTGATGTCAAGGTTATTGCCAAATAATTATGGAGATGGTTAATTATGATAATTGTGGAGATGATAATTAATTAATTGATAATTAATATGCAAATTTACGGCAGCGTTGCATTTTTAACCGTCCAGATCTTAATAATCATTATGGCACCGACGCGGGTATTTCCGGAAGAGAGTCCCGGCGTTAGTAAACCCGTTTCTCGAGGACATTTCGACATCCCAGTAGCCACCCAGGTCAAGATTTATGCGGAACTTGGTCAGATTTATTGAGCATTTGCGAATTAATAATTAACTTGTGTTCATGATTAATTATAGGGCTTGATTTTTAGATGGGCGAAGTCAAGGTCCCGATGAGAATGCTAATGTTGGTGCGCGAGGATCTGTACCGTTGTTGCAGCGACGCCTCTCCGAATGGTTTCCGAACGGTTTGCTATGGACGGAGGATGATGACGCAAAGAGTGACGACGACAACGCAATGGAAGTCGGGACCGTTTTGAACGTGGAGGAAGATTCTGTGGGAGGAAGGCGGACGAGGAAGATGGGGTCGTTTTTGGAGGTTTTGAGGTCATTCGATGAGGTAATAAATTAATAGGAGTGTCAGTAGACATTTGGTGAGATGTGGATTTAGGGTAATTTATTTTCAAATTTAATAAACTTTGTCAAATTTTATAAAATTGGCAAAGTTTGACACCTCCAAAAACAATATCTATTTTACCTTGAAATTGCAAATTATTCATATCTGTCAATTATGGCGTTGAGCTGTGACATATATTGCAAAAATTACGATTTTAATTTCTGCGGAGAATTCAGGGACGAGAGAACTTGAAAACTGTGGACATTCGCCTACTCGATCATGTTAAAATTGAGCATATTATAACGATAATGCACAGCACAACCCAATTAGCACACAGATCTTCAGTCCCCATGCAAAATAACTCTGCAAAAAGTTGCACAATTCATGGGTTTACAAAAATCCACGTTCGTACATATGCAGATCCTAAAACTAACTTTCTCCTGAACATTAGGGTGAACGCATCTTGAACGAAGAGTTTGACTCTTCTTCCGCCTCCTCAGATTCTAATAACGCTACGGATTTGATCGACGACCACTTCGGTCTGGGTGACAAGTCTGGCCGGAAACGACGAGGTCTTTCTGACGACGACAACGACGATACTGCGGCAGAATCCGACTACGACGACGATCCCGGTTCGATGAGGGAGATTTATGTGGGTGGACGCGGAATTTGCGAAGGGGTCCCGCCACCAAAAGGCCACCACGAGGGCGAGGACATTTCCTGCTACACGTGCTCTTCGTCTACGTCGGATGATGACCCCCAGTGCGACCACAGGCTCTGGAAATACCTCCGCCACTCGGAAAAATTCAATTTAAGGTGGGTTTGAAAATTTTAACTTTAATTTTAATACTTATGAAAAAGCCTGCACGTAAATACACATACACGAAATGTTTAGTCTAAATATTATCAAATCGCATCAAGCGTTGTTTTAAGCTTTAATAATAACGTTTAGAAAATCTCAGTTGCAAATTGTGTTAGGAATATTTAGCGGATATCAGTGTTATCCAAGTTCTTAAACCAATTAGAAAATGTAGCAATACAAAATCAACAGTTTAGACGGTTACAACCTTAGTGCATGAGTTGAAATTTATCATTTCTTTAAGTAAAATGTAAATTTTTGTAAAAAAAATTCTTACTACGATTTAGTGCCCGGAAGATAATTCTTTCCAAAATTTGTTGATTTTGCATCAAATATCATATTAGATTTTGGATCTTTAATTTTGAAAACCAATTAATTTCCTAATAACTTTAGGGGTCGTTGCGGTCACTCAGGTCATGTGTGCATGAAGCGGGTGAGTCGCCGCTTTGGTGAGCGGATCACGGAGCGCGGCTGTGTCGCGACGCCACTCCTCATCCCCGCGGGGGACGAGGGGGCTTCGGGTAAGAACAGGACGAAAGAAGTGGCGGGAGACGGGTGTTACACCCACTCGCAGAAAAACGGCTTCCTCACGACGGCATGTTTTTGCAAGAGCTCCCTCTGCAACCACGCCTCCCTCGGTGGCAGTGGCGACTCCTCCCTCTTTTCCATGGTCTTCATCTGCCTGGCCCTCCTTCTCTATGGAATTGCGCTCGCCTTCTTCCAAGATAAGGCCTAGCTTATACCCCTGACGGCCAAAATAAGCCCTGTAAAGAAGATGTCGTCTCCATAATTTAAGACCATGGAATTATGATGTATATTTGTTAATTAAAATGGATCAAATTATTTGAAATTAATTAAAATTTCTTGTTACAATTCCAAGATAAGTGAGAAAGGGTGTAAATCTTATGTGTACTTTTGGACATTGGAAACGGATTTAGATAATTTAAACCATATTTAAATGGATAAAACATTGTGGTGTGTCAAACATTTATATTTCATGTACTTAATTTTAGTGATTTACATACTCATTACTCATGTTATGAGTTGAAATAATTTATTTGCAATGTCTAAATAAAATCTATAAAACACACTTGCCAATTTTGGAGGAATACAGGGTTGGCCAAGATAATTTAACAAGATACAAGATATATCTTGTATCTTGTATCTTGTGTAACGGAGTTTATCTTATCTTTTATCTTGTATCTTAACGTTTCGCAAAAGTATTTTGTATCTTTTATCTTGTATCTGGAGAATTTTTTTCAATCATATTTTATTTGAAATTCTAGTCAAGATACAAGAAACTTTTTTAGTGAAAAACCGGGAAACTTGCATATTTGGTAGTATTAAAACTAGGAATTATAAAGATTTAAAAACCTCAGTGTACAGCTTTGCCGAGCCGGATGCAAGGTTCTGTTGTATAACGTCGTAATATTTATTTATCTACAGTAAATAAACCCTCGCACGTTGGCAAATTTTGGAATTTGCATTATATTCCTAATTTGTACCACCATTAGAGCAATTATTCCAAATTTCAACTGAATATACTGGTAATAATAATTTCAGCTCCATAGAATAATTTAAAAAAATCAGTATGGGTCACCACAGATGAAATCTTCATATTTGTTTATAAATTTTAAACAGAAGGTGAGGACTTGCATTATAAATTATAATGCAAGTTATGAGGCTATACTATCATTATTAACAAGTTACTCGGCTACAATGCAAAAAATCAAGTGGTGCTTCGTTATTTCATGTTTCTTTTCAAGCTCCGAATAATTTATCTTGTATCTTGAAAAAATTATTTCAAATAAATATCTTGTATCTTGTATCTGGGATCACAGCAGATAAAATCTATCTTGTATCTTGTATCTTGTGTAACGCTAATTATTTGTATTTAGTATCTTGTATCTTAGGGTTTCGTTCAAATATTTTTTATCTCGTATCTTGTATCTTGGAAACAAAGTATCTTGGCCAACCCTGGAAGAATATTTGCCAAGAAGATTATATTCATTCATACTACTCTATATGTTCCTTTCTCTACGATCTGCTCAAACAAAATTCGAAAATCAGACGAGATAAACAAGAACGAAGAAAAAAATTGAAAAATTGTTTATCTACTTATTTTTCCTACTCGTAAATTTGTGAAGTAGCTTATCATATCACTGGTTGACGGTTTCAATTCAAGAAATCCTGAGTCTGATGAGATATTAAACAAAATAGGTTTTCAATCATGAGATACATATGTCGAACCTATGATAGATGATATCAAGATGAGCATCATCCCAAACAGAATTTTATCACAAAAAATGACCACAATGCAAACGCTTGCCACTTCTCCTCCCCCTCCAGAACCAATCAACCAAGAGGTCGAAGAAACTGATCACTGCCCAATCTCTACATGCCCTGGAGCAAGTTATGTTGAGGGAGATGACTGGATACTCTGCGACCAATGCACAAAATGGTATCATTTGAAATGTGTCGCACTTTCCGACGTTCCAGAGGAAGACTGGCTTTGTCCAAGTTGTGTCACCTTTCTCACGCCTACACAATCATCCACTTTACTTTCTCCTGGTCATCATAATCTTACTCTTTCATCTGGTGGAAATAAGAAAGCAGCAGCAAAGCGGTGGATACAGGAGTCTCTCGTTGCTGTCGACCCAACGGCTCATACGGAAATCTACATTAAAAAGACAGACATTTTTTCCCGTTATTCCACATTTCTCTGTCAGTCTACAGATCCTGGAGTCACCAAAGCCACGCTCGGAAAATATATCCAAATGGCATTCCCAAACACCAAAAGTCGGCGCCTGGGCTCAAGAGGGAATTCCCACAATGTATATGAAGGTATCAAATGGGCAGACACGCCTCCACCAGATCCCCATCAACAAGGTCAAAAGGATTTGGGTGAAATTCTTTCCGGTTTGAAGATGTCGACACCCACCCTGCGCAGAGTACCACGAGGTGCCAGGATGGCCGTCGCTCATTGCCTCACCAAAATTCTCAAAGATGTTGTCGAGTCAGGTGATGAACAAAGTTGGAGAAAGCTGCTACTATTCACATATGCCGCACTTCCCATCCCACAGAGAGCTGACAGGGTCAAGAACTTGACCACTTGGGTGAAGACTCGTACTGCTGCATGGGACGCTAATTTTTTCATCCCAGAACCACATCCACCTCGCCCATCATCCACTAAATCGTCTCATGATGAAACTTCGAAGAAAGTAGAGGCCAAACTTGCTGATGGAGATATTCGTGGAGCAATTCGCCTTGCCTGCTCTGATGACACATTTGCCCCTAAAGATGATACAACTCTCTCTGCTCTCCTCGAGAAACATCCACCTCACCCACAACCTACCAATTTTCCTCCACCACCAGCGGATCCTTCCGTCGCACCAGTTCTTGACCCGGAGGTGTTTAAGGCTATCTCAACTTTCCCCCCAGGATCGGCTGGTGGGCTTGATGGTATGCGGCCTCAAATTTTGAAGGACCTACTGGGATGCAACCAAGGTGAGAGCGGTGTCAACCTTGCAGATGCCATCTGTGCATTCCTCAACTTGACCCTTAACGGCGGAATCCCAGAAAATATATGTCCTTTATTCTACGGGGCGTCGCTCACGGCTTTGAAAAAGAAATCCGGAGGAATTAGACCAATCGCCGTGGGAAACACGTGGCGCCGCCTCGCTGCAAAGGTCGTCGTGGCCCGAATCACCCCGCAATTAATTGACCACTTTTCTCCACATCAGTTGGGAGTTGGCGTAAAAGGTGGTGCAGAAATCGGCGCCCACACAGCTCGAGTCTACTACAATCACCCTCACTCCTCCCCAAAGGCTTTCCTTAAAATAGACTTTAGGAACGCTTTCAACGAAATACGCAGGGACAATCTTCTACACACCGTCCGAGACCACTTTCCTTCAATCTATGCCTTTGTCTCGCAATGTTACACCAACCCTTCGTCACTTTTCTACGGGACAGCACCCCTCCCTTCGCTACTAGGCTGCCATCAGGGCGACCCTTTGGGCCCGGCCCTCTTCTCCTTGGTGATCCACCCCATCGTTGAATCATTGGACACGGAACTGAACATGTGGTACCTAGATGATGGCACTGTAGCTGATATCCCAGAGAAAGTGTTAGCAGCTCTAGAGACAATTTCCAAAATGGGTGAACAAGTTGGTCTCCACCTCAATCGTGATAAGTGCGAAGTGGGTATTCTGGGAGCAGATCGAGACACCGCCATCGACATTCTCCGTCAATTTCAACTCCAGGCTCCTGGGATACAAGTAATGTCCCCCGAAAATGCGATGCTTCTGGGTGCCCCTCTCACGAACGAGGCTAACTAGGCTAGCTTGGAGATCGTCTTGGCCACAAAAACGGAGCAGTTGGCTACTTTCTCCCGCCGACTCAGTAACCTTTCCAGCCATTCAGCCTTTTTCCTCCTCCGAGCATCAATCTCTATTCCACGCCTTATATATTTTCTCCGTTGTGCCCCAACGTGGAGAGAGTTGGACGCTCTTACCCACTACGATGCTGCTCTCAAGGACGGGCTGGAGGCGATCCTGAATTGTTCTCTTTCGGATGCTGCCTGGATACAGTCATCCTTACCTGTGAAGGAAGGCGGATTGGGGGTTAGACATGCTTTGGATGTGGCGATACCGTGTTTTCTTGGGTCCGAGAAATCGCGAGAGCTTTGCGTTCCGCCGAAGTCCCCTGCATTTTAGAGCCGGCCGGATGCTCCCACCAAGACGGAAAGCATCCCGACGGTTTGACCCTCGTCCCCTGGGCAAGAGGAAAATCTCTGGTTTGGGATTTTACCTGTGTGGATACCTACGCCCCTAGTCATCTCCCCAACACAATCCGGCACCAAGGCGCTGCTGCTACCAAAGCAGAAGACAAAAAGAGACGATATTACGCTTTTCTCGAGGACCGCTTCATTTTTATGCCCGTTGCAATTGAGACGACAGGTATATGGGGGCAAGAGGGATTATCTTTTATTAAAGACATTGGTCAACGGATCGCTGCCACGACTGGAGAACCACGCTCCACAATCTTTCTCCTCCAGCGATTAAGCATTGCAGTTCAACGTGGGAATATAGCTTCAATCCTGGGAACCCTCCCACCAGGAAAAAAATTCAACGAAACCTATTATATTTAAAACTTTTTCTTTTTTAATGACATTGTTAACAAATTTGCATGTCTTGATAAATGTAACCAGTGTATTTCATAGTTTATCATTGTTTATGTTAAAAATAAATGCTTATCATGAAACGGAAAATTTGCATACATATTTGCATTTTGCATAAACTCTGCAATTGTTCTTGAAAAGCAGCATGAAAAGCAGTCAACGTTTTTCCTGTGCAAAGTGATACAAAGACTCGTACGAAACTCAAACTTTGAGAAAAACACCGAGCAAAACAACAACCCAAACTTGCAAATAATTGGTCAAAGTGTTCCCGTTTGTTTAATTGTTGATTAAAATTAGGCGTGACATGGTTCATTTTCGACGCAAGTGGGAAGGTCGTTGAGAGGGGGAGGAGGAGGTGGGGACAGGGCGGCCGCGGCGACACATGGCCACTCTTTTCTATCTCGAGTCTAAAACCGTGTCGCATCACGATCGAGCGGCCACAAGTGCGCGACCAATGAGGCGTAAGTGCAGTTAAATCGATGATGATTAATTAAATTGAGTAATTTACTTATTATTGCAGCATATCATCGTCGCGAGAGTGCGGATGAATTGCAGCTAGATTTTGGCAAGGGTATAAATTTAAATTTAAGAATGAATGAGTTTTAAGTACTTATCAAGATATATGGATAAGGTATATTCTAATATTATTGGACAGATGGAGTCGTAACGGAAATTCTGCGGAACTTGTCGCGCCGCGAGGGTGTCAGCAAGGGGAGGAGACTTGCATTTCTTAACGCCTTCGTGAAATTCTTGCAGGGTGGAAACGCCAAGAAGTATTCGACACATGATGTACTGCTCTGGTAAGGAGAAGGAGGAGATAAGCGATGATGAGTTTTAGAATTATTGTAGTTAATATTTCGCCGGATTGAAATGCAATATTTTTGGTTTTTGTACGCCCTTGACGTTTTGTATTTATATACTTGGACTTTCGTGTTTATTTTTTTAAACTGTTCATCGGATTTGAATATTTGAATCAGATTTCGATAGAAAATTTAATTTGAACAATTTTCATTATACAGCTTTCTTATGTGCAAACTAATGAAGTTTGTGGTGCATTAAGATACAACTTGATTACTTCACTTGAGTTGTGATATAAATTTTCCCTCAAAAGTGATTGCTTGTTGTTGTTTTTAGTCTGCGCATCAGCCTCGTCCACGAAGCAACGGTCGTGCGTCTGGCAACCCTCCGTTGTATCCGCTATCTTGTAACGACGGAGGAAGATGTCATCGCCCTCAATGAAACCGGAGTCCCCTTCCTCATCGTGCGCTGTCTCGACGTCGTCCTCAACAATTCGTCAGAAAGACTCCAAGCGACCCGTTTGTGTCAACGCTTGCTCGCTGTACCGAATGGGGCGCTGCATTTTCCCGCCTGTGTGACCCGCGCCCTTGTCGCGATTGGATTTGACGGTCCGGTCGAGCAGGATAAATTGCATAAACTGAGCTTATCTCTCCTCTGCCAGTTGGCCCTTCTCCATCCCATGCAGTTCATCGAGTGCGGCGGCGTACGCGTCCTTCTCCACAATATTTTAGGTTGTACGTCCCCCATGGTTTTGGAGGCCATGGTGGGTAGTTTACTCCATCTGCTCAATGTACCGGAGACGAGGTGAGATACAAAAATTGGGGAATTTGATTTGGTGTCAATTTGCAATTTTTTGTGTAAAATTTTGTGTATATTTCAAATTGTAAAGCTTTCATTTAGAGATTGAATCATCAAAATTTTGTTAAAATTTAGCAAAAAATTGTCAAAAACTTCTTTCGAATACGGTGGAATATTTAATAATTTTATTTAATTACAGGGACGCATCTGGCGTGAACCTTCAAGCCCTCGTGGCACCATTTACTGACGTGCATTTCAAACATGGACCAAACGAGCCTTCAGATAAGGACTTGTACGTAATTATGGAAATTTATGGTTATTAGCTCAAGTCAGGGTTTATGGAACTGGTATGTCGTGTGTGTGTCTGGGACATGCTAACGAAGGAACCCGTGAACCGATTGTGACCAACTTTGTGCTAAAATGCGTATCTCAACATAAGGCCTTGATGAGTTCGAAGACGAGCAAGATCGGGTCAGCGGTTGACCAGTAAGGTCACTTATATACGTGGTTCGGATAAACACTAAATTTTTAGAAGTTGTTGCACAAACGTAAAAGATGCGGAGAATTAGTGTTGCTCACCCTGACTCGGGCTACATAAAGCTAGGTTTTTTTTATTCTTGTACTCAATTGTTCTTGCTTCTGTTTCAGAGATGAACGTGAAGTAGGTTACCAATGTGCTAAAACCGCAATCGGTGCCGTTTTGCGGAGTTGGAGTGGAATTGCACACTTTTGCCAAAGTCGAAATTCTGGCCTTCAAGCACTCGTGGATGCCTTGTACATAGAACAGTTGGAGATAAGGGTGAGTGGGATGCTTATCGAGAAAAGTTGTTATTTAAAATGCCAACTAATTTTGTTTATCTTGTAGAGAACGATTTTAGACTTAATTTGTGAAATTCTTGGGGTAAAATTTCCCACGTGGAGTGACGAAGTTTCCATCGCCCTCTCCGCGGTGGACCCGTCTTCCCCTCAGGCCTCGTGGAAGTTGGGGGAAGGCTTCATCGTGGAAGAGACGCTTTCCGTCCTTCCACACCTCGCAGTTTCAACGTAAGACTGGATTCGGACATATTTTTAAGTGTCATGCAATGCGAAAAGACTCGTGGAATAATTTTGATAATTTTGTGTTCGCATTTTCTACAGGCCCAACATTACAGCGAACCACATGGCCCTCATAGTTCTTTCGTTTCTACAACGTGGCCTGTTAGAAGCCCTCGTAGAAGTGATTGTGACCGGCGACACTTTCATTTCCGTCCGCGGGACCGTTCTTCTCGGTCAACTGCTCCACCTCGTCGACAAGTTTATCCCTCTCCACTGCTACGACCCAACCCACTGCATCCCCTCCCTTATCCGCTACTCGGCAGATGTGGAGGACGATGACGACATCGTTGCCTCAGCCACTACCACCACGGCTCGGCCCAGCGCCCGGCTGCAGCAACAGCGCGCCATGGAGGCATTGAGCGTGTTAACATCACTGCAAAAAATCAAGGCGCGTCCTCCATTTCCAAACTCGCTCTTCCTTCAAGCACAACTCGAGTATGCGGCCTACCAGCCCAAGGCTCAAGGGAGGTTTGTAAATAAGTTGGGGCAGGTGCAGGTTATGCGGGTAAGTGAGAAGGATAGTTGAGATTATTGATGTCTTGACCTGGAAGTGGTACATAAATTGGCATTGAATTTTTTACAGCTTTTGAAACGCGACATTGAGGGAAATCCAAACAAATTATTAAAGGATACGGGCGTCTTAAACTCGAAGGATTCCACGACATGGCAGTGGGACACTATTCTTTCGCTTATCAAGGTAGTTATCTATCTTGCAATTCTTAATTTAAGGTAGGGGTTATCTTAATTGTTGGTATGTTGTAGTGGGCGCCATCGGTTCTGAAGAGGGTGGACGATTCGACCTGGCATAACTTTCTGAAAAGGCTGATCGACTATTTCAAACCGTCAAGCAATCTCTTTGCCAGGCTGGAAGTGGGGAAAGGACAGTCGAAACTGATATCGAAAACTGTGACGGCCCTGGTGACGTTTTTAGCCGAGGAGGTTGAGGTAAGGATTGATGCTTGTATTTAAAATGTGTAGCTTTGGTCAAATTGCTTTACAACCTTTCACAAAATAAAAAGTATTTATTGATTAACGTGTTGATTATTTTGTAGAATTTTAGCGGCAGTGTGTTGCTTGAGGGGCTCCTGGTCGACATTGCGTCGCAGTTGGACGAGGTTCTACGTCAGCCAAATAATCCGTGCGCCTGTTTTTTGTCGTGAGTTTTGAATGCATATATATTAATTAAGAGATGTCTTTGCAGATTAATGTTGGTAAAATTGGCACCGTTTTATTTGTAGAATAATTTTTACAGTTTACGCTATGGTATCGATATTGACTAATAATTACGGATTTAACTGATTTATTCCAGGCCTGTGAAGTTGGAGAGTACGCTAAGCCAGATTTATTTTCTTATTGTGGGGAAACTGACTCACACGACGAAAGGGTTTCGAATCTTGGAGAAGGGCGACATCCTCAAGCGCTTCCTCCACCTCGTCTGTCAAGTCCAACATGAATGCTACATCAAACTCATCGTCGCATCGTTATCCTATCGGGAAGAGTACTGCAAGTGGGTGGAGAATAATTCACACCATGTTTGTAATCCAGTGAACTCTGTAAATTCTCCAAACTTACAACTTTTTAAGAAAATAATTGGAACGGAAATCAAATTAAAGTTGTGTACAACTCATCGGCACCACTAGTTTGCAAGGATTACACAGTTAACGAAGTTACAAACATCGCTGTGACATTAAACCGACGGATTTTTAAAATACTTATGAAAATCGTTAAGACCGGTACTTTTTAACATAATTTTTTGTTTGTTTTTGACACCAGGAGAATCTTGGCGACCGCGCTGTCCTCTCCTTACGACAACTCGCGCCAATTTGCAACGCAATTCCTCCGCGTTTTGGTGCGGACGAAGCTCTCGGGATTTTCCAAGTGGGGGATGGAACTGCTCGTAAATCAGTTGGGGGACCGGAATCGTGCAATCGTACTGACAGCAATGGACATCTTGGAAGAAGCGATACATGACAAGGTGACCTTAAAGTTTATTTGTGCCCTGAATTGGAAATTGACTTTTGTTTTATGTGACGCAGATGTTTCTCGAGTCGCTGATCGCCCTTCGTCCGACGTTGACGCATCTGGGAGATCGCGGCCTCTTGCTGCTCGTTACGTTCCTCTCGCTCCCGTCCGGATTCAAGTTCCTCATGGAGGCGAGCTGGTTGAAGAATGAGATTGTCAGATGGAGGGAGTCCTTCAACAAGAGGTGGGTTGCAGGAGGCACCGCAGGGTTAGGGGGGAAAGGGAATGAGGGACTTAATTTTTCAGAAGAGATTTATGAAATATTTAGAATTTCGTAAAATAATATATAATACAATTTTTACAGCTTAATTAATTTCTAATTTTCCAGGTATGTTGAACTTGTCGAGGTGTTGGTGCGGGACTCTGTCTCCACTTTGCGTCGCGGGGAGGATGGGAAGTATCCCGAGCGGGCATCGAGGAACCAAGAGCAGTCGAAATTCGTCGACATTTATGTTCCTCCACATCTCTACGGCCAGCTCGCCCAACACAAAGAAGGCCTCGAGCTACTCCTCGATTCAGGCGACATCCAGGCCCTCATTGTGACCGTAAATTCTAAAAAATGCTCCAACACGGAGGAAACGCGCGAGCTGAAGGCGGCCTTGTGGGCGTTGTCTCGTAAGTTACTAAAAATCTGGCCAGTTTTTTTTTCAGCAGAATGAACAAGTTCTTGATTGATTCTGACTTCGACAATTAACTCGGATATTTGTAACTCAGCCGTAACCTACATATTTTTTTGTGGTGGTGTGTAAACTAATTTTACAAAGGGTACATAATTGACTGGGTTACAAGCAAGTGTCTGAGTTAATTGCCTCGCTTCATAGTTAACGAAGGAGTGTTAATTAATTAATACTGTTAATTAATGTGGGGTTTCTACTCATTTTTTGCAGATTTTGGGACAGCGGTAGACTCTGTGCCGCTTTTGGAGGAGTCGCACGTGATTGGGAGCATGGTGGAGCTTGGTCGCTTTTGTCCCATTTTGTCCGTCCGCCACACCGTGTTTCACTGCCTCTGCTTGATCTGCGTGACGATGATAGGGTCCGAGGTCTTACGGAAGTGGGGGTGGCATGCGATGGTAAGTGCCACAGTTTGATTAAACCTGGATCTTGGATCTTTTAGGAGTTTGTTTGTGTACAATTATAAGATTTGCTTATGTTTTTGATACTTTTGAATTTGTTTGAGGTTTGATGAGAATTTTTCATTATAATTCAGAGTTGTTAAATAGTTTTCAAGCAGCGTTATCAAATTTTTAAGCCTACTTATAAATTGTATGGTATTTTTTATTTTGAACTTTTTAAATATTATTTTCCAGCCACGAAGTCATCACGAAACGTTTACGATTTGGAGCCCAGAAATGTTTGCGGGCGATGAAACTCGTCGCTTGTTGAGGCTTCGAGTGGAGGCTGAGTTACCAGAAGAAGAACAGCAACCAGGTTCAGTTAATCAAACCAGAAGAAATAATAACAAAGTCTTAATTTGTTGCCTTTTTTATTTCAGATGAAGACGACGACGATGAAAAAACTTCTTTAGCTGACGCATATTCCGCCCACGGACTAAACGAGGAAGAAGAATCGGAAGAGCTCCTCCTGGCGATGGAGGAAGAGGGCGCAAACGAAGAATTGTTGAAGGCATGTTCCCTCACGACGACCGGGGCATCATCGCCCCTCCGCTGGAGCCACTTCCATCACCGATCACATTCGGACTCGCACACGTTGTCGTCCTCCCAGGGACATCGGAGGAGGACGAGCAGCAGAGGGAGCGCAAGTGGAAATGGGAGGCGCCGAGGTCTCCCTCCCATTTCGGCCGATGGTGCCAGCAGTAGCTCTCTCGGACCCACATTTTACTCTCGGTGGAGGAAAGACAGCGCGACAGAGTCGACAACCAGCGGCGTTTCGTCATCTGATTCGATGACCATGACCATGACGATGACGACTCAGGCGCAGATACAGCAACAAATTGTAGGACATACGTTGAGTCCGATTCCATCCTCGGCAAGTATTGCGACGACAGGAGACCCGCAAAGTCCGCCTTCGAGAGGTGAGTAGATGGGGATTTTAGAAATTAAAGGGGGCAAATTAATTTATGCACGTTTTTTATTTCCGATTTTTTCCCAATGCAGGATCCAGCCGAGCTACATTGACTGAGCCAGTCGTAGGGAGTAGTAGCCTCGGCACTAGTGGGCGTTGGGGATCACCTCTCCATCGCAGTTTGCGCATCCGGAAGCCCGTAATTCGCATGCCGTCTATGGCTGGTGGGGATCACGACTACGGAAACTATATTGGTCCCGGAGGTGCGCGAAGGTCTGGGAGTTCACTGATGATGTTGAAAACTGGTTCTCTCGACCGCCACCTCATCCTCTCGCCGGGTGATTTGTTCGAGGCGAATAAGTTGGCCCGGGTCAATTCTTCACTGACTTCGCTATCTACGCCGTCTTTCCGAGTCAGGTAAGAAGAGCATCAAATTGAACTACTTCACAGTGATATTTCTTTGTAGTACCAGTGAAATTTGTAAACGTTCACACAAGTTTAAGAAAATCCAATTTGTAAATCTAGCTACGGGTTAGTAATTTTGCAATAATTTTATTTAGGCCCGAGTCAGAAATGAGGGGTCCGTGCTATATGGGATTGTGTGTTCCGGACGATTTTGGCGCCATATTTCTGACCGATTCGTCCATTCCATTGCACGTGAGGATGACCTCTGTCCCTGGTGAGGTCACACACTTCCGGTTCATCGTTAATTCCACTTATTCATTCGACTTATTTATTTATATATCTTATTTCAGGAGAGGACGCGAAGGAACCGAGACTCGGAGAGTCGTTTGAGTTTCATACCGTGACGAACTGTCTGGGCTGCTATAGGTTGCGAGAGCACGTTGTCGACACGACGTCGGCGATGGAGGATGATGAAATTTTTGGTTTAACGGAGAAGTTAACATCCCTCGGCGTTGGAAGCATCGAGGGGTTGACGGACGCCGAGGTCGTGGCGAATGGGGCGGTCCTGTTGAGAAGAGAGATTTTAAGGCTGGTCTCGAACCTTATTTGCTGCGTGGGGGCGAAAGCGAACGAGCAAGGGTTACTGAGGTGAGTACATATTTTTTTTGGTCAAGGGTCAAGTGTAATTATAAATCCTGAAGGCTGAGTTCACAAAAGGAATTAAAAAGCATGTAATACTTATGTTTTATTTTTGTCCTAGACTGAAACAAAAGTTCCCATCGGCCTTCCAAGACTTGTGTTTGTACACAGAGCTAAGCGTCGTAATGAGCAAATACAACCTGCGTCTCCTCCTCCGACGTTTCCTCCAAGAACTCTTCTTAGACAACACGTTTACCGCTGTGAGTAAAATAGATGAGTGAGATGATACACTAAATGATAAGATGGTGTGACTAATGTGTATCGTTGTGCCTCTAGTTTTACGAAGTGGCGGAACTTATCGTGGGCAAGTGGGAGGAGTGCGAGGAAGACGAGAACGTTGACAAGTTGGTGGAGGAAGTGAACGAAGAAACGTAGTGAATCATGGAATGGCTGCTAACTATTATTTCATATTAATTTATTTTATGCGCTTATCCATCCCGATGATCGAATTGCTTATCGTTCATATAACTTATCCTGCTGTGATTTCCTTTTCTATTCCGGTTAAATAAATGTTAAGAGTTTGACAATGAAAAGAGATAATCACTTAATTTTGCAAATAATTGATCATTATACATACTAAATAATCATACAGGCCACCGGTTGGAAATTTTGCAAAAAAAAATCTCGATTGATTTATTTAACACTAAAAATGTATTATAGGTAATTATATATTTATGATAATCAAGTAATTAAAACAAGGTTAATTAACAATGATTAAGTGAAGGTAAGAATTTCCGTGCGCCACTTGCTATGTGGATTCGGCCTGGGTTGAAAATCTATTTTTTGTTGGGTCAAGATAAGATACGGCTCCAACTCGGCGATCGCCTCCAACCAGGCAGCCCCCTTCGCGACGACGCTGAGAAGTTCTTCGACAAGGCTGAGTTCATCCCCGAGGACGAAGTGGGTGTAATGCGCATCGAGGAGTGAGGTCAGCCAGAGGACGGAGGAGGTCATTGTGTCGTCGCCAGACTCACTTCCCATCGTGAGGGCGGACTCCATCTTGAATTTGAGGTAGAGCGCAAGTCGACGGGAGAGAATGAAGTCGAGCGAAGTCAGGGCGCCGACCAGTTGGGCAGGATCGACAGATCGGGAAAGGATTAGATCGAGGAGAGAGTGAGAGGCAGTTATCGAGTCGGTCTGAAATTCAGTTAAGGTGATTAGATTATTTTTAATGTACATAAAGTTGCTTAGAAAATATTAGAGAAAAATTAAGTTCGAGTACAATAATAAGACTTCGTGTCAAAGTTTAAACAAAAGGTATAAATATGTAAAGTTCATGTTACAAATTTTTTCATACCATGTTGTCCAACAATTTTGCCAAGATGATGATTAGGTGACTTTCAGGAATGTCGGTGAAATTTTGAAGCATCCAATCCAATGCAGCGTCTCCTTTGGTTAGGGCGAGGGGCAGGATTTGAGTACAGATTCTGGTCCAAAGTCAATGAATAATATAAATCAGTTAAGATAAGAATAAGATATCCATACTATTGATAATGCAGCCACTGCAGTGCTTACAGTGATTGAGGTTGACCTTCTCGCTCTAGAATTTTGTATTGTTGCACCACCTCCCAAAATTCGGGGAAAGATTTTTTAATCGCGTTGACCTCGGCGTTGGAAGAGGCTGACCGTAGCAGCTTTTTGGCGGCCGCGGCTTGTTTGTTGTGGTGGCCGTGGGGTTGTTCGACGTCGACAGTCCAGCCCACCGAGGTCACTGGATCCAGGACAAAAGGTGACCTCTGTTCAAATACTTCTTCGCCGGAACGGATCCCATGTTTACCGACGACGCCTGATAAGCGAGATTTTGAGGAGTAGAGGGCGATGACCTAATTTGCATACGTAGAAAACGTTAATACAGATATTAACCAACAACTATGCTTGCACATATTCACAAATCTCAAACCCACCAGAACATGCAGTCCCACCGGGATGAGAACATTTCCTCCCAATACGTCCATGATGGGAGGATTAGCATACATTTTGAGGGACTGTTTCGCCACTACTATGTCGTACTTGAGGTCATAGAGGGCAATCAGCGCCCCTTCTTCAGATGGGTCAGACCCATAAATGACCACTTTGGACCAATCACCATCCTTCGAGGATGGAGGCGCGGGATGCAAAACGACCGGCGTCAGAGGGGAGATCACTTTGGCGAGAGAACCGACCAAGCTGGGAGCCGGTAAAGGTGTCGTCAAAAATTGCTGCCACAAACGCCCATCGCGACCTGCGAGTTAAGAATATTTATGCATGCTACTTTTAATCGATAAGTACTCATCGTAATTACTCACCGAGATACAAGATACTCGGACCGTCGTCGCCAGGGAGGATACAGTGTCCCACAAACTCGGATTTTACCTCGATCTGGGTGACGATCTGGTTTTTGTGGAGGAGTGTAACTTTCATGACATCTCGAGTAACGATGGCTCTTCCAGCCTGAGTGAAGTAATAGATTGATAAATGTGCAATAAATTAACCACAAGTATGGCTCAAAAACATGGAATAAGTGTACCTTCTTTGGTGCCGATATGATAACCACCTTTTCAGGATGACACTGAGCAGCGTCGATGATAGTATCGCACTCCGTGTCGACAAACCCCTTTCCAGTGGCGATCGCTTTTCTGAGCTTTTTCTTTTGATCAGACGTCAAAAGCGGGGCGAGTGGGGTTGTGAAACCGTTTTCGAAAATAACCAGTGCCCCATCCTCGGTGAGAGAACTGGACGGGTTAAGCTCCCAAATCGGGTCAGAAAACTGAGATTTGATATTTAAAATAGGAATTAGTTCGTTAAATTTAACGACAGCAGATTACTGATTATTGACTGACTCACTTTCATCTTGGTCACATCACCCATCGCAGTGTCATCCTCATTCCACACGGCGACAGTGTTATTGTCCAGGATAGCGCCGTACTTGCCGATGTCGGCACATTTGACGACACGAGAGGTAAACCAGTGACGTGACGAGGTCCATGATGTTTCCTGCTTTTGCTCGAGTACCTGGTACGTTGATAAGTGTTTTATTAAATAATATAATTTGCATACTATTTTTATGAGGCGATAACTTACATGATAACGAATCGCCATGTTCTTCCCGGTTGTTAAAACGATACTCCCATCTGCGCCGGAAATACCAAGAAAATCCCTCCGCTCCGAAAGCGGGCAGAGAATGAAGGGTGCGCCCAAACCGCCCATCTGAGATGATAACTGCTTATCGGATGGGTAAGTCAATTTTCTCCAAGAAGACACAAGCAGAAATCAGCACGTGGTGGAAAACACGTTGAGTTGAATGAATACGTGTTTCCCTTTACCCCGATTTTATAGGTGCGAAGATTTAAATATCCTTTCTGTCAACAAAAATAATAAACAACAGCCAGACGATAAAAGTGGGTGGTCCGGTCGTGTCGACAATTTCGACATGTTCAACGCATTTAAAAAGTTGACCGGGCGCAGTGGCGATGCGGGCGTGGTTATCAACAACCAACAACCCCCCGCCGCAATGGCGCACTCGTTGCAGAGAAAGTTCGCAAAAGGGGTTCACTATAACAGTAAGTTTGTAAATGTCACATTTCCATATTTTGTATATCTGATATTTATTATATCGTGTATAAACTTGGGCAAATATTTTGTTGGATAATACCAATTAATACTATTAACTAAGAGCGTGGTTGGCTAAATATTTGTCTAATTCTGTGAAATTATAATTCTAGTGAAAATGGTCATCAAAGGTGACCGAAATGTCGGGAAGTCAGCCCTCTTCCGTCGCCTTCAAGGTCTTCAGTTCACGGAGGAGTACACCGCCACTGAGGAAATTCAAGTCGCCACGATCGCCTGGAGTTACAAGAACAGCGAGGATATCGTCAAAGTCGAAGTGTGGGATGTCGTTGACGTTGCACAGAAGAAAAAACGCCTCCCCACCGACAAGCTAAAACTGGATAATAGTGCGGGTGGCGAAAATGGCGCCGAAGTGGCTCTGGACGCGAATACGATTGACGTGTATAAAAACACACACGGCGCTATTTTGGTCTTCGATATAACAAAGACATGGTGAGTGGTTTGTCATTTTAAATTTAAACAAACATGGGTTTAAGCACTCATCCCGTAACAGAATCTGGTTTTACGCCATTTTTGTCCAAATGTTTCTTATATTTCTTCTTGAATTTATGAATTGCTGACAAAATATTTTCATATGTGTGTATGTTAACCCCGAAATATTTACGAAACTGCTGGAATTTTGTAAAGAAAAAAATAGGTCAGAAGTGATAATTTCAAATCTTGGTCTTTCTAGGACGTGGGATTACGTAAAGCGAGAACTCAACTCCATTCCGCCCCACATTCCCATTCTGGTTCTTGGAAATCGCCGCGACATGGGTCATCACCGCGCCGTGGCGTTTGACACGGTCATCTATGCCATTGAAGCCTTGGACGAGGGACGCGAAGTGCGCTACGCCGAGAGCAGCATGCGATACGGGTTTGGATTAAAATTTGTCCACAAGTTTTTCAACCTTCCATATCTCGCCCTGCAGAGAGAAGCCTTGCTGAAACAGGTCGAGGTCAACGAGCAAGAGCAGGTGGTCACGGGTCATGAGTTGGACTATTACGGAGAAAGTGATGATGCGAACTATGACTTGTAAGTGGAAAATTGTGAAGAAATGTCGTATTTGAAAATTTTGAAATCATGTTTTGACATCAAAAGCACTTGATTTTCACAAAGTAATCTTTTAATTTGATTTAAGATTTATCGACGGACTTAGTCAAAAAAGGAGACAAGTCGCGGATGCGCTCAGCCCGCCGAAAATGTCACTCGCGGAGGCCCAAGCTGTCGCGTCGCAGAAGGCTATGAAGGACGCAAAAGATGAGAAGGACGCGGCCGCCGTTGTTGCGCGACTCTCGGTTAAGTCAGACCCTTCCAGACCCTCGCCTTCGAGTCAGATCAAAGCAAGTGGAAAGTCTGGGCAGCAACAAAATAGTAATTGACCACTAGAGAAATCTATTTCGATGAGCAACGCTAAGCTAATTTTTTGAACAACTCATTACCTAAAAAATGCTTACCTTATTGACACTTTATAAACAAAAGAAGACAAATATTTAATTCATTTGTTGTTGTTTCTTGGCGCAGGTGGTGGTGTTGGCGGTGCTACAAATCCGATAACGACATCGAAGAAGAATGAGCTTAACAACAACCCTGTCACGGTGGGAGGAGGAGGATTTAATGGTGGAAAGGGGGTGGATGATTTCGTACCTGACGAGGACATCGGTGGCTTCCTTGAGGATGGCGGTGTCGAGAACGGGAGGAACAATGACCTCGCCCTGGAGGAGGAATCCAGCGATGACGACGCAGAAGGGAATAATCCCATGGTCGCAGGCTTCGTAGAAGATGTGGATGATCGCGAGCTCAAGATTCGGTAAAAAATTACAATAATGACAACAATATGATCTACTATTATTTGTAAATCGAATCTTTGCCAGTTTTTGCTCTAAATTACCAGAAACTTATCAAGATTTCGTTAATTGCAGCTCCATCGCAGCTACCACTTTTCATCAGGGCATTGAAGAACCACAATCTGAGGAAGAAACCGAGGATCCATTTCCATCCACGAACGGGGCGACGACATCTTCCTCCGCCATGAAGCCAGGCTTCCAAATGTTTTCAGACCCCGGGAGTGCGGGCGACCATCTCGTCGCCGAGGAGTCAAAACGGACCCGAAAGTCGAAAAAGGGCGGGAAGCATCATCACCACAAGTCCAAACATAAGGCGACCGAGTTGGAAGACTTTCTTGGCGGTGGGTCCGGCGACGCGACCGCAGTTTCGGTCGATTCCAGTGCTTATGAAGCTATTTAATTACTTAATTATGGCGAATTATGGCGTCCAGTCGGAATCCGTGATGGGAAATTTCATCGTCTTCTAATCAACAAAGTGCTAATCTCATTGATCAATCATCGTATGTAACTTAATTGTTGAAATTATGCTAATTATGTATACGGGACCAGGAGGAGAATTAATTTCATTGCAATTAATTTAATTTGTGTCCCGACTGCTGCAAAGGTGCGTACAAAATATTTGAGTTAGGAATGTTTTCCATTAAGTGCTGTGCTATTAAAATATACGTGAGGCTGTGCAATTTATAAATGCAAATTTTCCCAAGTTTTGCACATTTTGAAATACTCGAACTAAAGTGTTACAGTTAATTTATGTAAATTAAATTATATTTATCTCGCTAAGGAGCGGAAATGTTGACTCGTTTTTAATTGATTCGTTCTTAAGATTAAATAAAAATTGTTGAACAAAATCACAACAAATTTTCATGCGGACTAAGCCCAAAGAGGTCGAAAAGTAAAAGAATGGGAGGACCCATTTTCACGAAAAAAATCGGGCTCACAAAATTTGGGGAACCTCTTTGGGGGTGGAAAACTGGGAACAACAATTTCGTGTGTTGAAACAGAAATCGGACCCACGCATTACATATTTACTTCCAATGATTCTTCGTACTCGGTAATATTGTGAAACTTGGACAAAATTTAGAACGACATTCGCAGAAAAGACTTGGAACGTAATCATGTTACAAGTCGTTGGGTACAAAGTAAGGATTGCCAAATCAAACTTGGTCAAACATTTTCATGCTGCTAGTAACAAAGAATATATATTTCACTTTCTCTCATTTTTTGCAATAACAATAAATCTACGCATTTAAAAAATAGTTAAAATAGGAAGTTTTTTTAAAAGTTGGTCTCTGAATATCACAAGTTTTCAGGGAAAGGTAACAAAATCAGGATTTTTGCTGGGTGGCGTCCCCATTTGAATTTGAGGGGCAGCGGAGTGGGGGTGCCGGAGAGGGTGTCGCCCCCACAGCGAGGATTACCGGAAGTTGGGAAGGGGGAGGAGCTTGTTGTAGTGCTGGGGGTGAGATTGACCTCGTGACGTGGTTATGGTCGCCGAGGGAGGAACCCAGCTCGCGCAGGTATTTGTCGCCTTTGACGGCGTCGGGCGAATAGTGCTTCGTCCGCACCCCACCGTCCGAGCGTTGATAAGTGATGAATACTTCGGGTACCGGCTCTTCAGTTTGACCAACCACCTGAAAATTCAAGGCATAACCTCGATAACTTTTACATATTGCGTGATTGGTCTATATTATCATTGGTTAATTAATAAATAGTGGTGCTTAAATGGGCAGTGACGTAAACACCCTGAAAATTAGACACTCCAATCCTTCAATTTCCGATGAACATGCAATTTCATCAATTGTGTCTACAAACTTAGGAGCTTGGGTTAAGCATAGCGTGCGAAACTTCAATATTTCCATAATATCGTTAAAATTGGACAAAACAAAAGGGAAAGAAATTTAAACGAATATTCGCAATTAATAATGCAAATGCAAGAGACTGGAAATTGTATGAAACCAAAAAAATTGATACCAATTTGGTGACAAATGTTCTCGTTCTCTTCGTGGGGATTAATTTATAGAGTTTGATGATTTTGATTTGCAACCACAAAAATGTCAAAGATCAAGGATAATATTGACGTAATTCACGCGGCTGTTTGTAACGCGACAAGCTCTATATTTTAACAATCCCTGTAGGTCAGAGGTCGGGTAACTTACTTACCTCGACATCGGTCAAGATTTGTGGCTCCTTGAGTAGAATGTACACCACGGTTTTCTTTTTCGGTGGGAGGTAGACTTTTTGATGGCGTTGGATACGCAGGGTCGGCCCTTCAATGAACTTGACGTCCTGACCACGATCGTTTCCATCGTCAACGAGCGCTTTGCGGATTTCGCCCTCGTCGCCAGCCTTGTGGACGACGAAGCGAAGCGCCGTCTCCTCTCCGGACATTTGTAAACTTTGCTCCATCGTGTCTGGCCAGACAATGGTTTGACGGTCGACGGCCGTGGCGTCAGGGTAACCCCCAGAGTTTTGGGGTGGAGAGTAGATGGGCTGCTGTTCCTGCGGGGAAAGGTCAGCGTGAGATCAACACCGTATGTAAATTAAGGTCACGTTGACCTACCGTGATTATGTGTGGTGGTGGAGATTGTGGTGGAGGAGGCGGACTTTGTGGTGGGGGTGGCGGCGTTGTGGGGTGTTTTTCATACACTGGGCCGAGAACTGGTGGTGGTCCATACCCAGACCCGATAAGTGGTGGTGGTTTATTATCATTTTGATTCCTGCCATTCTGTGGAAGATATTTGACTTGACCTGGCTGACCTTGTTGACCTTGGGGTGGCTGATCCTTCTTATCCTGGAGAAATATTCATTTATCTTTAACTTATAAATGATATAATTTACTCGGATTTTTTAACTTTGATATAAATTTTGGGAATAAAAACGAGATAAAAATGGGATAACGCTATTATATGTATAAGAGAAATTAATTAATCTGCAATGTTAAAGGTTGACAAAATTTTGAAAAGCTTCCAAGCATTCACTGCAAGCTTACATAAACGTCGAATATATTTGACGAATATTTGAGAACATTATGTTTAATAAAATGAAACAATTTACGCCAATGTTTGTGACCTATGATGAAAAGTTTTCTAAAATTGTAAGTACTAGCTTTCTACCCTGATTTGCCTGCTTTGAAATGTACAAAGTTTACTGGGTTACATTTACATTACGAAAGTCCGGGTTAATAATTTCCTCATATCGTACATACCTGGATGGAGAACTTTGCATACTTTGGCGGTGTGGGGGTCGGGACGATTTGGACGCGTTGTTGGGACGCGGCAGGAAGTGGGGGCGGTCGAAAAAGTGAGGGAAACAGGCTCCTCGGAAGGTGTGGTTCGTACGAGTACAGTTCTTGGACAACTTCCGCCTTCGCGATGCTCCAATCCGGCTCCCCCATGGACGCAATCGCACCCTCGGACACACTTATGAGGCCAAACGTCATGAAGAGGACGCCAATGACGAGCTAAAGTCATATAAATTAACGACCTATGAATTTTTAAATATTAACCCGGTACACTTGCCAACTTTTGAAAGATTGCGAAAAGTACAGCAGATTACGCAAGTTGTATATATATGTAAATTCACAGATCGAATGCTTCTAATTATTTCGTATGCAAAACCATCACTGCAATAATTGCAGGGCAATTCACGCGGATTTTACTGAACTGTCAACTGTACAAGTCTTATAAAAAAGAGTACTGTGAAAACCTTTAGCAAATATTTAGAGACACCGATTTAATATTCTTTCATAAATTCAGACCAAGATTTGCAAATGGTTTAACTGTGCAAATTTGGTCAAGTCATTAAGCTTACAAATTTCTGGAAAAATTTAATGGAAATTTATTCTAATAACTTTTCCTCAAATTTTTGGCGTTGGTGTCACTTCCATAATTGTGTACAATTGTTTTGCATGAGTCTAAATAGCGCCCGGTCACCAGAAACGTGTGTAAAAGTAGTTTGATAAAATCATTTTTCAAACATTTGCAAACAAAGAGACTCTCACGATCTGTGGAAGCTAACTATATTTAGATTTACAACCAGGTATTTAGTTGTACACGATCTTTACAAACTTTTGGAAACGATTCTTTCTTCTCCACAGAATTTACTGACTTTGTTTTGTCTCAGAATCTCACATTGCCTCTTCTTTCTCACACTGCTTACCTTGTTCGACATGGTGACGATCAATCCTGATAATTGACTGTGATTAATTAGCGCACCGTGGCACTTAATAGTAACATCTTAGCGGAAACTGTGCCCGGATGTGAATTAATTCTGCCAAACTTTTTGCGATGAAATGTGCAGAAAATTAAGCGTGGACTCCGTTGAAGAAGTTGTCCTTATAATAATGACGTGCCGATACTGGTGGTTGGTGATTTTGAGGTGTATGTCGCTTGTCACACGAAGGTATTAGTTTCGTCAGTGAGTCGAGTCTTCTGGGGGCTAATATTGCAAATACATGGATGCGAAAGATGGCTTTTCTTTCAGCTCATCTTCTTCACCATCTTCTTCGTTGAGGGATCATGAATTCGTCTTCTTAACGATGACCAATATCGTGCTCGGGATCGTCCACACAAAACGCGTCGTAAACTCGACTATAAAATTACGGGAACAATAATTGTCCACCAAATTCAAGTTTAACACCGAAATTAATACAAAAACTAAAATTGTTCTCCGACATTTGTCTGTTTTTGGACGGACATCCGACGTGTGTGCATGGACCCCTCAGGATTAAGAGGGGATTACCACTTAACTATCTGCAGGTGAGGTTGAAGATGATGAATAATGAATTATGTATGTTTATGAATGATGATGCATTGTTGACCAATATGCATGCGAATATTTTTGGCGTTATTGCAATTTACACAAGACCAGTAGACGTACACGTACCTAAATCTAACCCGGATTGGAGTAGACTATGTACCTCTTGGTAGTATGAAGCAAGCGGCTATTTAGCTGCAGTGTCAATTAAGGCGCTAGTTAGTTATTTATTTATGTATTTATTTTTTACGGCCGTATTATGCTTAACTTTGGAGGTAAACACGCTTTGGGGAAAAATTAAGCAAATATTCGCGTGGGTAGCAAGTTAGTTACGATGCAACGTACTTGTCCCCATTTTTGGGTACTTTGTTAACTTATGATGTTGTCATTTGTCTCGATAAGTGTGATGATTGTCGCAATTAATGCCTCCGTCCTTTAAACTCTGATGGACTTTAGAAAAATATTGACGCAATTGAAAACTCTTTGTAAACCGTGTATACAAATTGTGTACATTGAACTATGGATGGTGCAAGATGTTCTTACAATTAGATGCAAAATATGCTGGTGATCTGCGTAACAAGTTTATGTACCTCAGCCTGACTTTCCTTCTTATTCTTTGTAACGATGCAGTGGAAAAGTTGCTAATTCAATGTTACACTGTTTTGTTTATGTACATCGATTCTAAAGTGTAAATTTCCATTATGTCGTCTGGATGTGTGCACTCTGTAAAATTGATAAGCTTACAAATGTTTCGACAAGTTTGCAAAGATCGCGAAGGAAAATCATGCCATTTGTGTGTAAATTTAGCGTAAACCTATAAACAGATCACGGGGGATAAAATTTGCATACGCCTGAGTAAAAATTGTCTCAAAAATGTGTACACGTATTTTATTTTACAGGATTAAGTAAGACACGCTTTTAGAATTTGTAAGCTGATTTTTTTCTCCGAGATTTTGCCAACTTTACACAATTTACTAGGGTACAAAACGTCCGCGTGAAACGTCTCATTGTTTTTGGTCACCTACCATTTCAAGAACTAAAACGGATGACCAAACAAAGTATGGTCATCTCCATGTTTGACAATTTTTTTGTCTGTGTGTGTCGCATTTTAAGAGTCAAGTGGTTCCTCTTCTGTTCTTTTGTGGGGGATAAGATTTCCTCTGTGCAATATTTAGTCGGTGGTGGATTGGATTGACGATGGATGGATGATGATTGTCGTCATTGTTGTGATTGATGTGTCCCCATTGTTTCAATTGAACGGAGATGAATGGCCAATATAATAATATTTCACTGAGAGATTACAGATTCCTTCGGCTCATCATGCTAAGTAAAGGAGAAAGGGTTTCGATTTCTGGGACGACAGGGTTTCGTAAAAATGCAAAATATGTATATTGGTAACCGAATTGTGAGGATGATACCTAAATATGAGACTATAATTTTCTAAGTACTTATTATAAGTTTAAAATATGTCACCACTCTCTGGTGAGAAATTAAGTGTGGTAGGTAGCTAATTTGAACGTGGGACAAGTTATTACCGTTCGGTAGAAAATTGTCTTCAGCAAATTGATTCTAAATGGAAATCTAAATTATCTCAGGAAGTGCAATGCTAGGTACATATAGTTGTAAAGCTGTACATAGTATTTCAATATTCAACCTGAAAGACGTCTCGAATATTGATAATTCCAAATTCTCTACGTACCTAGACTATGCAAATTTGTGAATTTTTCAAATTTTTCTCATACAACAAGTGAAAGGACAGTTTTCGTTTTGCTAACTTATACATACATATTATTATGTTTTACAAATATTAACAAATTTATTGGCCACCTCTTTCATAAAAGTTTGTCCACTTTAAACGAACAAACACAGTGTATTGTATACATTCAAATTTTCGGAAAAAAGCATACGCATAAATTATAATTACACCTATTTTATCGATATGTTTTTTGTTCACTAATTACTTTCAGTAATTAAATTTCTTGCACTTGCATGAGAACCTATGTATTCGCCACCCTGGCATAATTTGCTTCATGTGTGTCGTGTAATCCACTCCATAATTATTTACTTGCGACGACGACGACGACGACGAGGAGGACGACAAATAGACAACTTATTCTTCTCCTCGGTGTGGAGGAGTGTTTAGTTAATTCGAGTTTTATTTATTTATTATTATTTTTTAATACGGCCAAATAAATGAGACGTCTCTCTCAATCTGGGACCGCACATGAGGCATGCGATCGATTTACCCCTGTGGGGTGACCCGTATGCCCACGTTATAGCGTGGATCCCACACTTTATGCATGGCCCTCGAGAGAGAAATCATCCAAATCTGTGCAAATCGGTAAGTTGCAAAGAGTAATTTAATTATGGTGCGGGCTTTGCCTCTACACACGCCAAGTCGCCATAAAAAAATGGGTAGGAAAGGATTTAAGAAGATTAAGAGGACGACACGCCTTACAAAAACATGAGAATTGCGAATTGTGCAAAAAAAAGATGAATCATCGTCATTTCCGTCCCTGATTAATACTTCTTTGTAAAGGAGATAAGATTGGATTGGATTTTATTGAAGTGAATTCAATTGATGATGGATGGGATTGATTACGTTATGACGACGTTCATTTCATACACAAATTCGCACCTTACGCAAAAAAATGAGAAATGAAATTCTTTGAGATTGTCATTTCACGACAGGAAAGTTTGGAATGAGTACTTGTACAGACGAAACGTATTAGGCGACTTCACGTCAAAAAAATTAAGGGATGAATTAATTTGAAATAAAAAATGAATGCAAAATTGCAAATATTTGCAACATATCAATTTATTGAGTTTAACAATAGGAAAACTTGTTTGCTTAATTTTCTTGAAAATCTTAAAAGTTCTTGACAAATTTATATCTTGTAGATTGAGATTATTGAGAAATCCATAAATCCATCACCTTTAATGAACAAATTTTAGCAAAATCGGTACACTTTTCAGAAAATAGTGGTATAAGCATTAACTTTATTTTTGCACACTAACCAATTAAAAAAAGAACTTAAATTACCAGTAAAACATTTTTCTAACATTAATTTTTCTTCACTAATTTTTTTGCTAAATCTCTTGCAAATTCATATTTATTAAAACTTTTGACGTGACTATGCCCATAATTTTATATCTTTGTGCACATCGTCGGGTGCGGTGTGCACATGTCACGGAGACAATTGTGCGATCGAGGGTCCGATAAGATTTACTTTTTCGACAACACACAACAAATAATTTTGTCGATTTCGATTCCGCTGGCCTCCTTTCCCCCAACTCGCATCACGACATGCCCACCTATGTGCCTATGATACATGGCTCACAATTAAGAGGAAGCCAAAAGCATGAGGACAGAAATAAAAAGTAAAATGTGCGAAAGTTAAGAGAACATTGGCACAAATTAAATTAGCAACCCAAGACACACACGACACGGAGGCATCACAATTAGCACACAAATGTCACAATAAACAATAAATGAGAGGGCTTGAAAAGGCCTAAAGTTAATGAAGGGTCGTGCAGTAAGTTCACGGGGAATGCCAAATTTTTAATAATTCGGGGATACAATTGAGCACTGGTTGGAATAGTAATTACAAATTTACTACCAAGATTCTTCATTACCACATGGTAATACATAACAAATGGTGAAAATTCTGCTGCCAATTTACTAATTACTGTTAAAAATGGGTGTAAAATTAGATGGCATCCTTCACGCACAGCCAACCACTCATTGAAATAGACGAATTTAAATATTTGACCAAATGCACTCATCCCATTTCCAAAATGTATTTTCAACCTGGTGCTAAGTGAGTTTAATGAGTGAGAAGAATTTACAATTTTTAGGACAAGGCCGACCAACGATAAAATAAAGTGGACAGGTAGCTAGTCCATTATCATTTTATTAAGCGGTACGATCTCCAACAAATTTCACATTTTTTATTAAAATGACCAGTTTCAGTTTGATTTCTAAAAATAGAAATTTTTTTTTGTTTTAAGAAATTTGATGTGAAATGTATATTTTTTAATTGTGGTTAGCAATGTGTATGAATCAAATGTTTGATTTTATTTATGCACATAATAATGTGGTAACAAAATTACTTATTAAGACGAAAATGCTCTACTGAATTGGTACGCAATTGGTTACCGAACGGTAGTGATAAATGTTCATTGTCCTTATAAAGTTTCTAAACAATTACTTCGCATGCAATCCAAATTTACCTAATGTTTAAATAAAAAAGTCAAGAGATATTTTATTTAAACAAAATCAAAATGGATTTGAGATCAATCAATAATTGTATGACATCGGTTTTATTACGTTTATTTAAAATTTACAATACTTTTGATGAAATGTATTCGCATTTGAAAATTCGGTTTCTTTTTTACCATGATCTTCCCAGATTTGAGAAATTTTAGAAATTTGTCTGACAAATCTGACACTAAACAAACCCGTAGTAATCTAAGATTCGTGTTTCATCCGATTCCTAGTGCTCATAAAAAAGTAGTATTTTTGTAAGTACTATTAATTGTTGGAAACAATTTTAAAGCAATTTAACTATTTTCTATGAACTCCAGTACAAAAACTAAAACTAAATTATGCTAACCATACTTGAGACAAAATATTTCAAATAGTAAAATAATCCAGTTTATCTCCAAACATTAAGAATTCATGTTATTAGATGAGATTCGTTGATTCTAAATGACCTCTAGGTTTTGGGATTAAAAAAATAATATGTCTACAATTTTTGAATTAATAAATAAATGTAAATTAATGTTCAAAACCTCAGCGTAACCAGATATTTACCTCTTTTTTTTTACTTAAACACGGAATTCAATTTGAATACATAAAATTGAAAATGGGTTTCCGATCTATAATTTTGTTGCATAAATTTCCACCACTTTCTCAACTTCTTGGGATCAAGATTAAAATCAAGAAAAATGCATTATGCCTAAAGTGCGATTTCCTGTTAAATGAAAGTGATTGATTTTTCGACACTTTTATTTACTTGAAATTAATTCATTTAATTCATGATCTGCGGTGGGATGCATTTCCCTCGAAATTTAATGAGTTTATAAAACAAACGAGAATTAATTGAAGCCTTAATTAATTGGCATTTATAAAAAGTGGGACTTAATTAGCGGTTGGTTGATTTAACGAGACAATCTATTTACGAGGAGGTTTAACTTGTAATTATGTACTCATGTATGAAGTAAGTAGCAAATTAATGGGATATTGTGCAAAAAAGTGTGTATATGCCTACATGATGAGGAGACCAGAAAAAATGAGAGGTTAGTTAACTCCAACTCGGCTATCGAGATAATTAATGGGGACGATGACAATTAAGTAAATCTTGAAAAGTGTGCACCCCGGGGTGAAGATTACAATGGGAAGGAAAATTTTGAGGTGTGAATTAATGTGTGTGGATGTCATCTTTTGTTTTATTAATAAGGGGATGTACGCTAATTATGTGAATTATGTGGTAGAAATATATTACCGTGTGGTGACAATGGGGACGAGTCGTAACGACAGCCGTAGGTAAAGGTAATTAGGTGAAAGTTCAGTGAAACCCGTGTGGTCATATGTAAATGTAATTCAAGACGAAAGTTTAATACATAAATATTTAATGCGAAACGTGCTCTGTCAATAATTTGGTGACAAAATTGATTGTCGGTAGTATTCTGGATTGCCCGAATGGTAACTATTTGTGGCCAAAAGGTAACAATAATGAAGTTTGTTATCAGTCAGTGCCAAATCATAACCATCCAGGGCACAAATTATTACCAAACTTGATATTAAATCATTGGCATTAACGGTGTAAATTATTTACGGTGTAAAAAGTAAGAAATAATAATTTCGTTGCATAATTTATGTACGACCCCTGTGATTCACGAGATGCTTAATCACAAATAAAAACGACATGAAAACTAGCAAGGATGACTTTCACCGTGCACGAGGCTTAGATTAAAATTGAGATTGAAGTCGTATTATGAAATAATTGTATGATTTTTTTAAATGATGGAATAAATCAATCAGGTATTAATTGTACCTTATCACGAGTGAGCTAAAACCCCACCGGGCAAACTGGAAATGACACAAGCTAATTAAATTAAATAACCATAAATGAAATTATTGAAATTAAAGATTTAGTTGTGACTTTGGAGTTTTAGTGAGTGAAAGTAAAGGTTCATGAAAATACGTGAAAACCCATATACTTATAAGAAATGTAACATGGAAGCAATGAATTGTTTGACGTTAAATCCTGTCAAGTAAAAATAAAAAATGCATCATCTATGTATACCTATGTATACCTATCTATGTATAAAGTTTATCAAGCAGTATTTTCAATTTTTTTAGTACAATTAAGTAATAAAAAAAAAAAAAAACGTATGAAATAATACAGAATATACGAAAACTAGACTACTCATCTTTCACTATTTAGTTGGATATACGTCTATCCGAAAATCTTTTACCGGCATGAAAATTTGCAAAAGACTACATTTGAAGATCAAAATTAAGTAACTTTAAACATCTTTTTCCAGGTATTTAAATATGTGGTTGTTAAAATTACTCAACCGGATGATTGTAACTGTTTATAACCCTGTAAACTGTATAAACCAAGATTACTGATAATTGACACTTTATCATTCTAAACCTTATCTAGATACTAAAACTCAAGCAATCGTGTGCGTATACTTACAATTATTTCTCCATTTTAGAAAGATTACTAGAAAATCAGAGTATAAATTGTAAAATTATTATATTTGTCTCAAAAATGTGGAAAATAATCGGCGTAATTATTCCTAAATATGTAAATAAACATTTGCAAATCAAATGCTTATCTTTTATTTCACTCCAATCGTGTACCTGAATTACCTGTTACTTACTCATAAGAATTTTTAGCATTTATTAATTTCTGTAATGGCGTTACTCTATCACATTTTTATTTGCTTCTTATCCTATTTGTCCTTTACACAGTTCCCTAATTTCCTACATAAATTTTTGCACTAATTGACTTATTAATTAGGTACCGATTCATTAATGAGAGGTACAAAAATCATAATAAATTGGCAAATTGTTCCCTGCCTGCGTGGTGCATGTCGTAATAAAATAATTGGGAAATGGACAAGACTTAAGATTGAAATAAGTAATTGAGCGGTTGCTTGCTGCGTCTTAAATCTCGGTCGGTAAATAAATAATGTGTTAAATTCACAACGACTTTAATTCAATGGTCATCTTAATCATGCTGTGTCTTCATCATCATCATCACAATGGGGACCTTGCGTAAAGAATTTGACCAATTTTTTCCATATTTTGACTGCTTTAAACGCTTTACCTGAATGGCGACGCTATGATTACCACGGAACGAACGGGGACCCTTCAACAATTCGACCACATTCTTTGTGCACAGCCTTCGATAATGATAAGATTGGATTTGAAATTGTAATTGTGGACATGCAAGCGACGAGTCCCTATTATTAGGAGTCGTGCGATGTCAAGTGTTGGTGTTTACTTGATAGATTTATGACCACTCTTTTCTTGCAGGAAGGGATGTGCAGAATGTGCAGATGTGCAGAATGGGTGGCATCTCAGGACCTCAGCTGGACAAAGTTGAAGGCAAGGGTGATATGCATTTTACGCGTGGGAAAGAAATTGCGACGACATCCTGTATGCACTGCCCCTTTGGTGGGTGTGGGTCAGCAAGATGTGGGATTTCCGTTTGTTTGTTGACGGAAGATGGTTTCAATTAGAAGGGAGAGAGTTGTGGGGACGTTCATTAATTGCGGAAATGCAGTGAGATGTTCGTAACGCGGTCACACATTGCAAACTTTTCTAGGAAATTGTTACCGTATTTTTTTAAATTTGAATTTTGCACAAAGTTACATGTTTCTCTTGATTGCTAAATCCGGAAATTATGAACTTCAAGAACGCCATTCATCTATAAGTTTAAAATAAATTTTTAGCCTGATAATTTTTGCAAACCTACAGAAAATTTGTAATTTTACGAAGTTTAGCTATAGGTTACATACGTAAAAGTGAATTGCCGGCTTTCAGATTGGCTTTTCATAGCTTGACACAATTTATGAACCGCTCCTCTGACTAACAAAGGACACCCAAATTTGGCATCGTATTTTTTTAATCCGTGGATTGCGCAACCCCAGTTTTTTTAGCGCCGTTAAAAAAGTAAGTATATAAAAAATGGACACAACAATAACAAGAAGATGAAGACGATGAAAATCACTTGTTTTCTGTTACGGTGTGTGCATTGCGTAATCCTCGCAATTGTCATTATCACATTAAAAAGCAATCTGTTAGAAAAGACAGGCATGGCAGGAAAGTGACATGTGCAACCTCATCCGAGTTAAACGGTCCCAATTCCACTTTTTATTTGCGCGTGTCTCACTACGCATGCATGCAAAGTTGGTAAAACCATCCGTAAACTACATACTAGGTTTACAAAGATTACAAAGGTCGCAAATTTCCACATATTAAAAATTTTAATTTTAACGAGTTTGTAAGATGACTTCATAAAAGTCGGGTTACAATCTTCAGAGTGAATGACGCTTTATGGATGCGATTCATGTATCTACTGTATCTACTTGTGAACGTGTAATTTTACAAATGCTTAAATGTAAATTTTTGTAAGATGAATGAAATGGGTCAGTCATATATAGTCTTTAGATTTGTAAAGTTCACACCAATTTGACGTGAATTTCCCGAAAATTATGGAATTTGTTTCAGAGTTATGCAATGTATATGCAAATTTTGTAAATGCGGTTAAAATACGAATCCTATGTCCCGCAGACTTTTGCAAACTTTACAATACTTAGCGTGAATTGTATGAAAAAAATGTGGAATTTTACTCTTTTGTTTAGATTTCTGTAATACTGCTGCTCTTTTATTATTGATAACACATTCTTCCATTCTTCCACAATTTCATAAATTCCATAAATCAGTCGGAGTATAAAAGTTTTAATAAAAAGAGAGGTACAAAAATGTTGAAGGACTTTTTCTCTTCCGCGTAAACGTTGAGCTTGATAAGGAGGTGAGGAGGCTGAGATAAGAGGAGACAAGGAGAACGACATGGATAAGACGGGGGTCCAAAAAATCAACGCGATTTCTACTGTCTTTGTTGGACTTGCTGGATTTGTGGGACGTTTTGCGACTGCTGATTCCCCTGGACTTGGGCGTACGGCTTGGAGAAGTTCTTCTGCACTTGGCGCTGGGGCCGGCCACCGCCTGGCGGGATGAGTGGTCCTTGGAGGGGTGAGTAGGCCTACATTTTCAGGTAAAAAAAAACGAATTTGAAACTCTGGATGCAATTTAAATCACCCGCTTTATTTTCGTACCTTGTCGGTGGGGAAGTGGACGAGCGTCTTCTCGACTGGCTCGTACTGCAAGTTGACGGAGGGCGTTCCCGCAACGGAGTTGACCTGGTCGACCTGCGCATCGTAGGATTGCTCTGGCTTTCTGAGCAAAACGTTGATAAGGGTTCCCTCTCCTAGAAAAGCGGAAACGTATTAGAGCCCGAAATTTTAAGAGCCATTTGAATTTCGTACCTGGTTGGGATTTGAATCCGGCCTTGATAAGTTCCTCAATCTTGTAATTGGGCACTTCAATGTCCACCACTTGCTTCTGACCTTCGGGTCCAGTCAACCACAAAATGTGTTCGGAACGGAGCGCGATAGAGTTAGGATTAACGCCATCACAGACAAATTTAAATCTCCCGGGGGAAACTTCCTGTCGCTTGCATTCAACCTGCAAGTTTCCACCAGCTCCACCACCACCGCCGCCGCCGCCACCGCCGAAAGCGCCGAAGGATTGGGTGGACTGCTGGGCGAAGGAGTTTGGCCCGAACGAGGCGGCGGATCCTTGCAGTTCTGAAATGAAATGGGGGGACCGATAAGTCAAATTTTTAGCGGGGTGGGGTAACTGGATAGGATACCCGCGTAATTTTGAGAAGGAGCGGGACTAGAGCCTCCACAACAGCTACCTTGTGGCGCTGCAACGGTCGATCCGTACGACTGGGATGGGCGGGAGGAGGAGTAGCCGCCTTGCGGGGCGCAGGTCGCGAGCAACAACCCGTCAACGAGGAGCAGGGCGAGCGCCTAAAAAACCGTAACATTTATTTTTCACCGGATTTTCCCCCAAATAAAAATTCAGAGACCACCGGGGGTTGATTTATTCGGCTTAAATTACCTGATACTTCATCCTGGAAATGATATATTTCTAGTTCCAAAAATCCGACAAATTTGAGAAAATTGTTTAAAAATTTGCTGAAATTTGTTGAGCTATGCGGACGAAGCAGAAGGCGAGGACGGAATGTATTTTGGACGGGAGGGCGACGCTTATAAAGGGTCGAGGAGAGGAGAGGGAGCCGAGATGTAGTAATCAGTACTCGGCCTTCGTACCACAAATACAAATCCTCGTTATATCATCATCTTCTCAATAATTTCGACTTTATCAACAACCACACGACGACGAAATCATATACTTCATATGATGATGGCATTATTAATACCGTAGGCACGCTCACACTTAAGACCACCAAAAAAAACTCCCTTGCTTATTTTCTCTCTCCTCTTCTGCAAACAAAACTCTCCTCCTCTCGAATATCTTTAATTTGGTGTCAACCTGCAATTTTTTGGACGTGGGGGAAGCAGACGAGGTAACAACAAACAAACAAATAAACAAATAAGAAGAACATACTTATCTATTTTTTTGCGTAGTTTTAACCGGCGACCGGTATGCATATGCATATGTGTACCTATGTGATGCAATTAACGCGTGTGTATGCAGGCAGGTACTAGGTAGGTATGTAATTGCATCTTAATTAATGAGTGCAATTAGCGCAATTTGAAGCTGGTGTCATTGGATTCTTTCTTCTTGGAGTAGTTTTGTATTTGTGGGTATTATTTATTATGCAAAATTATGTCGAATGGTTTTGACATGTGAATGGGATGGGAGACGACGAAGAAGAGTGGTGTGGTTGAGCAATGGAGAGTTTTATTTCAAGTGTGTCATCTCAAGAAGAAGTGGGAGAGATGAGATGTAATAATAATGAGCAGGTAGTAGTACATCCACGGCGTTTAACACAGGTATTTATTAACGAAGGAGAAGGAGAATTGGAGGAAGAAGAAGAAGAAAAAAGAAGTAACTTTCGTTTTCATTCCCTAAGATAGAATTTGTAGGCTGGTTGTGTCCTATGGATGGACACTTATTTAGTCGTGTGTGCATATGTAAGTAAGGATGACGACTTGATGAGAATGGTGAATTGTTGTGTGGAATATGGTTGAGGGAGAGGTATATGAAGAATGTAGTAATGCTTTGTGTACGGACAGAGGAACAATGGAGAGACAGAGACTGGGTGAGTATGTATGTGGGATGTGTGATTATTATGAAAAAAGCTTTCACTAGGTGGGATGGGCTGGGGATTGACACTCTAAATAAGTGGGGAAACTAGAGACGTGCTAAGTTTTAGGGGGAGATTTGAGTTTGATCCGAAACGGGGGTAAAGTAATGGAACGCGAGGAGGTATATTGGCCGACCGGTGCTCGCTTGGAAGTGTGGTCGGTACTGGTTTGAACACATATGTGGTCAAATTTTGGGACTACATTTTTGGAATTTTTTATGCAATTGAATAACGCGTTATTACATAAGGAGTAAAATTTGGTTAATTGTTAAGAGTGTGTGCAACTGAATATGCATCTGCACACGAGACTGCATGGCATAATGAAAAAAAGTGCAATTAAAGCCCCGTCTGGACTCTATTAAAAGCGCAAAATTTTCATAATTACTCTGGCAAACCTTGCTAATGCAGTTTAGTCCGGATTTGGAAATATATAATTTGCACCCATGAATTTTCGCATGCATGCACTTTCTCCCCATCACTTGAGTTAGCAAAATTAACAAAAAGGGGACGTTCAAACAAGTATTACCTCCTTACAAATCGTACTTATGGACACCCACTAATTGAGTAATTTGACAGCATAATTCTTGAACAGCCCTTAATTAGAGCCCCCTGGACTCTATTTTTCAATAATGGCTTGGTCGTTGCCACCCCTGGCGTCGTGTGGGACTTATTGAGAGAGAGAAAATGATAATGTCGTCGCAGTGCGGTCTTTGATTTTACGAAATTGCAACAATGGACGTCACTCTGTGTGTGTTATTGTGGCGTCTTCTCGGAATGAATCGCAATTAATTAATTACTTTGACAGGTGGACACAGGGACGGAGAGGAAGGTATGAGGTAGCGCCTCGGGGGGACGGGCAAGCTTACGTGGGATCACAAACAATGAGATATACATATGAATTATTAAGTACAGCTCGAGTAATAGCCAAAAATGGCAGGGTTCGTGCTTCATTTTGCACGTGTGTTTCTGAATGACAAATATCGGGATGAGGAATTTTCCAAATATTTCAGCACTTTTGCAAACCATACACTGAGACAACTTGCTCCGATTAATAACTTCCGGTGTGTCTGACTTCCGGAGTAAAATAAAATCGGATTAATAAAATTGTCGGTTTTGATGATTTTTTAAATTATACGTTGTGCAGATTTTGCATGCAAAAACAGCAGAAAAACGAAGTGTGTTTTGGATTTATGTATGCAAAACCCTGCTTTACATGGACCCTGATCGTGTGAGAGATAAAAGGATGAACGTAACGAGACACTGCCATCACCCTCACGTATGTACTTGTGCATGTAGAGGTACTTACGCCGTGGATTAAAGACAATGAGCCTCAATCAGGACGAAATCTTTGCAAATTTTAAAATAAAAAGAGAGACAAGGAAACGTCCTTGGCACAGTTGGTCCACCTCACTCACCGCTGACACGATTTCTTTTAGAGAGGACCAAAAACAGACGAAAAAATTGGAGGGATTTTCCCCTCTTGTTAAAAAATGAAAAATTGGAAATACATTTATGGAATTTAAGGATAAAATGGAGAGGGGAACGTGCAAAAATGATGACAGAAATTTTTTGGACGTTATTTTGACTTATTTCTATTTTTATGTGTAAATTTTGACCTTTTAAATCTCGTATAAGTTGGTTTTGATATATGTATGCAATTACTTTTGGCAGATTGTAAAAAAGTTTGTGATAAGTTTTGACCTTTGTTATTTGATTTTTTTGGGGTTTGTACAATATTTTTTTTACAAATTTTAGTCTACTGACAATTTTTGACGCAAAATTTGATTTGCTAGCGTCTTTTTTGACAGTTTAAATTTCTATTCCATATTGAACGCTATATCTCCCAATATATTCGAAACTGTATGATGAAGGATCTAATTGATACTTGTGTAACTGCTTAATTCATCTCAAGAAAAGGAATTGGCATCAAAATACAACAATAAAAACATTTCCAATACATTTGTTTATTTGGTTGCGTAACTAAACATTTACTGAATGAGTACCAATCTTGCACGTTCATTCGTTAGTGCACGTGGAGAAAAAAATAATGGCAACGTGAAATATGCATCAAATAAGTAGCATTCGTACTGCACGTTCCCATGTACGAAACAAATACTGGTGAATTAATTGATTTGATATCGTGCTGGGATAATACTGACTGGCCATGAATCAGGTCAGTCAATGACATCGAGAGGAACGGTGCACTCAACTTGATCAAGTTCTCAAGGAGTTTTATCGACAAGACCCGTGTAGGTAACGATTTGACACCGATTGGTAACAATCAAATTTCAATCATTTCCTCAATAAGGCCGTTTTTGAATCGTGTGGACAATTACTGAAACATTTAGGTAACAAATCATTACCAACCCACTAACCCAGGAATCACCATAATCCCATAATGTGTACACTATGTGACCATTTTGTTACTTCAAGCATGCCTTTCACATCGTAATTTTGTATTTTCCTAATTTCACCGTGTAACACGTGTTTCAAAATGATTCTTGGCCAAAACTGTACATCTTCAAAACTCTTGAATTTTGGCGTGATTTAAGAAATTAGAATCTTATCAAGCATTAATATTTGATGTAACAAAAGCTGTTTCTTATCCCCAAAATTGGCTACATTGTGTACGAATGTTCGTAGAGAGAGAAGAACAATAATTGGATATTGATAATGAAAATTGGTCTGGATACTTGGGAGAGGGTGACATGCCGTAGGTGATGAACAGCTCCACCCACCCACCCACCTGGCCAGGCAACGTTGGCCAAAACGAGGCCGAGAAATGATGAATTATTGAACACTTCTCCTCAGGCGAAGGAATTAAGTGGTTGGAAACAAATTGCATGTATGCCAGTCACGTTAAGGTGCGGGTGCAGAAGCGATGTCGTCTCAACCTCCGCGGGGTCGCGATGACCTTATCGTGATACGGGTGTCCGGGTGACATCCACTTCGCACGGCCCCAACCCGGGTATCCGTCAAGTGGAATAGTCATCCGGGTAGGAGAAAGTCTTATAAGAATGACTGAATTCCTTGGGTGAACGATCAGTCGTGTAATTCTCACCGGACTGGAAATGTGGGTGTCTCTACTTGCCTCAATTTTGCATTTTGCATAACCACAGCTTGGTGAATTTTTGATAAGTGGGTATCATCAGGCAGGATGGAGAGGAGGAGGTCGTTACGGGCGGCGACGAAGGGTCACCCCCTCTTCACGCAGAGATATGTCCCACCCATCCACACGCTCAACTCGTCAGGTGAGTTATCACTAATATTCACGTGCATATGTAATATGTAATTTGGTAAATTCGGTAAACCTGAAATTAAATGTGTCTTGCGAAAGAGTACTAGGTTACAAATGCATTGCAAGCTTATAGAGGTCAATTTTGTAAAAATAATTTGCTACTTGCGACATTTGCGACATTGCGAAATTACAAAGAGCCAACTTAATTTACTAAGCGGTTAAAATCGACGTGGTGTTAATATTAGTTTTTAAATTGTAGTGCTCCGTGCTCCTAATATTTTTGTCAGTTTTAAAGTGTTAAAAAGTTTTCTGTAATTAATTTGTACTTTTCTTTAGGACTATTCACGTCAAGGTTTGTAAATTTTATTAAGTTCGAAGTTAAAAAAAATACGGGAAAATGTGTAAAAAAAAATTGGGTTCACAAATTAACGAAGATGATTTTATGCATAAATGTTTGTGAAATACCTACCTACACAATTTACAAAGATTCTTATGTACTCATGTTTAATAAATTTTGTAACTTTGACCTTGCAAGCGTTTACAAGGACATATGGGGAAAATCTGTGTATTTTGCTAAAGTTTGTAAGATAGATAATTTGCAAGTATCCGTACTCCTCTACAGATAATGGACTAGATTTAAAGTTAAAGTTAAAATCAATATCAAAATCATACGATTTAGTTTTGTTAATTTTGATCATTTGGCAATTTTCGGCTAAAATTGCCCTACAATTAACAATGCAAACTTCGTTATACCAGTTTACCATGATTATCTATAATTATTTTTTGAATTTTTATAATTTATTAATTTTCATAACGGCATTCCGGTATCACAGTTAGTTAGTATTTCTGAATCAATCGCTACGTAAATTTGCGAATAATTGACTAATCAATAAATGCAATCAAAGGTAAACAATTTTAATTTGGCCAGTAAATTGTTCTCCACCTGTTTGGTGCATGTCGTGATAAAACAATTTAAAAATTTTCAAAAATATTGAAACTTGAAAACGTGAGTTTGATGCTGGACGTGACAGGTTAAACAATCATCTTTGACCACAAAGGTGTAATTTTTTTTACATAATTGAATTTTTGGCGAGCTTGATTTTTGTATTTTTCGCAGTTTAGAACCACTTGGGAGTCATTGTTCACCCATCGGGTACTACAACGTATCCAAAGGACATCGAAATCTGAGAGGGACAAGTAAATACATGCGTGAAGCTTTCCTCCAGTCCTAATGTCCTGTATTTTGTAGCAAAATTTTGTAAAAAAATGTTTACAAAACGTACTTCTTAGAGCTCATCCTGTATTACGAAAGGGCAAAAAGCCATGTCATCCCTTGTGCACCGCCCTATTTGCCAACAACTTTGCAAATATTTGCACCTCCTATTGCAAATTTCTTGTCCTTGGTACACATAATTTATTGCCAGTTTTGCAATATCACTGTGTACACTGGTTTGGGTATATATGTAGAATGCAGTCTTGCAATTTGTCCAAATATCGGCTAAGTTAGGAATGCAAAGAACATGCAAGGTTAGCCTGGGAGTGACGCATGTTGGGAGGAAGATGATAATTGACTGGCATTGGGCAAGAAGAAGGCAGGCCTGAAGGAGTGATGCTACCCTTGACTGAAAAGGTCGGATGGATCCATAGCCATCCGAAAAAGAGACATATCACTCGCAAACACGCAATCGTTCACGAATCGATTGTTTCCTGAACAAATCCAAAAATCCTTAAGTTCAGGACCGTTCGTAAATTATGGTTGGGAAAAATCCCAATTTTAATAGTTATCCCTTATTTAAACATATAAATATGTAGGTATATGTACTAAAAAATTGTCGTCGCCTAAGACATTTACTACCGAACGGTTACAATAATTTTAAAATTTATCCCCTTCCAGTAAGAAATTAATTGTAGTGGCAAATGTGAGTTTTATGCCAATTTTTAGTATGCTTAGGTGGCAAATCATTTCAGTACTAATGCATTTTGCTTGTCTACACTTATCGGGAATAATGTTGCAAATACATTACCAACAGCGTAATTTATGGACGAACCTTTACTTATACATTTTTAGATGAGATGAATAATTTGCAAATTGGGAATATTTTTATTTCAGGCGAAAGTACGGGAGGGAGCAGTGAGGGGTCGATGGATTTGTGTTCGACAAGTTTGGCTGCGGCGACGACTGTGGCGACGGTTGTGACGCCCCCACCGGTTACCACACCATTTGGCTATATATTGCACGCCATGGAGCACGACGCCAAGTGGAGGTGCGTGGAAGGGTTTTAATTTATGGGGCAGTTTGATAATTAATGTGTATTAGGATTATTAATTGCATGTGATAGTTGTGATAGATTTGGGGGTGGGGTAAGTAAAAACGGTCACTAATAGTTCTTTATTTGTGGGTGTAGGCAAGAGCGTGGCGTCGGGAGGGCGGTGGGAATGTACAGAATTCATGGAGAAATTGGGACTGGGAACTTTGCGAGGGTGCGGCTGGGTGTGCACCAACTCCTCAAAGGTGAGTAGTTTGAGGGGAGCTTTATGAAAATTTTTGACAAATTATACCAAGTTGTGGTGCATTTCAAAAGTGTTTTGTTAAGCGAAAGTCGAGCCGATTTTTTGCGAATCTGAGAAAATATTGTTTGCTAATTTTACCCTAACCTTACTCTTATTAGATAATAATATTTGGACAACGTTTTAGAAATATCAGTGCAACAAATTACAGGCGAATTGTATTACTAGAATTTCAAAAATTTTAAGGGAGAATCAAATAACGCAATTTAGTCGAAGAAAAACAAGTCCTATTTCGCCATTAACATGGGTTTGCGTAATATTATCTTTTGTAACGAATGATTTGTTACTAAATTTGATACATGAACGGATACCGTGTTTTTAAGGCCAGGATGTTTTTTTTAATCGGCATGGCTTTTCTGGACTTCCCACATTATCACGCACAGTATTCAGTTATTTCTGAAAACAAACTTTTTTTAAAATTTCAATGTTTTTTTAACAGAACTGAAATAGCGAAAACTACAAAAACCTTCTAGCTTGGTGTGTTATACGTATCCTGCAGTGAGCCATAAAAACATATTCGTCATGAGATTCACACTTTTTTAGGACAAAACTTTTGTAATAAATTGTTATAATTTCGTTATTTTTAGCAAGTCATTGTGTGCAACACAAAATAACATTTCTTAAATACGGTATTCTAGGAATTTTATGTATTCTAATGTCGTTTCACAACATAGGATACAGCATTTGAGGGTAACATGCACACCTACTTTTACGTCGACCTTGTCCCTCATCTCTCGAAATAAACCATGATTGCGCTAAAAAGGGAATTTCTCATGCTCACTTTGGGTCAAGGATCGCTTTACGTCGTAGGAAATTCCGTATCCGTGACCTGTAGGAAATCAGTGAGGCTTATTCCATATCTGAATGGCGTCATAAATTTGCAAATCTGATATGTCCCCGTGAAACTGTTCGTTTCCAAATATTCAAGCTCACCCCGAATGTTTGTCAGGCGTACAAATTTTGCAAAGCATTTTAGAAACTGCCCGTGATTCACACTTTACAGAGGAAAACGTAATTTCCTTTGTATGTAATCTTTAGAAACTCAATGCAACATTTCCTCTGCTTATACTCGGTACAGAATATGTGGGTACAAACTTGGGTAAAATTCCAGTGGAGTTCCGCTCCATGTATATTTTACGGTGACCTGTAAATAGGACGAGTGGCGCTTCTCGATATTTTTGGCCACATAAATTTGCAAACTTTATTGGTCGCAATGCTATAGTTTGTTGCCAAAATAATGTTTCCCCAAATCTTAAATTACGTAGGAGTGCCGTAGAATAAGTAAGGCTTCGATTCTTTAATCTGTACCGACATAAATTAAGAATAATTTTGCAGTGCAATTATTTTCAACACTTAGTAAGTTGCATAAGAGAGCATAGAAGAGAAGGTGGTCGATTTTCGGAGAACTATCCGAGGTGACCTTTATGTGCAAATTAATATCAATTTGCAATAATAATTATGATATTAAGATTTGTGATTTAGCTCCCTGAAATCGATCCATATGTCTTATGCAAGGTCCCTGAAGATGTGACATAACACGATTTAGAAAGAGGGTGGTTTGTTAAATTTTGCAGTAAAAATTTTGCATGCAAATTGTTCATGTTTGTCTGCCCTTTATGGTCTGGTTGGTGAGACTCATTTATTTACGATGGCTGGCTGGCTACTGGTTGTGTGAATTTTAGTCGATTTTAGTCGAAACGGGTGGAAATTGAGGAATTTATTGTTTACGTGTCGGCTACCCATTTAAATAATACGTCGAGTTGGGCGTCACAGGCGGCGCAACGTATTTGGGCATTTGGGGGATTAGCATCGCTGAATGGAAGTGGGAGAAGGACCTTTGAATGTTGAATGACACGGAAAAAAAGTGGGGACGTGTGCTTTCACCGTTCCGCGGCCACATTCAGATTCCAGAGGTATTGAACTGCACGGAGAAGGAGGAGGGGCCGTGCATAAAGCGTGTGGTAAATTTGAGCCTGCCCTTCTGTGCTAATTATGGCACAGTTGAATCTGGGGGTGGACTGGAGGTCAAAATTCCATCACATGCTTTATGCAGGGTCCACAAGGCGGAGAAAGTCATAATATCGTGCACGTTTTGGCATGCACTTTCCTGGAATATTTAGTCATGCAGCGGGATGGTAATTGGTGTGGAGGACTGAAATGTGGATAATTTCTCTTTTTTTGCCCGATTCTGCAGTGATTTTCATGGTGGAGAAAGTGCCCACGCAAAAAGGACAGCCACACTTATAGATTTTATAAACATGTAGCTGCTTTCTCCTCGAGAGAAACATGCAACGGGCGGATTTATGCTCTGACGCCATTTCCTGTAGAGGCAGTACAGTAAAGTTGCCATGATTTTTGCCCTGTATTCGTATGCATGCTGGAAATTCGCGTCGTTGTTACCGTCCCAAGTCTGGTATTTTGTCCACGACTGGTTTTAATTCACAAATCTCTGATTTACAACAAATCCGAATTTCTTAGCAGATATGTAACCATTACCGTTTCGCTTACGAGACAACACGGGTATTTCACAAATAACGGAATAGATTTCTGCCAAAATATGGGCCGGACACACCAAACATAGAATCGATTTGAGTAGGGACCATGGTCAAGATATTTTTCAGGTGGATCACATTCTTCAGCTAAGGCCCCTCACATAAATGACAACGTTGAAGGAAAATGCCACGATTTCCTTTCTGCACGACGAAGAAGCGAATGGTTTTATTTAAGGCGACTCTTTAATTTTGGTGGAATTTCGGTGCAGAAATGTTCTTTTGTTTTCGATGACTTTTTACGGACAGGTTTATGTTCGTGTGGACGTGTTTTCTTTGTGAGAGAGGTAAATATAATTACAGGTGAGGGTAGAGAAAGGGAGGAAATTAGCCCACGTCATTCAGCCATTGTTTTCCTCTGGTGCGTGTTGATGCTGATTTTGACGTATGAGTCAGGACATGATTGGTTTAATTTCGCCGTGAAATTTTCACGGTGAGGTCGATCCTGGAGAAAATTGATAAGAGGGGCGGATAAGGAAATAGTTTGGAGAGGGGAAGTAATCAAGAATCAGGGAGGAAATGGCTACGCAAGTCTTGGGAACTTGGTTTTTTGGGAGGATTTATGCCCTGTTTTGGGGCTCAATTTGACTAGAATTTGACTATATAACTACGTCTGTAGTTGGGGACCATGCATAAATCTATGCCCTGTTTTGAGGCTCAATTTGACTAGAATTTGACTACGTATGTAGTTGGGGACCATGCAGAAAGCACGGGGTCGAGGGGGTTAAGGGCTTCCCGTGTAAATCATATCATGGGTTGTTCTGGAGGTCAAAATTCCACAGAAATTAAGCACATGCTTCACTCTCATGAGGTCGAAATGTGTGGGTGGGTGATGATTGTGGGGTTGGGATTTGTTTGTCAAACTTTGTAACTATTATTATGCGCAGAGATATGTAGATTCTGAGAAATAAGTCGGGATAACTTAAGCCGAAACGTCATAGTTGATAGGAACGTAAGTAACTGTGTCACAAGTTTGCCAAGAGTCAACAGGGAAAGTGAGACTTGGTTGAAAAGCAATTGGAAATAAATGGTCGAAAGTTTTATAATGTAGCTAAAAATGTCTACAAGGACGAAATTAAAATTTTAGTGGATTTTAATTTGATGCTTTATTTCTAGAACGCGTCGCGGTGAAGATCGTGGATAAGGCGAGGGTGGAGCCAAAACTGGAAAAAATGTGGAACCGTGAAGTCGCCACATTGGATTCGTTACATCATCCCAACATTATGCGACTCTATGAGGTCAGTGGGGGGGGGGCAAATTTTACGCAGTATTTTAGCAATAACTACGTTTTGCACAACAATAAAAACGTCGTACTCCGTAGTATGCAATTTTTTCACAAATTAGAAATCTGCAAGTAACAAAAGGATTTGAGATTTTGTTAAAATGTTTGCAAAATTAAGTCCTTATAATGTTTCCTAACATGGGATCATGAGAATTTAATTTATGATTTTTTTCCCATAATTTTCAGGTGCTAGAGACGCCATGGAAGTTGTACCTGATATCCGAGTGGGCCCCGGCTGGAGACCTTTACGCTAAAGTGACGCTGCGAGGTCGCCTCACAGAACGGGAGACGAGACCAATCTTCACCCAAATTTTATCCGCTCTGACATTTATGGTACTTCAGAATCTTTCCGACATGAAAATGAAAATTTTAATATAAAATTTTGACTCGTAAATTTTTATAGCACGGTAATGGTGTCGTGCATCGAGATTTAAAGGCTGAAAATATATTTTTTTCAACCTCGACACATTGCAAGGTAATAAATAAGTAGGTCGTAAATAAATTAAATTAGACTTACATTAACAAATTTACACTCTTGTTAGGTTGGTGACTTTGGTTTCGCTACGATGTGTCACAAGGGCCAACTATTGTCCACGTTTTGTGGCTCGGTAAGAATTCAAAATGCTTACAATTTGCATGTAACAAATTCACGTGGGTATTTGTAGCCCATTAAAAAATTGTGAAAATTTGTAGAAATTGAAGAGATTAAGTTTATCCTGATTTTCTTTCGTAATCTCTTTCGTAATTTCGTAAACTTCTTCCACAAGTTTACAGATTTGAAATACTTATAACTATGTGAATTTACATACACGGTTTATAAATTATGTAATAATTACAAAACATTTTATGTCTTTTACAACCAGCCACCGTACGGTATGAGTAACATTTTTATGCAAATTATTTGACCCCTTCGTTGACCTGACGTGACCTTTTTTTATCATTCAGCGGCCCCCGAACTCTTCCGAGACGATCATTACGAAGGAGCTCCTGTCGACATATGGGCGCTTGGGGTGCTCCTCTACTTCATGTTGGAGGGCTGCCTGCCCTTCGTGGCGAATTCTATCCCTTCCTTAAAAGCTGCCATTCTCACGGGTAGGTGACAACCTCGGTCGTTACATTGACCTTGGGGTCACCATACTTTAAACATTTTTTGAATGACCTTTCCCCAGGTGTGTATGAGCTCTCTCCTGGAACTTCGGACGATGGGACGTCCCTCCTCGCAGGAATCCTGCAGCAACGTCCCCGTTCACGTTTTACCCTCTCCACCATCCTGCGACATGGTTGGTTGCGCCACATCCGTCGCCAAGACACAACTGCCCTGCTCCTCCCCGCCATAACGAATCGCGCCTTGTCGACACAGCTCCCGACGCACTCACAGGTCTCGAATCGTCTCCTATCTGCGCCAGAAATGAGTGCACTCAATGCATTGACAAGTCTTGGCGTTGCGCCAACATCGCTGGATCAGTATCGAGCTCAAGGCGTGCGATCTGCAGTCGGCGGTAAATTATTTAGTTTATATTGAGATTATTAATTAATTAATTAATTGAGTTTTAAAAAACAAATCGGACTCTCAGGTGTGTACCGCATCCTTCTCCACAAGTATCAGCAGGGACTTCCCATTAGTGAAACGCTTTTCCAGCAAGTGGCCACATCGCCAACGGGTAAAAAGGGAGGAAAGAAGTTACATGACGCTGATGAGTTTGACGTTGATGGCAGTAGCGAAAAGCCTCCGCAAGGTTTGCATGTCCCAACGACATCGCGACTTCTGCGGAAACAAGTCGCCTACGACGACGTGCAGCATTCCACGACGTGTGTGATTCTATGAGAAGGAAAAATAGATATTTACAAAGACTGGGCGTTATTAGTGAGTATTACATGACGACATTTGGCGACTGCATGTCGACAGATTCAGGTTGACATTTTTGATACGTTTGTAACGTAAGGTGAGACTTGAGATCAGGTAGAAAATAGATATTTATTTATTTATTTATTTATGTATGACTGATGAGATGGATTGGAAATTAATGACAAAAAACGAAATTGAAGTTAATAAAATTTCGTGTTTTAATTGTCAACCTACACTTTATTGCTTCAAATCTTACATTTAATATAGTTGAAGGATTTTAAGCATATTATTCAACTTGGCAGCATTGTACTTAATAATTAAACTTATTTTTACTGGTTACTGGCTGATGAGTAGGATATTACTTATTAAATTGGTGGCACTTTTTAAATTTAATTATTTCTCTATAATTCATTATTATACATATTGGCATGTAAGAATACTGTTGTTAATTTGGTTAGAATTTTAGCATAGTCTACACTTACAGTATAATTTCGTTAATTAGTTAAGACTGTTTCGTCCAGCACTTGTGGTTTTTAGATTAGCTCCGTTTTTCATTATCAGTAAATTTTTTATATAATTAAAGTGGTAATTTTTAAGGGGCTCGCGTATCCCCCAAATAATAATTAGAAAGGAGTCATTATTACAAGTGTCATTTAAAAGTTTTATAGTATGTTTTTTTTGGTAAATCTGTGCTAATTAGATACGCACAGTTATTCAAAAGATAAGCACCCAAGTTGAAGATATTATTTTTTAAGGTAGAGAATCTGAATTAGTAAATTACTGTTAACTTTAACTTTTAGGCCATTCTACCCTTAAGAAGAACACATGGTGAGAATATCATAAATTGCTCGAAAAAGAAAACGTAAGGCACAAGATCGATGATTGAGGGATGATCCATGACACTTTTTTTTGTGGGAGAAGAAGCTCTGCAAAATTTATGGGGGTGGGGTCTCCATCATAATTTTTAGTAGTGGTACCAGGGCTGTTTTCGCACCCATCGCATCCTGACGCCCGCATCGGTTCGCATCTTGATGGAGGCAGCTTCCGCTGGAGACAAAAAAAAGTTTAGATTTGAAACCGTACATTTAGAGCAAATGGAGAGATAGCGAGATACATAATTCAAAGTTTCAAAATTCCTGACTTTCGACTTACCCGCTCTGACGGTTTCTTTGACCGACTGCATCAAATTTTGTGCATTTCCTACCAGCATCTCCGTAGCTTCGCGATCCTCCTCCGTACCTACGACATCCATGAACAATTTTAGAATTTAACAATTAGTATTTTTACTTAATCCCTTATTAGTTTCATTATTAAATTAATTTCTATTAAATATTTACACGCATTAATTAATTAAGAAGACGGATATGGCAAGACAAGGTAAGAAGATGTCATGCATGATGCAATACCATAAACTCACTTCGCCCGATGAGTCTCCCTGAGCAGCGTGCGTGCAAAAGAAGTATTTTACAGAGGAGAAATTTTCATTCACAAACCGACCACACCCACAAACCACGAATGAGGCAAGTCACGCGGATGTTTGTAACTCAACAAAATCCTTACATTTTGAGACGTTTGCAAAAATTACGAATCAGGATGTAAATTCTGAAAATCTTAAATTAATCTTTAATTAATTGTAAATCTTTAATTAATTGTACGTTTACGGATTTTACACAGCTACAAACATGCGCGTGAATTGCGTCAGACTTCATTTATTTAGTTGCAAGTAATGATTAGGTCATGCATAATAAATGATGTAATCGTAACGTGGATCCATTGCCAGACAGAGGGAAGGAATTAGAGAAAAATAGAGAAATAATTAAGTTTTTGTTTCCGGATTAGTGAATTTTTGTGTGTTTTGATTTCTACAACTTGAAAAGGGAAGTAGTTTTTCGTTACCCCCGATAATCTCAGCGTCTATTCGCCTCGGGATTGTGTCTGTCGGCACAAAATATATATAATTGGGTCACATTGGGTTGAATAATCAATTAATTATAGCAATAAATTTCAAGTATCGCTAAATTTAAAAGTATTGAGGGAAATAATGTAATGTCAATTTTTTGGAGCAAGGGGACAAACTCAAAATTCAGAGAGAGATTTTTTAACTGTGTAAATTTTGCAAAGTTTACAAATAATCACGTGAAAACACGATTTGCTGATGGAAGAGAAAACAATCTTCGTAAGTTGGCAAAATTTACGCAGTTTACAAAGTTGTCGGGAATGTATACGGTGAATATAAATTGTATAATTGATACCTTGTGCCCCTAACATGGTGGCCTTTACGGTGGACAGGATTTTAAGTTGCGTTCCGATGGTGGGGATCCGCTCGCAAACTTGCAACAGACTCTGACGATGAGAAGATAATGATTGATTTATCACTAGCTCTTAAATTTTGATGTTTTTTTTGTATTACCGTTCGCATCCTTTTGTCCGTACAATCGCGCGATAACTCCTTCGCCAAGCGGGTGACTTCCTCCGACGCCTCGGCAATTTCCTTGGCGCAAGCGATCAAATCTTTTTTCGTCCCACCTTCGCCACGCACCTAAAATAATTGAAATTGAATTGAACGTTATCTTCGAATTCAGCATTGAGTACTGCACTTCGATGTTTGCAACTTGTGTAAGAAATTATGATACAAACTACTACACAATAAAGACACGTTCCTGATCTGTTTAAATTAAAAATGGATTTGAAACTTTGATTTTCTTTCTGAATCTTTGCGAACTGAGAAAACATTTGGAAATTTTGGGGGGATTTATTGGGTTACAAACATATAGTGCGTAGTATATAGTCAATTGAATTGTACCAATTGCGATAATCGTGCCATCAAGAGTGCCATCCGTTTGGCGGAGGCGACGATTTCATTATCCTTGGAGGACCATTGTCCCACGACATGGTGGAGGCTATGCGCCGCCATCATGATTGGCTGGTTCGGAGTGGGTGTAGTATTGAACATGAGAGCCATGTCGTCTTCGTCGTCCGTTTCTGGGGGTGGGGGACGTGGTGGTGGTGGACCGCTGGTGGTGGCATAGTTTGACATCATTCCGGCGGGAGGAGGGGGTCGTGATGGTGGTGAGACGTAGAGGGAGGACATGTCTGGAAGTGGGGGTGGTGGAGGGAGTGGCAATTCGTGGACAGTGACGGCTTTTCTGACGAGACCAACCGATGAAAGAAGGTCGTTGTTTGTGTCCCGCCATCGCGACGCAGCGGATGGGTCGGACATTGAAATGGCGACGGATTTCGCGGATTGAACCATGGGTGGGAGGGCTGAAAAGGAAATGGATATCAAAACTCGGCCAACTTTACCAAACTATAAAATTAAAAATTGAGTTTCGTACTCGACTGCAGTTGGTCTGCGGCGTGGGAAACGTTGCGAATGAAGTTGGCATCCTCCGAGTTATCAGCTTCTTGCCGTGCTACCATGAGGACGCGATTCGCCAAGCGGGCAATAGAGCTCGTGTTGTCCACCATTTTTGGTGGCTGTTTTGATCGGATGGCGTCTTCGCAGAGCACAGTGTGCTTCTTGATGGCCTCCTCTGAATTCAGAATGAAACAAAATGTAAGGTAATGGAGTTATCAAAATGGTTTATAACATGTAGCCTAAACAGTTTTAGGTTTTGCAAAAAAACACAACTCCAAACTACCTATGTTTAAGAACAGTTGTTTCTGCAAAATTCAAGTTTTTTAAATTCCAAATTTGAAACCCAACTCACCCGATTGTTGAATGAAGTGACCAGAGTCAATCGCCTCATCGCACAAATCCCTCACTTTCGCAATACTGTCGGCATACTGCGTCTTCAAGTTTTCAAAATGCTCGTTGGCAGCGCCATTATCCGGATACGCCATCCTAATCCTGCCCGCGTTGATCAGCTGAGGGGTGAGTGACTCGACCTGGGAGGCGCCGAAGAGAAGTGCCTCTGCCAATTTTTTATTATCCCCCGCTCCACCGGCTGCCACCATGCGCGCAGTTTTGGATGCTCGGCCGGAATAGTTTTGCAACGCGGTGGCCCTTTCGACAAAGTTTTGGTCGCGCCCGGGACTTCCTTCGGGTGCGAGGACGGCCTCCGTGAATTGGCGAAGGGGTGTAACCGTGTCGACCTGTAACAGTATTGACAAAATTTTGTCACGGACAAACTTCCGTTACCAACAGACATTCTCTCTTATAATATAGATTACTGCTCTACTTACAAAATCTTCCACGACCCTGTTGATAACCGCGGTTTGGATCTTGTTCTTCAACTCCGCCAGTTTGGCGACGAGTTGGCCCGCGATTGCCTGCCCAGCCGGGGAGTTACCTTCACCACGACGGCAAAGTTCGCCTAGTTGGTGGAGGAGCGAGTCCACCTGGTCGCTGAGGTTGAGTAGTTCGGCCTATTGCAAGTTTAACAAAATTAAAACAGTTCGGTAAAAATTGACGAATTTTTTTTATTCTTTGAAGTTTTTGTATATTTCTACAACTCTGTCATTACCTTCTGCACACCAGGTAATCCATCCGCCACTCGCCTTGCCTCATCCACAATTAGTGAGATTGCCCTCTGACCCAGACCCCTGTCATCCACGGCTGGATTTCCCAACCACTTGCGGGCTTGCTCCAATCTTCCGGTGACCGTATGGGCAGGTTGAAGGATGCCGGAACGTTCAGCGTTGGTAACGGCACGAAGGACAAGACCGTTCAGCTCGGCCAATTTTTGTTCGATCCCCTTGGCTAAGGATTCGGCTTGCGGAGAATCTCCCTGTCCCGCGGATCGGAGTTCGCACAGCCCGTCCGTCATGGAATAGATGTCACCGGTCATTTTGCGGATGGGGTCGCGATCTTGAGGTAAACAGCGGTCAGAGACTTTCATCGCTGCGTCCAGAATCCCACGGACGGATTTTTCCCCAACCCCGCCACGTAGGGCGCGAGGGTCCTGAGACCAGAAGTTAATAATTAGTTATATGTAATCAGTTAAATTTACAAGCTAAATACAAGAGTTCAGTTAACAATTGTTTAAATATTAAAAAATTCCACAGAGTTCGAAAAAAGTTTGAAACTTTTGCCAAAAATGGTGAGTAAAGATCGCGATTGAATCAATATTTTTCTCTGTCCTACCCGTAGCCAATCATATGCAGCCGTCATCTTTGAGTCGATAACTTGCAACTGCCTCTTCATCCCGGTGAGATTATCGGCATCCCATTCGTCCTCGTCATACGTCGTGAGTTGGAGGACGCGGATGATCTCGTTCAACTCGTCCGTCATCCGTTGCGCCAAATAGTCGCGGTTCATCCCCGCCTCTTCACCACCCTTCCCGCCTGCATAGAAAAAAGTATTAAATTACATAAAAAATAGTGTGTTTGTAGTACTTAATTAACCAACATTTATTTGTATTAGTTTTTACCCTGGGCATGTATTTGGATGTAAATTTTCATTGAACAGATGAGAATGGGGGTTAGTGTCTTGACCTCTTCAAGACAGCGGATCAAAATGTCCCGATGAACTTGGTGCGTCAATTCCTTTTGACGTCCATCCACCTCGCGGGACACTTTGGAGAGACACGGGGACAAATCTTTAACGAAGCGGACCAAGTCTTCGAGAGAATCGACGACCTCAGCGACAGCGAGATAATCAAGGACGCGTTTACACTCGGAGATGATTTTGCGAACTTCCGACTCATCAAAGCACAAGAGGAGGGAGGAGGTGCCTTGAAGAATTCTGCAATAAATACATGATGAATTTCGACTCAAACCAACCCCCTGAAGTCGGCCGGTAAAACATGCTTATCATTTAAAAATCTTTAATTATCGATATGGCCTTACCCGCGTGACCCTTCAATCAACTTTTTTCGCGCTGGCTGCGAAAATGGGTCAGCTTTAAGCATGCCTGACGCTTCTTCAAGGTGACGGGCGGCCTAAATTAGAAAACATAATTTTAAAAATGTTATGATTTTAAAATTTTCACAATCAGATATTGACCTGTTCGACCCGTTGCAGGGCGGCCGGCATATCCTGGCGCAAAATAGCATCATCGGATGATTGGATCGTTTCGCGCCCGACTTTGACGAGATTTTGAACAGCTCGGGACACTCCGAAGACGGGTTTTTCCAAATCCGGCATGGCGTTGCCATCTTCGGCTTCTTCGTGTAAGATAACGAGCCGGGAGACCTGGAAGGGTAAAAAAGTTGATGATTAGATTTCATGAGCTTATCATCACGAGGTTATCTTAATGGAGGCCCAGGAACGTGGGTGGGTGTGCATTAACTTTTTTAACGGAAGTTAAGTAAGGAAGTTAAAGAGGAGAGGATAGCAGTTTAAGTTTTTTTGTGAGATGCTTAAAATAGACTTAAAATAGACAACATGATATCATCCACTTCCCCTCTTACTTCCGAGTCGAAAACATGCAACAACACGGACACGGACATGAGGAAAAATGCTTAAGTAAACAGAGGAGAAGATGATGATAAGACGGGCGGAATGCATTTTTTAAATGTCTTCATGGGTGTGGTGAAAATCAAATATTTTTTAGAGGAGTGATTTAATGGAAAGAATATATACTGATATGTAATCACTAATCAGTCAAAATTTTGCATGGTTGCATTCTAATGTGAGAATGTGCAATAGTTAACATTTCTTGATTAGATGAAGATGTGTCAAGGCAAGTTGTTGTTTCATGAGTTCGCGTCTTGATAATTTTAATTAATCAATCATTCCACTTTTGCAGATGTGAGATGAATGATTAAGAAACATGAGTAAAATGTTATGAAATAATAATGACGAGTATGAATTTTAACTATGTAAATTACAATGCTAATTAAGATCAGTAGTGGTCGGATCACTACCTAACATTAATTTTAGAACTTGAGTGTGATTTGATTAAAATTTAAATTTCCACAAGCATTGTGACAAAGAAATGAATGATAGTTGATGAGAATGCAATCAAAATTTCGTCCTTTAATTATATTTGATAAATTATGTAAGATGATTGCGATTTTGTAACTTCTTGGTGATCATTCTGATTCCATCGCTGCGTCAAATAACATTGACGCTTAGATTTTTAGAGATGAGGACCGTTTTTCTAATCGTGCTCGCCATAGCCATTTGCGCCACAGCGTATCGTAAGTTTGTACTATTTACTACTTAAGTGCTTGATTGCTTATCTCGAAGATATTGAAAATCACTTTTGGTCGGTTCATATTTCTAGCTTGTGAAAATTGTGGAGTGTGTCAAGACCTTTATAAACCGGTGTGCGGAGGGGATGGCGTCACATATGGTAGTGTTGTGTTATCTACATGTGCATTTACACTCGATAAGGTTATCTCAAGGTATGAATATGATGTTCCCTTTACAGGAAACGCGTGTCAATTAGGGTGCGAAAAGTCGTGTCGACAACCAGGTATCATTTTTTGACAAGATTTCTGTTACAAAATTGATAACTTGAAATTTCATGCAGGATTGAAAATCGTGCATGATGGCGAATGTGGGAATCCGGTCAAGTACTCGCATTAAATTTACTTAACTGAGAGCACATACATTTATAAATGGAAAGAGTGAGAAATTAAATTACAAATTTACTGACCTGTTGGGCGACAGGCTCCAAAATACTTTCAATCGTTTTCGTATGAAACACCGGCATCTTGTTGATTTATTTAAGTTATCCCGTTTTAAATAATCTGGTTTAAAAGTAGTTTATAATTAATGGCGAATTCACGTTAACAGGAAATAAAGCTTATTTAATTATTCATCACATCAGTTAAAAAAAACTTTCTTCAACTTTCACTACGTGAAAATGTAAACACATCCAGAGGAGGCACGGCACGGTATTAATCGATGTCACGGTCACGTTACGTCTTTTATTTATTTTGCTAATTTCGTGGTCGACGACTTAATTAGTTTGTACTAATTAATTAATTAGCCGGTTTAGCAAGTAGCACCACACCTGGAATGGAAATCAAATTGTTTTAAACAAAACCCAATCTCGCTGACTCTTCTCTCAGTTAAACTAAAAGTGGTGATGACATAATCAAAACCAGTAGTTAAGTATAGATAGGTAACATTACATTACTCACCTTATTTAAACACATACAGTCACAAAATATAACAACTAAACAAACTGTCACTCAACCAGTCAAACTCACTCACTCCCAGATAGCAAAACCAAAAGTGAGACAAGTAAATAACAAGGCACAAACCACTAACGAAAACTTTTATGATTCTTCTTGTATCAAGAATCTTGTTACAACTGAAAACTTAATAACACAATTAAATTAGGATCGTAAAAAGAGCTGATGTTAACCCAAGTTTATGAATCCTTCTCCATATAATAGCTTTTTTGTCCCCCAATTAAAAACAGATCGATCTACGAAACCAACCAAAAACGAAAGGAACCAATCTCAGGCCATATAAGAAGAAAAGAATGTCACTAATCATCAATTTAACAATAGAAAATGGCAGTTATGTAATAGTGACTGGCAGAGATGAATCGTTAAGCTTTGCTGCACAAGGTTGCTTTTAATTTAATAACGAAAAGTATTTAAACGAGATATTTAATTAAGCCCGATTTTACTTACAACCCTGGCCATCATCACACCCTACCAAAAACTAACAACGATCCTTTCCTATTATTACGCGACTCCTCATCTTTTCCAATACTGCTTTTTGGCAAGGCTATTACACTATACTAAACCCGTAATGAAATGAAATGGCATCTCTGTGAGTAAAGAAAGTGAAGGTGGATGGATATTGGGAGAAGAAAAGCTCGATTTTTTGTGTCCATAAGTATAGACGACGATACATCAGTTTCCTTATATCCAAGAGAGCAGGAAGGAAGAACAGGAAGCGGAATTGGGGCAGAACTTGGGTATCATGTCCCATTTTGCATTACTAGATTTCAGGTTTATTACCAACCAACACTTCGAGAAAACCTCTATGTAATTAAAAGTACAAAAATATATTATGATAACGACACGACATACTTATATCACGGCAGATCTGGACTGGATGGAGCTTGTCCAGTCTGGTAGTGACATTTTCGTTCACTTTATTGTTAAAACCAAACACAAGGTGAATTAGTGAATTGAATTTACAATTTTATGGAGGAGGACAAAAAGAAGATAAGAGCCGTGCAATGCTCCATGACTCTTCTACTTTTATGAAGGATACTTATCTAGTAATAAGTTTGAATATAAAAGAATCTTATCGTAACAATAATAGTGTGTTGATCATGATTCATGATAAGGGAAGGGTGATTATTTCTTAGCGAAAGAGATCCGCATCGCGCTCGTGGGGGTGAGTTTAAATCCATTGAGGGCATCTTTCGCTGTGGTGGCTTGCATGTCGGTTTCAAATTCGACAAAAGCAATGTCATGCCGGCCAGGGACGAGGCGTACTTCCTTGAAACCGGGAAATCTAGAGAGAAATAGAGAATAGTTAATAATAATTAATTGGTGAGGATATCGCATCGTGCCATCGCATCGCCATTTGACTATTATGTTGGGAAAATGTGGCGTTTTAATCTCATTTAGTCAAAATTGGGTTAGATTTCTTTTGCAATTGATATGATTGTACGATTGTAGTATCGGCACAAAAATACAAACAAGAAATTTCCAAGAATTAGGTCTTTCTTCGTAAAAATAACTAAAAATGGGAATTATTGGAAAATGTTATTTATGGGTGCACAAAACCCAGCCAACGGAACTAGGGAATATAATTTGCCTTTTTTGGTCAGAAATTTGCTCAAAATCTAATTTTTTTAAAAGTAAGTTAGCTTATAGTTAAAAGATATATATATATATATCATCTTTGAAACATTCTGCGCATCATGGTCATGAGTCACGCCAGTGACAAAGAAAAGAGAAGAAATAATTTGGCTAGTAGTTTGAGGACGTACTGGGTGAAGAGCATTTGCAACATGACCTCGTTGGTCTCCTCGGGAAGATTGGTAAGGAAGAGGATTTGATTCGGAGGCTGTTCTCCAATTGGTCCATAAGCGGCTGAAAAATAATTGTTAAGTATTAATTGATATGTAAATTATTGTAATGAATGCATGAAAATCATACCACCAGGACCAGCTCCACCATATGGTCCTCCCAAAGTGGCTGCAGCTTTCTAAAAGTTTGTAAAAAATTGATTAACAATCACATTGACTTTGTTAAAGTCTGCGTTAACAATATCAGTAAATTCACTATCAAAATGAATTGCTGATTGGTATAAATGACTACAGTACTTTACAGATGAATAAAATTTCATAATTAAAATAAAATTCTAAATACTTTGGCTGCATCTTTTGATTTCTTCTTTTTCTTTTCCTCCTTGGATCTCTTGGGCCGCTCGCTGAACGTTCCTTTCATCTTCGCAATGACATCCGAGTCTTGTTTCGCATATGAAATGCGCTATAAGAATACAAATAAATAATGAGTGATATTTATTTACATAACAATTAGTCATTTATTTTGTCGCATACCATTGGCTTATCATAAAATGGGAATCCTTGCATCGACCTCATCGCATTGGTGGCGGAGGTGATCTCCTTAAAAATAACCCAGGCTTGACCCCGCATCCTCAACGTTTTCAACGCTACGATGTCGACGATGTTGCCAAACTGGGAAAAGATGGCGTAGAGGGACTTTTTCAGTTCTGGGGGGATCGAACAATAAAATATTTAATTAGTAAATTACAAGCGAATTAAATCAGCAATTAATTAGCGACAGTAAAAAATCAGCCCTCATTTTGTCACTCTGGACTTATAAATGAGGGGGCCGTCAATTCGTCACGGTCTCTTCTCCCAAAGGGAAAAAGACTGAGAGAGCAAGGACTTGAATCATCACGTTAATTAAGTAAACAATTAACTTTAATTGTACATTAACATTAATTACAGTAAAACTCACCCTCCTTCTTAACTTTCTCGTTGAGATTGTTAATATAGATGGTGTGATTGGGGCGAATGTCCATTCCCCCATTTTCCCCAACTTGTTGAATAGCAAATTCTGCCATTAAATTAAATTAAACTAAGTATTAATTAAAGTTAAATTTAAATAGTTAAATTAAATTTGACACTTTTTCGCAACTCTCTGACCGACCGGTAAAGAGTTGTGTAGCGTTGTGTGGATTTGAACTTGGCGCGGCTCAGTATGCCCCGAAAAATGGGAGTTTACTGCTGGACATTTAACGAGACCGACTCCTCCACACAATTAACTTTAACAACTCACTCGGGTCGATCCACTTTTTTAATTAACGTCATTATTTTTTAACTGTAGTTGGTAGTAAGTAGGGAAGCCATAAAGATATACGGACACGGACGGTTACAGTTGGATGGGAGTTATTATGGTATGATTTTGTGAATTGCAAATCCAACAAGTTAAAAAACGACCAGTTGTTGATTTATTAAACTGTGATTAAGTCTTAACGAACGTGGTGAATTATTAATTAAACGTCTGGTGGAGAAGTTCTGTCAAAAAGTTAATCATTCATATAATTTTGGTAATCCGCTTATGTTAAGAAAAAGAGCGAGACTTACATACTGTTCACAGTTGGTGATTTGGTCTCGGTGTACGTGATTATCTCGGCTGAGGACAGAAAAGAACATTAACTGGAATCCAAATAGTTTCTTAAACTCTGGTCACAGTCATCTTTGTTGAGTACTGCTTTAAGAAAATCCGGATAATAAGGATACAAAATGGTAAAAATATTTAAGGAAATTAAAATTCGTAGGGGGAAAAGTCCAATATTTGTGAAATTTTTGCTTGTTTGCAGAACTTTTTCGGGTTTGGTCCCTCTGCCGAGGTTGAAATTGTCCTGGATGGCCAGGAAAGTCGGAAAACGGCCGAAATCAAGACAGAAGATGGTAAAAAGGAGCGACACGCATTATACTATGATGGCGAAACTGTTGCGGGGAAGGTATTACGCCGCGTAATCAATAAAGGTTAAAGGTCTCGTGCAATAAATGTTATCTGTTCTATTTACCAGGTCAATATTCAACTAAAAAAGCCCGGATCCCGCCTCGACCATTACGGCATCAAGGTCGAACTTATCGGTCAGGTCGAACTTTATTATGATCGCGGAAACCATCACGACTTCCTCAACCTGGTGAAAGAACTGGCTCGTCCGGGTGACCTTTTTCAACACACCAGTTACAACTTTGAGTTTGTAAATGTTGAAAAACCATATGAATCTTATACCGGATCAAATGTCAAGTTGCGGTACTTTCTCCGGGTCACGATCGTCCGGAGGTTGTCGGACATTGTGAAGGAACGCGACCTCATCGTCCACACTTTGTCGGCCTACCCAGAAATGAATTCTAGTATAAAAATGGAGGTTGGTTAATTTTAGTTATTATGTTGTAGTTAATATGTAGTTGTACAATTAATTGGGCGGTTGATTATTGATTTTTTTGTTTTGTTTAGGTCGGAATTGAGGATTGTTTGCACATTGAATTTGAATATAATAAGAGCAAGTATCACTTGAAAGATGTCATCGTGGGGAAGATTTATTTCCTCCTGGTTCGCATAAAGATCAAACATATGGAAATTGCGATTATCAAGAGGGAGACAACAGGGACAGGTGAGTATAGATTAGCTACAAAATATTTGACAGTATAAATTGTGCAACTTTTATAAACATGTGTTTAAAACTTTTACAAAATTTATTTGGCATCATGTGATTCTTAAGTTTGGCAAAACGTAACACATTTAGCGAATAATTTGCAATCTCTCAATCGTGTCAAAAATGAATGAACGGAATGTATCTAATTTCCCTTTTCGCAAAGTACTTACCTACTGAAATCAATTGTGGCTAATTTTTTTCCAGGGCCGAATACGTTCAACGAGAACGAGACAATAGCCAAATACGAAATCATGGACGGGGCGCCAGTGCGCGGTGAAAGCATTCCCATCCGCGTCTTCCTTGCCGGTTACGACCTCACCCCAACCATGAAAGATATCAACAAGAAGTTCTCCGTCAGATATTACGTGAGCTACACCAACCTCAAACTTGATTTAATTTTGCGTAGTTGATAGTTCGTCTTTAAGTCCTATAGTTTTAATGATTTGCGAATTTCTTTCTGCAGCTGAACCTGGTGCTGGTAGACGAGGAGGACCGTCGCTACTTTAAGCAGCAAGAAATCGTGCTATGGCGCAAGGGTGAAAAGACCCGGAAACCATTCCAAGCCTCCCTCCAACAGCAGTACAAGCAAATGCAGAACCCCAACGTGCAGTTTACCTCGTCAGACTCGTCCCTCAAAAGTGCCGCCGCCGTGGGGGCCGGGAAGGACCACACTAATCACAAGACCAGGTGATTTTTCTTTAACGCATTTAAATATTTGCCTGCAAATCCACAAACCAAGAGCTAAATTTGTGTCGACATTTTTTAAACGTTTTTAGTAAATATGAAACGACAAATTATATTTTCTATTTTCCTTTTTCAGTGCCCGTTCCCCCCTTGAAGACAGCTCTTCGTCCGAGCAGCCCACTCCAGATAAGGAATTCCGCTCCGTGATCAATAGTGCCGACGTGAACAGTCCGGTGACCTCTCCGCTGAGTGAGGAGGGTCCACCTGTCCCGCCCCCTCCTACCGACCAAACCCCACCACCACATGCCAATGAGAAGAATGACAGTAACGCCGACGACGTAGAGACGGCAGATAACGGCCCAACCATGAACAATTCGTCACCCTCGCCCGACCAAAAAGTAGTTGATGTTGACGAAAATCAAGAACCCAAGACTGTGACAGATCAGGGAGTCGAAGTTGAAGATGTGGAAACGCCGCCGCCACCAACAAATTCGACACCAACCCCACCCACCGCGACGGCGGCGGGAACTAAGAGTAGTAAGAAGAGTAACAAGAATCGTAATAAATCTAAATCGTCGCCAGTACCCGTCGCGGAGGCGGCGGACTAGCTAACACTGGAATTTACAGTTACAATTTAGTTAGTGAAAAGTGATGAAAGTATATAATGAGGCAATTCACGCGGACTTTTGCATTGTTTGTGTAACCGAGTAAACTATCTAGATTACAGACGGCTCTTGATGTTGTAAAGGTTTGTAAATAATTTTACAAAACTTTCACAGTTGAGATTCTCAACTTGAGAAACACCTGCATGAATTGCCTCATTATAACTTAAATAATATGCAAACTTGTTTTTGTTTGTTTTGTTATGAAATGAAGCAAAAATCGTGTCAAAAATGGGCACCGTATGTATCCTGAAATAATGACATTATATGATTCACAGACACACAGATAGGGTAATTTAATTACTAACAATAAGTTAATTAAATATTAATTGATGAGTTGGTTGGCTTTATACTATTTCACTGTGTTGATTACTGCTTTATTATGGAGGAGAAAAAACAGCCTCGATAAACAACAATCAACAAACTGCAAGATATTTAATAACTGAGAAGAAATGTTGCAAAATTAAGTACATGTAGTTAAAGTTAATAATTATGCAAAATGAAAACTATCAGCAATTTATTATATTATAAAACATATTCTATGAAGAAGATAAATAAACCGAGAAGCAAAAATAGGAAATATCCGTGATTAAATTTCATAGAAATTTTTAACTAAATTTATAAAAAATCTAGGTGATTAAAAATTGGGAATAATTTTTAGACGCATAAATTAACCGACTCTGGACAATTGGATTTAAAATTTGTGCTAATTAGTGAAAGAACTTGTAATTGCAAATTTATAATTCTAGGATTTCCTTCGACTATGAGAGGGTAAAGTCGAAAGGTTTAAACGCATTCCGTACGGCCTGGGTGAGGCTGGTCTCCTCTTCTTTGGAAACTTTACACTCCTTCCAGTCGACACGGTCGGGACAATCTAGGAGTGGCGTGGAGGCGGCCAATTCGCGTCCAAACTGCAGAGGAAATGTTTGGCGGATGGCAGCAAAAAGTTTGGAACGGTCGGGAAGTTCAAGGAGGAAATATGGGAAGCCGGGACGCGTCATTTGAAAGAGTTCCGCGTTGGGGGGAAATTCTTGCATTTCGATACCTTCCGATTCAGCGTAGTCCTGGAAAAAGAGAGAAAGAGTTGGCATATTTTTTTAACTTTAGAAATATTGAATAGGTTGAACAACTGACGAGACATGTGATTTTGAGTCCGCTGGTCTTCTCCTTGGGAATGGGAACAACTTGTACTTGGAGATGAGGTGATTTGAAATTCCGCTCAAAAATGAGGACCGCCTTCCCAATAGAGTCGAAGTACGTCTTCAAGCTGTCCTTGAACTTATCGATCTCCTCCAGAACCTCGGGCGGACAATCAAGGAGCGATTGGTAATGACCAATCGGGAGAATCAGGACGTGATCAGGCGTCAGCCCACCCTTAGCCAAAGTCACGTACGCCTAGAATAAAAAAAATAATTTCTCAAATTAAAGACAATTGGGCTATTCTAATTTTTTTTATAATTTTAACATTTTATTGATTTTTGAAGATGGGGGATCAGCATGTTTAAAAAAATTGACCAGACTTTAAAATTTTTATTATATATATATATATATAATTTTTGTACCGATTCTCCAATGCTGACGACGAGATGTTTCTCCACTTGGGGGCTGGCAAGGCAAAACCAGCAGGAGGGGGGAGGCCTGGTATGCTGCCGCTTCCCATTAGGGGGACCACCCTCTCCGCAGTGACCTTGACCTTGGTTAAATGGTCGCTTGTTGCCGCGACCACCTCGACCACCACGTCCCCGTCCACCGCGCTCTCCTGTGTAGGATGTGTCGTAGAAAAATTGGGACGAGGCGGCAGTCCTAACGCCGCCGGAAGTAGGACTACTCGTGGCACTGCCGTGTTGATGACTAGAACCTGCCAAACGGGTTGGAATTATTTTCTACTTTTACAACATAACAATAAAGAAAATTCGTATAATCAGTCCACAAACAAAAATACACGATTTTTTGTTATTTGTGGACTAAAATACACAAACTGAATTTCGCCAGAAAAACTTACGATCCTTGCCCCCATACGGGTTTGTGGTGATGGCGACAGGTTCCTGGAGTAACTCTTCTCTCTTCATCTCCTTCATTGGAGTAACATTGAAGGCGTAAATCCACTTTCGCTTCTTCTCATTGCCCACACGAGCTAGGGAAATGAATCTCGAGCAGTGGATAGCCGCCTCGGCTAGAACTTGGTGATTTCGGTACGGCACGCGTTCATAATTCAGGTTCTCGCCCCCTGCGGCAAAATGGTAGCGCGGCTTGATAGCCTGCGCCAACACGGCGACAAGGGAGGACTGAGATTGTGGCTTTTCTTCTGGTTTCGTCGGCGCTCCAGTATCCACGCCGGCAGGCCACGCATACGTCAAAAGGATGTCCACACCACGAAAGTTGGACTCGTTTTCTAACCGGACGCGGAGGCTTTTAACGTCCTCGTAATTAAACTGCGTCGCAGGACGGGTTGAGGCCGGACCGTCGTGTTGAGTTCCGGAAAGGTACGCAATTCTTAGACCCGAGGCCTCATTATACACGCCACATCGACCTAAGTTGAAGCAAATTAGAATTAATAACTCGAGGATTAATAACTCTATGAAATTTATAAGAGATCATGTCGACACAGTTTATCAGATCATGCACGACGGTAATTTGTCTGTGACTATCGATGAAATACATCTGTCGACAAGTGACCTACTTCATATTTGGTTTTATTCTCACCCAAATATGTGATGGTTTCCGACACATCGCACCCATTAAGGTCATGATACAGGGGGAGCTGGTTGGTCGAGCAAGGTCCCAATATCAGGGTCTGTATGGGGGCCGGTGGAGGTGGTTCTGACTCTGGCGTGGCGTCCGGGGCGAAAAAGTTGCCCGTAACGAGGAGCAGATGGAACGGACCGGCTTTTTTATTTACGCTAGAAACTCGGTCAAACAACGTTTTAAACTTTCCGTCAACATCACCGCAAACGAGCACCTTCAACGACATGATGATAATTTAATTGAGATTAGTTAATCGTAATTATTCTAGTGCGCAAAAATCGTGAAACGGCGGTGGAATCACAGAGAGCGGACTTTAGTTTAGATGCACACGTTGTTTTTTGTGGAAACGAGGAAAACGATGATGAATCAAATCAGATGAATGTCGATTCGCTGCTGTTTTTATAACCCTTTCGGTTTCTGTTTTGCTCGTCTTTGAGAATCGAAACTGAAAGGGAGCCGACTGTTTCCGAGAGAAAGTTCCCCTTCTGAAGAACCCTGCCCAAGAAATATTTAGAAAGACAACATCAACATTTGATGTTTTAGTTAGATTTTGTACCGTTTTTATACACAGATTAAACTAAACAGTTATAATTATAATTAGTTTAGTTTATAGTTCAGACGTGCAGTGAATCCTGGATTTTAAACGGCGAGGTAATAAATGCACGAAATGTTGAAATTTTAAATGTTAATGTATTAAATTAATCTCTTGAAGAGAAAGGAAGAGGTTGAAAACCTGAAAATCCTGCTCAATTTTTAAGAAAACAAAATTTTTAGGTAGATTTTGGTTCGATTAGTAAAGTAATTAAAGGATTTACCATTAGTTTACTTGAACATATTTATGGACGACGACGACGTGGTCGACGTCGACGAGTTATAAATATTAAAATTCATATTTCTGAAAGAATTCTTATTTATTTTCAGGCTTGATCAGAATTAATCTTGCCAGAACACAGAAGAGACTCTTCAAGAGAGTCGGTGGTTGTGACTTATCAACAATTTTAACAATGAAACGACTTAATTGAATCTGCTGTCCAAATTCTTCAAAGCGAGTTTTAAATCAAGACTGAAATTCTAAATCAAAATGACTGCTGGAGCTGAAATAAAAGGCCACGAGGGTCAGAGTCAAGGTCAACATGATGTTCACCGCGCTTTAAACGACATCCCGGCCAAAGCGAACCTCCAGCCGCCGCACGATGGCGAAGGGCAATGCCAAGTATGCAAAGTTCCCCAGTTAATTTGAAGAGATGATTTATAAGTCTTAATTAATTATAATTAACTAGGTCTACCGGGGGACCGTGTGCAAATCCTTCATTGGAAAGCGGACCGTGTACGTCCACTCAGAAGAAGCGCAGCTCATTATCGAATCTAAACTGCGAGAAGCTCTCCCGGTCATTCAACACTCACCGTGAGTCGGTTTTGCAACCTGGTCAAACTTTTAAAGTCTTACTAAAAGTCATGCCTTCCTTATTCCAGCGACATTGCTGAGCGGTGTTCCGAATTCGCTATCCCGTCCCTCTGCTACTCCGCCTTTCCCCTCTGTCCCGAGGTGGCAGGTCAAAATCCTGAGGAAAACGTCAACTTTGTCTCGCCGCGCCGCCTCTGTCGCGAAGAATGTGAACTTCTCGAGCACGACTTGTGTCGCCAAGAATACGCCCTGGCGAAACGGCACCCCCTCATTGGACAACAACTCCCCATCCCAGAGTGCTCCGAGTTACCCCCTCTCGGTTCTAAAGAGTCGGCGACATGCATTCGCCTAGGTTTACCGTACCTCACCCCAATTCTGGAGGAACATCCCTGTTACAAGGAGACTGGTGAAGGGTATCGAGGCAAGGTGGCGGAAACTGCGGCGGGAGAACCTTGTCGACCTTGGAGTCATCAACTGGAATATTCGTCGTCATCATTTCCAGAGTTGATGGGGGGACATAACTACTGTCGAAATCCGGGCGGGATGCAGCCAAATCCCTGGTGTTATACGGACTCACAACAAGGAAACTTTCGGAGGGAAGCATGCAAACTGGATAAGTGTGGGTTATTTGGATATGGTAAGTGTATTAGGAGGATTGGTTAATTTATATAGTGTTACAAGTTCCATTAATTATGTGTCTCTCTATAGAGAACCAATTTTGGATGACGGTTTCCGCCGGTCTGGCCGGTTCCGTCGTTTTCTTCCTCATCCTCATCTGCTGTTGTTGCTGTACTAGAAGCTCTCGTAACAGTGGGGGTGGAGGATCTTCCAAGAAATCAAAGAAATCTTCCCGGTCGTCCACAAAGTCGGTCGGAGGTTCCACGTTGGGAGGAAGGAATGGATCTTTACAAGAATTGGAGATGAATTCACTCCTCCGAGGGGGAAAAAATAACCCGAAAGCACCCGAAGTTCCGCTACAACATCTTCAATTTTTCCAAGAATTGGGAGAAGGGGCGTTTGGCAAGGTGTACAAGGGCGAAGCCATCCTTCCCGGAGAATCTGGGCGGGCACAACCCGTTGCCATCAAGGCGTTAAAGGCCAGCGCAACACCAAAGACGAAAACAGATTTTTTCCGAGAGGCCGACCTTATGGCTGAGTTACGCCATGCGAACATTGTCTGTTTGTTGGGTGTTGTGACCAAGTCGGAGCCTCATTGCATGTTGTTTGAGTATATGAGCCAAGGGGATTTGCATGAGTTTTTGATGACTCATTCGCCCAGAGCGGAAGCCACCTCCGATTTTGTACTTGAACCGAATGAAATGTTATACATTGCGACGCAAATTGCAGCAGGGATGGAGTATTTGGGTGGGCATCATTATGTGCATAGGTAGGTGAATTTTTGATACATTTTTCCCAGCATTACCTTATCTTCACCTTGCTGGATATTTTTGTTTGTGAATTTTTTACCTCGTTGTGACCTTTATTTTTGTTTGTGGACTTTTAGAGATCTCGCCGCCCGAAATGCCCTGGTAGGAGAAGGCCTGACCGTAAAAATATCCGACTTTGGACTGTCTAGAGACATTTACTCGTCCGATTACTATCGGGTCCAATCCAAATCGCTACTTCCAGTTCGGTGAGATGAAATCTGATTACATTATAGTTAATCAAGTGTTTGAAATTTAATTATTCAGATGGATGCCACCCGAATCAATTTTATACGGAAAGTTTACCACCGAGTCGGATGTGTGGAGTTTTGGCGTTGTACTTTGGGAAATTTATTCCTTCGGCTTACAGGTAATGTGATGGTTTGTTAGTCAACTAATTAAGATTTGATATTGACTAACTGGTAATTTTTTGCAGCCGTATTATGGCTACGCGAACCAGGAGGTTATAGAAATGATTAGATCACGACAACTCCTTCCCTGCCCTGACCTCTGTCCCCCAAGGATGTACGCGCTCATGGTGAGCTCACTCTTACAAAATTTAAACTTACGTGAATTTCTGAAATCTGGAAGTGCTAATTATCTCTCGGTCTTTATGAAGGTCGAGTGCTGGGCAGAGATGCCACAGCGTCGCCCCCACTTTGAGGAACTCCACGGACGACTTCGGCAGTGGCTGATGCCTCTCTTGCAACAACACCAGGCCAACTTTTCCCAACACGTGCACCACCACCAGATGCAGGGACAAGGTCAGAATGGGGGTCACCAAGGGTGTCAATATCCACCAAGGACACCGCAAGCGCAGCATCAGCAACACCATATTCAACAAGGACATAGTCCCCAGCATTGCGGAAATGGTTACCCCCAACAGATCCAACATCAGCAGCAACAATATGTAAGTTGTAAATGAGTTATTGCAAGAATTGTCAAAGTGCACCGTAAAACTGATTGGGATATAAACGAATTCGATGTGGAAGCATTGGACAAAATTTTCGAATGTTAGGATAATATAAAGATAAATTAAGTTGCACTGATTTGTAAAAGAATTCACACTTTGCAAAGTGCAATTTAAAAATCTGTGAAATACTATTGTAATTTTTTCAATCTCAACAGAATTCGTTAATTCGGCAAAATTCAGCAACTTTTGATATATCTATGTTACACTAATGAACTTTATTATCATATATAGCAGCAGCAACAACAACAGGGAACACCCGTGATTCACTGCCCCATAAACTGTGGTGGAGGTCACCACGCTCACTCGGGCGACGGCATGGCGTTGGGTGGACGATTTTCTCCCCAACAACAGCAGCAGCTCAGCCACGCTCAGCAACAGCAGCAACACCTCGTCCTCCAACAGTTGCAACAACATCATGCTCACAACAACGGAGGGCAACCAATCCCCAATGGGGTTGGCGTTTACCCCCAACAGTACCAGCAACAACAATGCTACCCTCCCCCAGGTCATTCATCGCCATATAAGGGACTCGGCGACGGGAAAATGACCAACATTTAAGTTAAATTTTAACTAGTAATTACTCATTAATTAAGAAAACCAAAGATGTTCATTTTTAAAAGACTGAAGAATTCCAAGAATTTTTGTAAATTTGTACATTTCTATATTATGCAGCTTTATTATGCAGCTTTGACTAATGAATTTGAATTGTAGATTTAAATGTAGGGTAATAAAATTAAGGTGTAAAGTTAAAACGTCAACTCTCTCACAATTATTTATTTTTTTAAAGTTTTGAGAGTTTTTCACCACTCCCAACTTTCAAATTGCCATTGTCTTCATTATGACCCTGACCAAGAAATTAGTGCAGCAATTTTCGCTGTATTGGCGCCTTTGAGGGGGTGTGGCGGGCGTAAATGAGCTCATGAAGTAAAACCCTCCTTCATTTTTTGCACACTCATACACTACTACAACATATCCAAAGGACATCAAAATCTGGCGTTGACCACCCCTGACATCCTATACTCCTCAGTTAGTTGATAATTCATAAATACATATATGTGTATAGGTCATAAGGTAAATTGTAACTTGAGACTTATAGCAAAATAATGCATGCAAAGAGAGCCATAGTAAAACGAAAATAAATCCATTTTCAAAATAACATAATTATAGTAAAGTCATAGTTGTGCAGTTTTGCATGAGTTTTAGTCGTCTGAGACGACTAAATTGAGACGACTCGTCTCAATTTGTTGCACACATCAAGGGAAAGTGAAATTCTGGGTATTTTGAGACTTTCTCATTTTTGTCTCTAATCTGAGAATGAGATAAGTAACTTACTACCATGTAAGTTATATGCACAATTTGTGGAATTTATTTCAAAGCTACTGTATTATCATGATTTCTTGCTCAGAAGCATATCCGATAAATCATTAAATTAATCGCTAATCACAATTTTTCAGTATGGAATGGAATACGAGGCCAATATAGCCGTGGTCTGGTCTGTCTCTGTTACTCAAACACCGAAACAATTGAGATTGATTTGGTAAATTTGTAACAAGCTAAAATCATGTTCATAATTCTTTATTTATTGTACATGGATGAACCTAATGTGAGGCATATTTGTTCGTCAAAGTTACAATTGACAGAGAATCTTTGTATGACGCAACAATCCTATTATGATTTTAGGATTTTAGGATACATGCATATTGTTGTTCATGATAAAAAAATTATTTTATATTACAGGGCAACTAAGATTAGTCTTAACCGTTACACACATATGGATACCAATTTTGAAGGTTGTAGTATAAAATTATAGCAAGAAGGATCATCGTCCTAAAATGGCAGCATATCCGTTTCTATCCGCCTCATCAACATATCTATCCTGCTGCGGTCGTGAATTCCCTGTTTGTGAAGGAGCGGGGTATATCCGTCGGTTTGCGTTGTGTGGGTGTGGTTGGTAGCGACGAGGTGGGACAGGTCTTCTGTTATGGATGTTTCGATATCTTCCAAAATGACCATCTCGAGCGATGCGGGATGAGGAAAAGTCGTCAAAGTCGTCGTCCTGATTATCTGACGCGTATGCTATGCCGCACAGAAGAAGGGACACGGCAAGTGTAGCAAAAAATATTGTTGAGCGTGTCATTTTCTGAAAATATGTATAAAATATGTATAAAATATTGCAATATTTCCAGTGCCAGTTGGACAAAATAATTAGCGACTGCCTGTATTATACCAGAAATATTGCAATGGGTCAACTTCTGTTCGGTGTGAAAACTTAATGAAATTGATAGAATTTAACTGGAACAGTTTTACATAGGTTTGTCCTGTGCATGCATTTTTGCTCATAATATTACAAAACCAACAGGAAATGGTTAGCTTTGGGATTGCACCAGAAATTGTTTACATGATTGATGATAACCATAATGTGAAGTCAGTGAAAATTGAAATATAATTATAGCTAACATTTTGGCTAATATCTAATAACAATGACTAGCTACCAATTAATATTTCGTGCGGTTAAGAGTTGAATTTTGATATCACACATTTAGAATGTGGTTATTTAATGATAAGCTTGTTTTAAAGACGAATATTTCATACCATTCATAATGTCCTACTAAAGTTCGTTTGGTATCCTCAACAAAAATACGTATGTGTCACGTACATGTTATCACAAACCCGATGTATGAATCCTAAAATCCTAATAGGATTGTAGCGTCAAACATACATTCACATCTAGATATTTTTATTGAAGAACAAGTAACAACATCCAAATAAAAGACAACCTAACAAATACAAAAATATAGATCAGAACTATATTTGCTCTGACACCGATTGAATCAAGCTATGCAAAATGCAAATATGAACAAGTAATATAGGTAAGTACATAAAAAAAATAAAAAGCTAAATCAGATCCAAATCAGATTGTTGTGATCACTCGGTGAATGTGTGCATACGATTTGTGCAAATTAAAAATTGAAATTAAAAATGAATTTGAAAATTGCCGTACTATTTATTTGTTTACTTACATGGACTCTTCTACTTACTCCAACCAGCTCCAATTCAATAGCTGCGTACGTACATACACATAAATCAATCAACATTATGCAAATAGTGTAATCAATGACTACATTACTAATTATAAAGTGTAATTAATTACTTTTATATTACAACAAGTCTATGCTAATTACCCAAATTCCGTTGGTTCAACCGTCATTCAGTCCCGAATCGATGCAAGCCAAGATCATGGTCAAGTGAACCAGGGGATTGACATTCATCTCATCTATCTGTCCCATGAAGTAAATAAATTTGCATATTATAACAATGCCTCGTTATTGTTAATTGATACTGATTTATTGTCGATGTGCATGTGCACCACAACTGCACAATAATATTTATCACCGGAGGCGTAGCGAAATAAATTCCGTAGGCATAAATCTAAAAGTGCAGTTTAAAATCCGGGTTGATCTGCAGATTACGATCATCCGTCAACCGTTCAACTTACATACAATTCACATTTTGCATAAGCCTTCACATACTATAAATACTGTCGGATATTGCAGCGATGTGATTTAGTGAATGATTTGTTGTGGTCACACACAAAAAAGGTTATGAATCTCGTTACTCATGCTCATTATTGATTGGAATTATTGCAATCAATTTATTCAGGTAATAAGGGACAGATGAATGCGGACAGTTAGAACTTTATTATTCGGGTTCATTACTTTCTTAACTATGCAGAATTAAGTAGCTGCTGCAATTTCATCCTCTTGAAATTGACTCTCTTATAATATATCGCGTAGAAAATATACGCCAAGTGCTTTCAGTGTTGTCCACTTGACATTTACATATACTCACCATTCCCCTCATTTAATTGTTCTTAATTAAATATAACAATTAGAAAATCATGCGTATTTCACAACTCATCCTAAAACTGTGTGCTCCCCTGTGTCTGATAATTGTTGTTATTTCACCCACCAAAAAATGCACAATTATACCGAAACGTAATTCACCCCACTTTATTCTCCGGCAGGTCAGCAGCCTCCCTCCCAACTTATCCCCACAATCTGAAAGGTGGTCATGGTCAAGGCCTACAAAACAGAAATTATTACTCCCCAGTCTCCAGGAAAGGGCCATCTGCTACAAACCCCATCATGTCAAAGTTGTCCTGACCACGTTCATCGTTAAAGGCGTCGTATTCTTGGGGACAATTCTCTCTCTGACGTTGATCAATACAATTTCATACTATGTCACCACGACCGTGATAACTATTGCGTCCACGATACCGTGTCTTCTTCCACGCCCAATTATAGTCTCCTCAGTCGTATCATCTCCTCCCACAATGAGGACGACGATTCCCACAACCACCACGACGACGACGACGACTACAACGACGACAACGACCACCCCACCACCCACAACGACGCCTGGGAATATCGTAATTGTTACTTGTCCCCCCTGTTGTGGGAGGAGTGCGAAATCCATGTCGCCATTTAAGGAAATGTCGAGAAATACGAATCAAGCTGAGGATTTGGTGTTTACGATATTTTCTAATAGTGGGAAAGACTCCTCCTCTTGTGCAAAGAGATTGCTGTGCGAATTAAAACAAGTTGTGAAAAATGGTCACAAGGATGAAGGAAATCGGGAAAATATTTCCAGGATTATGCAGAGGTATAGTACAGGCATAAATATAATGGATATAAATACAATAACTTGCAATAATCCGTATTCTGCAATAATTTTTGCTCAGAGCCCTTAGTCGTTTGGAATCTGCAGAAAGGAGAAACGAAATGTTCAAGTTAATTTTTTTCATGGAAGATCACACTGATCACAGTCAAAAATGTGACAGTTCTCCATGCGAAAGTGATGATAAAAGCATTGAATCCCTTCTGAAAATTGTTTGAATAAAAATTATGTGATTTTTATAATATCCTTCCTGGTCCCATTACTATTCATATGAAATTGATGTATATAAAATTGAAATTCATTATTTCACAAGAATTCATATACACATTTATGCAAATGCAAAACTTAATGAACCCCGATCAATGTGGATTTTCGAGAAAGAAAACGCGGAACATACGACCCGCATGGCACACATTGAATGTTTTCAAAGCGGTTTAGCTTGTTAAAAACAAGCTATGCGGCAAAACCGCTGAAAATTTCTATTTTTTCATACCAAATATGAGTTATGGATTTTAATTTTAGAAATCGCGCCATATCTTAAAAACCAAGGCTTATTTCGAAAAAGTCAATCAGTCGAGGGCACTAGCCGGGACCTTCCCCAATACGATCCCGTTTAGTTTAGGTTACCAAAATGTATCGTCTAGGCTGTAGCTCAGTGGAGAAATTGGTAGCCGAAATTGCAAAATTTTTCGGAAATTTGAACTTACCGCCTGTACCTAGCATTATTTCGAAAAAATTTTCGAGTAAATATTATAGATAATGCGGTTATGAACATATTTGCTATTACATACAACTTTGTGTTATGCACCCAATTCATTCAGCGAAACATTTATGATTTCGAAACCGAAAAATCGGTTTTTATTGAATTTCTTGAAAATGGTTCAAGATACCATGAATTAGAAAAAAGTCATTTTAAAACTTTTCGAGAGGCATCTAATGCACTTTACGGCATCTCTTTACGCCCAACCGTTTTTTTGTACGAGCCCCCGACATTTCCCATAAGAGTGCCTGACAACATACTATATGTTCCACATATAGCGCCAAATGTCTCAGGTTGCCCCGACATTTGAGCTTATGGTGGAAAAAATAGAATAAAGTGAGGTTTAAATTAGATCGATCAACAAGTTCTCTTTTTGTTAACTATCGCGAGTAGAAATTTATTAAAATTAAGTGATAATGTCTTCCTCATTAACTGAACCAGTTGCAAAAACAGTTATTATTGAACCTAGCAAAGAGAAAAGTGGTGGCGTGGTAAATGTTGGTCCAGGTGTTGCAAAAATCAAATCAGAATTTCTCATTGTTGTTAATACTAATAGTCAGCGTGAAAAAATTGTCAAGCTTGATGAATTGGCTGGGTCTTCAGAACCGGAAGTTAAGAGGTTGAAAATTTCTGGGACAAATGGAGAATGTGATGGAGGAGACGACAATGACGACACCGAGCTTGTCGAATTTGGTGGTGGTGCTAATTCAAAGGAAGAGGATGGAGCAACAGCAAAAAAGAAAAAGGATAAGCCACGAGGTAATAGCATAACCATTCGTAATGTAATTAAATGAATATCCAGGTAGTTAATCCTTTGTGTTTTTGCATTTCAGGACAAAACAAACCTAAAGACCGACCTCGTCCGCCAAAGTTCTTAAACGAGAATAAATTATGTCCCAATCTGCTTGATGGGAAGGGATCGTGTATGTGGGCATCCAATTGCAAATTTATGCATGATATCGATAAGTATCTGGGTGAGACGTCAACAAATATGACAACTGTCACTAGCAATTGCTAATTTTGTATTCTTGCTAACAGCTTCGAAAACGGATAACATTGAAGGAGAATGTTACGTTTACAAAAAATATGGAAAATGTTCCCGTGGCTTAACCTGTCTTTATCAAACCTCGCATACGGATTCAGAACACGTTAACATGGTCAATCAGCCACTTTGGTCAGAAATGCAGGCAGAATTTGAAGCCACGCATAAATTCTTGTTACCAAAGGATAAACAAATCGCCCTGCGCAAAAGGACATTCGATTTTAAAGAGGTGGAAAAGATTTACAGCGGCAACGCCCCAACTACAACACCCAAATCAACAGAATTAAATGGCGATACGACAAAAACCTTGGGTGCTGTGACGGATGCAGATTTGGTTCCATTACGCGTTTCAGAAATTAAGAAGGTGAACAAACTACGTAAATATATTGCAATAACAATTCAATAATTAGTCATTAAATACAAATTTTGATTATTGTTGTCACTGAATAGATTGACTGGCAAGATAAATTGTACCTATCACCTCTTACAACTGTAGGGAATTTGCCTTTTAGACGACTCTGTGTCGAGATGGGAGCAGATATTACATGTTCGGAAATGTCTTTGGCGACATCCATCCTGCAAGGAAGTACGCATGAGTTTGCTTTACATCGAAGACAGTGAGTGTATTTTTTTTAATTATTATAAATGCATTTCATTGTATATTTAATTTATTTTCCAGTCCGTCCGAGAAATTGTGGGGTGTACAATTATGTGCTAGCAACGGAGCCGTTTGTGCAAAAGCTGCTCATACCTTGATGGAATGTGGAATAGAGTACGATTTCGTCGATTTAAATATGGGATGTCCCTTGGATCCAATTTATCGACAGGTATTATTATTTAAAGTGAAAGTCATACGTACAAATGTTACTATTTTAATGCCAGGTCCTACTTTTAACCTATAGGGCGCCGGAAGTGGTTTGATGTGCCGAGGTAACAAGTTCCACTCCTTGGTTAAAGGGATGACGAAAGTTCTTGCTGCAAAGGACAAAGCTTTTACAGTGAAAATGAGGACGGGAATCAAGATGGATAAGAACATTGCTCATAGTTATGTTGAATTTTGTCGAGATAATGGCGTATCTGCGGTCACAGTAAGCCAACACATTCTTAGTTTTACGACACCAATAAACTTAATCGAAATCAACAATCAAATTTTGTATTATATTGTCTCTAATTTCTGTAGCTGCATGGTCGCACAAGGGAACAACGGTATTTACGCCATGCCGATTGGAATTATATTGGAACATGTGCTAAAATTGCGAGCCCCATGGCTCTCTTTGGAAATGGGGACGTTATGTCGTGGGACGATTATTTGCAAAGGAAAACAATATCGAATGCTTCCGGTACAATATGCATATTTATTATTTTATACATGATTAACCTTCATATTTCTTATCAACATTTGTCCCCTCTTGTTAGGAGTTATGATTGGTCGTGGTGCCTTAATTAAGCCCTGGGTCTTTCAAGAAATCAAAGAACAAAGAGATATCGACATGACATCGTCTCAAAGATTGGAACTTATTAGAAAATATGTCAATTACGGGTTAGATCATTGGGGCTCTGGTAAGTACACGGATGCATAAACTTATTTTGACGACTTTCATAATTTTGTCAAACTTATCTTTGCGCTTGGCCTGTCCAGATTCTCAAGGAGTAGGAACAACACGAAAGTTCTTACTAGAATGGCTCTCCTTTTATCATCGCTACATCCCATTAGGCATTTTGGAAGACCCACCCCAGCGAATTAATCAAAGACCGGAAAAATATTTTGGACGGGATGAAATGGAGACATTGTTGGCCAGTTCGAATTGTAATGATTGGGTAAAAATCAGGTAAAATAAACTCGAGTAACTCATACATATTTGGTTGAAAATGCTGTACATAATTTTGTTATTTCATTTATTTTAGTGAAATGTTTCTCGGCCCAGTCCCTGACTTTTTCGAGTTTGTTCCAAAACATAAAGCCAACGCTTGGTCGAATGGATAAAATCGAATTCACACATGACTTTCAATTCAAGAAACCTCAACATCTTTCAACTTCAATAAAGTTTCCCATTTGATTTGATTTCGTATAACGTATATAAAAAAATTGTTCAACTTTATAGAATAGCATTTTCAATTTGTTACTGTATGAATGTCTTTCCACATTATGCTTCTTCGTGAATTTGACACTTTTCTTCTCAGAATATATACATAGACAGCAGACATACGTAGTAAGTACGTGTGTTCCTATACCCAGTCAACTTTGATTTCCCTAATTGATTACTTCGTCCATAACCATGAAATTAAATTGCCCTTTCTCTTCTTCCTTTCTCCCGCATGCACGTGTCCACTCTCTCTGTTCACTCATCCCTGAAAAAATGGTAGTGAAATGAAATTCATGTGGTGGTATTCCAATCCAGAAGGAAAAGAAATAAGTTTCTTGACCAAACCAAACCACACATGGATGAGGATGACCATGAAAGCCAAGCTTCATCTCAAGTACCATCATCATCATCAAGGAGGAAAGGTTGCATGAGCGATTTTGTTGGATGTGACATTTTGTTTCTACTTGGACGAAAAGCAGATCTTCCTATTGTCATCGTGCCAAGGCATTGATGAAGAGAATATTTATTTCTTTCGTTGCGTGCCATTAATGGTGTTGATTCTTCCAGATGTAACTACCTACATAAAATGCTGCTTTCCTGATTATTATGCATTTCACTCCCGCTTGCATAACCTTGTAAGAACGTAACTTGCCCAAAATCACAAAACAAACGTGCACTTCTCTCCTTCATCATCCACTTTCTAACTTCTCGAAATCATGTCTGCATTCTGCCACTTTGCGCAATCATGCGTAGGCCTTTTCTTTCCTGAGCGAGGAGGGAGAAAGTCGGATCGGGTTTGTAGAAAGTTTTGCAAGCTGAACTAAACCTACCAAAAGTTAGCTAGGTAATAAATGGCAATCAAGTATGCATGCATTCAAAAGTGAATAACATACAAGCAGTAAGTAAACGACACGTTCAATTGCCGTCGTCGTCGTCGCAGTCGCTGTTATTATTAGATTGCAGTCGTCGAGTGGGTGGAATCCTCAAATTCTTGTCTACAAACCAGCCAAATTTAACCAGACACACACACAAACATTCACGCACAAAAGGATCGATTTATTTATACCCAAAATCCGAGGTAACCAAAGTACATACGAAGAGGAGTAACAGGAATCTAATCAAGTCGATGCTTTCTCTCGAAGAACGAACCAAGTCATGCCAAAAAGAAGCAGCCACAGCCACGTGTCCTGTCCATCTACAATCTAATCTAATCTGCAAAAAGTTTTTTTTCGTAACTTCTTTTTTCACAAAAAGTAAGCTAACTGGGAAACTAAGTAGTAAACTGTATTTGATCATGATCATCTACTTCTAGCCGTGGTTTTTTGGTTGCCTTTGAAGAAAGTATAATGATTAATGTACATAAACCTGTCTGTCTATCAAGCTGTCAATTCTCTAAAGCAATATCGGGGGGTTCTTGAACCGCAAATCTGGGCTGGACTGGACACTGGCTATTTTTCCGTGCATGATTTTTTGCCACTTATGCAATCAAGTGAGTGAAATGTTCACATGATTTGATTCAAATCAAAAAGCGTTTCTCTCCCGGCCTCGAATCATTACGAAGGAATTCATGCAGGCATGAAATTAAGATTAAATAAGGATGAAAAGGAGAGAGAAGTCGACCATGTGGTGAGATTTACTGCCCAAAAAGACGCTTCCTATAGGATTAGACTAGTGGACTGTCTTATCTTAGCCAATTGCGTATAAAACATTACTCACTCACGCACCACCAATGCAGATACTGCTCAGTCCTGCTCGTGAAAATAATAGCAGAACTTTGGTCACTTTCTTCTCTCCAAATCATGACCACTCGAAGGAACGAGATAAATGCTTTCACTGCACTTTCGAGACGTTCATTCATACTTTTCTGCCACGTTTTCACTATACATTCGAAATGCAAATGGTTCTTTTGTTCCTTAAAAATTTCTACCGATTTTTCTCACGTCAAGTTGTTCTTCCTATCGGGAAAATAGTTCCAAAATAATTTCCGTACTTCGCCACCTTGTCCAAGTGAAATTTCTCTTCCGACAAAACTTATCGGGTTTCCCAGACTTTACACACGCCAAATCTTGCATATTCTCGGCGTACCTATGTATGTACACCACCCTCTGAGATTTCATTTCTTAACGGATTTCCGGCATCCTGTAGTGCAGCAGCTCGTACATATCGACATGCATAGTTCAACCAGACTAAAGCAAAGAAATTAGTCAAAGTCAATGTCAAGTTCTTCTTCCTCAGGAGGAGTGGATTAGGTTGGGTTTCTTATTATTCTCACAAGTCGAGATATTTTATGATTAAATGATTTTGTATAAAGCAAAGTGAAGGGATGATGCGGATAAAAAAATACAATAAATCCGACTCGAGTGATTAATGTTTTGCTTGGACGACGACACAAAATATGGAATAGAAAGTGAAAGCGAATTCCGGCTTTTGTGGACATTTTCTTGATATCTACGTACGTATCCAGAAAAATTGCCCAGTCTCGTCCAGACGAATATGAATGATTGCTTGAAAAAATATTGAGAAAAAAAATCGAAATTCTTATTTTTTTTAAGTTGAACACTATGTATTTTTTTATGTGAGTCAACCTCTGACTGTATGCGGCCGTTAATGGTGTGCCGTGTCAATTTTAAGTATGAAATGTAATGTTTTTGTTAGTCTGGCTTGTTTTCACCCTCGATTTCATATCATCTTGGGATTTGTTTCATGGCTCTGGTGTTACTGTTCCTCCCTTCACACGGAATGGCATCGTTCCCTCGTCTGCCTTGTCATGCTTTACTTTCTCCAGACAGAAATTATATTATTATTGCATTATTATGGTTTCAAGGTTCTTGTTTCGTCTCCCCCGCTTCTGCATTATGCAACACCACCACGGAGGATCGGGTAAATAGCCAATTCGCAGTTTCATGTCGACAAGAATGCCAACAATTTCCACGCTGGTGGGAGATGCAGCGAGGACATAATACGTATTACGTACGCCTCCACTTTCTCGCTCTCTCCCTTTATGCGACGCTATAGGTACCTATGCACGAGATGGAAGTAAACGATTCGAAACCCACCCAGAGATGAACTTGTACCTATGTACCGCACCACCTTAAATGTAAAGTAATTGCCCCGGGGAGTTGAACTGCATTGGATACACAGGCGGCACTTAATCCCCTCCACAGTTGCATTCCAATCCAAAATTGAGTACTTTCTCTGACAGAGAAAAGGTAAATTAATTTTTAAACAGTTAAGCACGTTACACAATCCTTGCATGTGTTTCTGTGCGTGATGGTGTATCTTGGTCTGGAAACTTGGCAAATTCATTATTTTTCATGGAATGGATTTGGATATTTTCTTTGTGTATGTATGTAGAATCATGTAATAATACATATGTATCCGTAAAAAATGATGTAACTGAAGTAAGAAAGGAAAATTTCATAAGAGGGAAGTTGATTTGGATTGGGTTGCATCTGTATGTACATATTTTTGGAGAAGGTTAGGAAAGTTTAGAGACAGAAATAAGCTAGGCATGTGACTTTTAGTCAGATGATGATACTGGATGTTACGATTGAAGTAAAGGGTCCCTCGCTGGAAGTATGTGGGAAGGAATAAAGGGATTCCTTACACATAACTTATTTGTGACGAAGCAGATAAATGTTTATTTTTAGAACCGTTTGCCCTTGGATTGAATATGTATAGCCTTTTCATTGTCAGTTATGTAAACTTGGCATTTGACAGAAGACACTAAATTCTTCGATTCTCGTAAACAGTAGATTTAAGAAATTACTGGAAAGAAGTACAATGTCGAAATACGCCTGGCTTGATACAATTGGAGAACCGTGTGGTGAAGAGGAAATTATTGGAAAAATAGGAAAGGAAGTTGATAAGGTAAAACGTTACAAATTTCATACATTTATATTACAGTAAGATTAAAGGTAAACTTGGAATTTTTACAGAAATTTGGTGGGGGCGGGTTTGGTGAAAGTGGGGGAAATTCCAATGGTGGAAATAAACCAGAAATGGAACAAGGTTCCTCAGGTGGTCATGACGTAGGCGAAAATTGGAAGGAATTTGCACTAGTTTCTGCAATGACCACGTTCAGCGGTTCTGTGGGCGATGCTGTGTTTCATTATGCAGAATTTGGCAACAATTGGCAACATATGATTCTACGGATGAATGTGAGTGAAAACACGATCCTATTGGAAAGAGGAGGAGGACCAGAAAATAACGTCGTTATTCTCGATTCCAATTTGAAGATAACTAATTGCAAACTTTCTCGCAATTGGGTTTGGGTCAATGTCGATGGAAAATCACACATGCTGAAATTCCTGGATTCGGATAAGGCATCAACAGCGTTTCATATGATTGATGGTCTCATGAGTCTGACAAAACAGTAATGTGTCCCCCTTATATTATATAACTCTATGGTGTCCCCATACGTTTATGTAGTTGACTTATAACCGAATAAAAGTTCACAAACTCGTATATAAACAACTATATGAAACCACATATTCCTAATGTATTTTAATTTTAACATAAACAAACTTCCTAATTTTGAGACACAATATTTAATTTTGATCAACTCAATGTGCAATTTTACAACCAGTTGTTAAATTTTAAATAAAAAATAACCGTTTTAAACCCAAGATGTGTTACAGTTGTCTCTGAAATGTTTTTATTTTAATACTGGTTTGAATTGATCTCTGCCTACGAGCACCAGTCTCTCACTTCGTTAGCTTGGCCACTTCCAGTACAGAAAAGTTTTTCCAATTCCCAAGAATGAATTTTGTTAGAAATTCTTACCCTGCCTGCGTTGCATTTCTTTCGACACTTTCATTGCCAATGCCATGATCATCATGGTCGTCGTCGTCGCCATCGTCCTCGTCGTCACGCTGGGGTTGGGCAGCTTCTTGGCTTATATTCAACTTCAACTCCCCCGGCATCCACGTCCTTCAACGTACCTACGTACAATATGGCAACGATTTGTGAATATTACATCACATTACGACATTACATAAGAAGAAACGGGTCGGAAAGATATCACATTCGAACCCGGTTCGTTTTTTGTACGAAAAAGACCAAACTAGAGTAAAAGCGTACCCAAAAGTCGAAATTTTGTACCGTGCTTAGTTTACGATCCACTAAAAACGCACCATTATTACACCTACATGATATTGTGGAGGGACATAAATTATGCTGCAATTCCATGTCACGATTCCGTACAGATTTTTGTTGTGAACTTTTATTTTTCTTCTACTGCTGTAATTCCACAACCGCAACAACACAAAATGCATTCAGCCATCTCATCTCGCATGCACTTTTCTTTCCCCCAAGTGTGCAATATCCATACGTAGTGTTCCTTCTCGTGTACGTACGTAGTTTGTAAGTAATGGGCGATGTATGTATGTGATTCCGATCCATATCCAAAAATCCTCCCAGCGAAGAGAACAAATTTGGATTTAGGAACCGATTTGAGAGTTTACAAAAGAGAAAGAGGAATATTCTTTCTCTTGCTTTCTCGCCACCTTTTTCTTCTCGCCCACATTTGTTATCCAGGAGTGAAGTGACTGCGGAGGGATCGACGAGGACGATGTAAAGCATAATTTTTTCCATTTCCTTCCCGAACACGAGTTACACACACACGCCGACTGACTGTTCATATGGACGTAAGGAAGCAACGGACGGAAGTGGCATTGACTTTGATTTTAGTTTTACTTGTTTCCCTACCAGATTTGCTCGCTGGTCTGGTTTACCATTTTTTTTTTGCAAAAGACTAACAATTCCCTGCCAAAGGACACGGGGAAAGTTTTCCTTGTACATTATATCGTGTATGAATGTGCTTGCTTGCTTTCTCTTTGTTGTGAGGTCTGGTGTAGGCACATTATTTCCGAGTGAATAGATTACTTTTTGTGGAAATGGAAGAAAAGCAGAAAAGACTGGTTGTAAAAATTGTAAAAAAAAGAAACGGAACGATTGTTATTTTTCGGTTCGAGTGGTTCCTCACAAAGTGAAAGTAGTAATGGTCGAAATACAGAATATTGTTTTTTTCTGTTTTCAGAAATAGAAAGAAATACGCTAATTAATTTTATCCCCAATTTTAGAAATTGATCGACTGGTCTGAAATGAAAAGGAGATTTTTTTTTTCTTAGAAAACGTGGACAGACTCATTATTTTCCCGTCAAGTCAATGTGGAGTCAAGTTGTGAGGGTGACGCAACAGTCGAGAGGAGGACGGTAATCTCATTACACACTGCTCACACCGGCCGGAGGCAAAATAATGGACGCATTTTTAATGGGGGAGACCAAGAAAAGAGTCGAGTTTCTATTTCAGTCTTCGTTTTTTGTCCAATGTCCAGTGGCCGCCGCACCCTCGACAGATTTCCTAAGTCTGATCTGATCTCACTCTCCTCTGGTTTCCCGGCTCATGCATCATTTATCTTATGAGAGAGAAAGGCGACTTTCACCCTCTTCTTCTTCTTCTCCTCCTCGCTCGGAGTGAAATGTGAGACGACTTTTGAGTTCTTCTCGAAATAAGATGGTTAAGTATGCACCCTTTTTTTCTAAATACATGACGTCAAGCACAGGCAGGAGTTGCGACGTCGTGGGGTATTTATCCTAGTGCATTCTGCTGCATTATGTTGCTCCCCACCGATGCGATTCGATGAGATTTTGGGTGACGGAGACCATATTGTGTTTTTGTGTGCACTTGGTTTGGTGGGGTGGAAGGAGAGAGGATCGGATAAATCCCTGGCCGAGGATTTCCCTAAGATTTGGGGCACATGGGGAGCATAACAAGTGGACACGAGACAGGGCTTATTTGACTCCCTTGATTTCTCCTTAGGTTAAAAGAGGTGGAGTGCATTTGGCGTCCGCAGAAATTGCGTAGAAATTTGCAATATTTTATGATTTTATGGGAAAGTGAACTATTTCGTAATAAGTTTTAGTGTGTGGCATTGTTTCAGTTTATTCATACGTGGCATATCATACGTATCACATTAGACGTATTTACCTCTGGCTGGCTGCATGGTGGACTGGTTGGTTTGGTGGGTTAGATTGTGATTTCTCAATCCGTCGTATCATCCGATCCCATCCAATCTTATCATCTTCCTTCCGCATCCATGCATTTTTATCCAATCTCGTCGGATCGGACTTACGTTCTCTTTACTCCTGGTTATACTTCCGCACTTTCAGATTGCCCTCTGCTACGTTGTGCCAATGCAGGAATGGACTTAAGGGTCGAAGTCGATGCAATCATATCAAATATTAAGAGTTATGTCCATCCATCGTCCCCCACACGCTGGATTTCTTCTTACGCACCTCATGTTTTTATCCTCGTTTTCTTGAAAATCATTAAAAAAAATTGGTTTTCAGGGTCGGACACAAAACGTTGAAAATGGCTAACGGACAAATATTAGAAAAATCTATTATTAATTTCTATTAAATATGAAAACATTAAATGGCGTCAAACTTGCAAAAAATATAAATGATCTGTAAAATGTTCGAAATCTTGAAACGCACAAAACGCACCCTCTCCTCTGTTATGATTATTACTATATCGTATTTTTCGTGTCGAAGGCTCTCCTCGTGGATCTGGACTATCTCATTGCCCACATTTTATGAAGTTTCCAATTTCCTGTTCTGTTATATTCTCGGAAATTCCTCTACTTTCTGGGTCTTTTGCTCTCTCTCCCTTTCCCTTTCGTCCAACTGTCTTCTCCTCCCTCGTCCAGTCATATCTCTTGGGAGTAAAACAAGCCATGCACATTCCGTTCAGGTTTCCTTAACGCAAAGTAATGTACCTGCCGTCCAATCCAATCCGCCATTACAACCTACATGACATAATGTCCCGATAAATAAAATGGTATACCAATTTTTGATGGTGGTGTGCCTTGTTTTTTGATCTTGGGCACGATTCCGTGATACCTTGAGGTTGTAATCATTGGTGGATTTATCCTGTTTTTCGTGGTGGTGGTGGGTGACAAACAGAATTGTTGCAGATACCAACCACCCACCCACCTCATTCTTTAAGTCGATTCACACCCTGGAAACTATAAGGTATGGCATTTTGAGGGGACATTTCTTCTCCTCCTGGCCTCCCGTGAATGGACATTATTCTCTCATCTTCTCTGGAGAAAAGAAGCTGTATAAGCTGAGACTTGAGACGATATAACAACACATACATATTATTCAGTACATATATCCGGTTGAAGTGGGCTCCCCTCTTTTTTATACTTTCATAGGTATTTATTTGCCCACCTTGCGGATGGATATATTGTACCAATTCTGGTTTAGTGGAGGGTGAGATTTAAACAAGCAATATTTTAATGGCAGCCCAGACCCGGGGACATTACGGGTTTTATTAGCAGCCATAATTTTTCCAAATCTGTAATCCCTCCAAGAATAATGTGGTCGAGGTAGGTAAAAAAGATGGATGGGGAGCAGATGGACGTATAAATTGTATGTAGGTTAAATATCTAAATAGCTACAACAACTTTTCCGATTTCAAAAAATAATTCTACAAAAAAACCGTGTTATTCATAATTTCGAATTATTATCATATTTGAACTCGTCCATTTTATTCGTGCAATTTATTACGTAACCTCATCATCGTGATCCCACCGGAATGTGTGCCACTCTTTTGATTTCGAATGGCTAAACTCTCTCCCGTCCCAATTCCTGGGAAGCTTTGTTTCCTATAATTCACGTCATGCATTCAAAACTTCAAAGTGATTACCCAAGTGTATATCGTACCGTTTACTTAGTTTTCAGCGTGGGTTGTTACATAAACTAGAAAATAATACAAATGCATTCCTGCCCACTTTCACTTTCACTTCACATGAGTCGACTTTGTTTGCATCGAATTTATAACGTATATAACAAATAAATACCATTCCATCCATTCAGCGAGAGAGGGAAATATTTTGGACATGGAAATATTTCGCAAAACCAAACCAACCTTACAATTCCAATTCGTGGAACAATTGCAGATACGATTTTTGATTCATCTCCTCCTCCATCCCACTAAGCGGAGAAAGTTTAGCACATGGAGAAAATAAAATAAAATACGTCGCATAATTCACAATCACCAACTACCCACCCAACCCACCAACCTAAATCTGTTAAATGCAATATCCAACTACCCACACACACAAATTCGACTTTGACTTGACCCGATGAACAAACACTGTTAAACGTTGACTCGACTTGACACAAGTTATTAGCGCACCACGAGAAAATAAAATTGCATCCGATCCGTGTTAGTACTAGATTTGCGCTGTATATATTTCTCTTAAGTAAAGTAAAGCAAGCTACACGTTTGTCTGCTTTCTACTTTATTTTATTTTAGTCGCTTGTTTTTAGCCATTCGGGAATTGAAGTAAAGTTTAATTCCTGACTGGGCTAAAGCGTTGTTTCACATGAACTGTCCTCACACGGGGAGACGACCTCCCACACCACGACCAGGACCAGGACCACTTGGGTACATTCAATGTGTCAGAGTTTTGAA